CTCGGCTTTCTGGAAGGTAATTCGGTTTTTCTGCAAGGTAAATCGGTTTCTACTTGAAGGCAAATCGGTTTCTACTTGAAGGCAAATCGGTTGCTACTTGAACTCAAATAGCCTCAAGTGTGGTCAATTGCAAAGCTCGGTGTTGCCATATTGCAAAGCTCGGAACATGCAACTTGCAACCAGAAATTCTATTGAAATGCTCGGTGTGTCAAGATCAAATTCAAGGTAAAACGAGATCGAGTAGAAACCGTTTTCTTGAAAATAAAACATGGTTTATGGGGGGGCAAATTATATTTTAAGCATTCATATTATACTCCTTCTCTTTTTATTTTCCCTTTCTTTTCGTTTTAGGCCTCTCCTCCTGCCTCACCTTACTGAATTACCATGAGCCATGGGTGCAGAGGGATGTATAGTGCATGTCGCGTTGTAATTGTTCTTTGAGAATGACAGCAAATCGAGCCGGTCTTTGCCTTTGCCGGGGAGGCCGTCTAATGATATATCATTCGCAGCCTATGCGCGGGATGTTGCCATGCTTTCTTTGCTTTTGCATTTGCTTTAGAGTCTGAGTCTTGAAAAACCATAACATTTTCACAAAAAGATGTACATTAACACATACAGGTCGTGGTCAAGTCAATATGGTATATCAATTCATATGCGGGTCGCGGGTAGTAGCTATGGTGGACGCATGTTTTTCCTTTCGTATTTCTTTATCGCGAATTCAAAAGGTGCATCAAGAATGACTATCATCTCCTTCATTTGATGCTTGCTGATCGTCTCACTGCACCTTCCTGGCTTGCTTCAATCGTTCCTCGAGCAGCTCGTAGTCTCCTTCCAGGTCGGTAATGGTCTTGATATTAAACTGTTTCTGGATACCCAGCATGAGCTCCTTTTCTCTCCTGTCGACCATGTTCACGGCGATACCCTTCATGCCGAAGCGTCCCGTACGACCGGTTCGGTGCAGGTAAGTTTCCCCGTTGGCTTCTCTATCGCCAATCCTGTTGATGTTCAGTGTTTTTCTGGCTTCTCGATACTTTCTTTCTTGCCTTGGTGGCGTCAGTCTCGTTGTTCTCTTTCCTTTGCTATGAAGTTGTACCAACTACATATCAACCACCTTTCAACGAGCCCTTTCTTTTCGTATACTCATGTCATCATCATGCAAACAAAATGCTACACTTCATCCAAAAATTGTAATACCTTGATCCCGCAGTCCATATGGTCGGGATTTCGTAGTTCACCACGAGCGTCACCGCCGGCACGTCGATTCCGCGCGCGAGGACGTCGGTAGCCACTAGAACTTTGGTGATGCCTATCATTTGTAAAAACGTCCCCACACCAGAGTCAAGATGGGGATTCTGCAACACAAACCTTGAAGTTTTGGGAACCACGCATGACAAGTTGCAGGCTGTAGTGTAGTACAGGTTAGCAAGGACAGTCGCATGACAAACCCATCTCCTCATCCTGTTTACAGCATTACAAGTGCCAAAACACGATTGGAAATGCCTCTCATGTAGGTGCGCATTACAAATTTTCCTGTCATTGCAAATCTGCATGACAACTCTGGGGTGGGGACGTTTTTGCTCAGGATAATGCCCCGCCGAAACTCGTCCATGACTTTGTCGCGGTGTGCGGGATCGATCTTTTCTGGCCCGGTCTGTATCAAATGTAAAAGTGTCTGGGTCTGGAAGGATACAACTTGTGATGCTACTTTTGGAATCTACAGAAAAACTGTATTGCATGAACAGCAAAAGAGGTGTGATTTGTGCTACGCGGACAGGGCATTTCTCATGCTGTATGAGCGTCAGAAAGCCCTCGCAAAATCTCTGATGCTATGGCATGCATCACAGACCTCATGGATCATGCAAAATCTGCATGACAAACTCCTGCATTCTTCCAGACCCAGACATTTTTGCAATCCATAGTCTGCTGCGTTCCGCAAATCAGCGACACGGCATACCCGTCCTTTCGCAATCGAACGGAAACTTCGAACCTGTTAGTAGGGACAATTGTGGGTAGTTTTGGTGCTTTATTATCCTCCCCCGATTTATTTGATCCCTGGTCTATCTTGGCATGTAGAAATTCTCTTCTGTGCGTGTGTACCTAGCAAGACCAGCACAAAGGAACAAATGGAAATCGAAATAGATGAATAATAATAAACAAAAGCATAAATCAAATATAAATAGATCGTTCTCAGTACGCAGTTTTCCTGCTGTTCATGAAGATGATGGACTGCCCAACATTCAAGTGTGCGTATATTTCCTTCAGGGCCTGGTATTTCTCGTCGTTATTTGCACACTGCTGGTAAAAGGAGAGAATGGTGTCAATCGCCAAGTCCTTGTTTTGCACCGTGATTTTTGCTGCGTTCGGGACGATGGCCTTCGCGAACTCTCGCACGTGATCCGGGTATCTGGTGGAGTTGTTTTCTTTTCCCATTGGAGAAGGCCGGCTTCAAAAACGCATTTTCGTGATCTACTTCGGCACGCTAGTAGATCTAGACAATGAAACCAACACAAACAAAAATCTCAGGAGAAAACAAATTGAGTAAATACGTGGCGGAGAAGAATAAAACTTGGCAATCTGGTGAGAGCCACTTTCGGACGGACGCGACGTCGCGGCCCATTTGATTCTCTTGGTCCAACATGACGTCAGCTTCGTCAAGGATGAAAACCTTCACCCGGTCCACGTTCAATATGCGCTTCTTTGTCACGTCGTAGATCTGTAGTGAATTTTGTGTTTTCGCGAAGTAGCGACTTCTTGCTGACAAACTTGTTCATGCTCACGGGTTTGCCGGAGAAAAAATAAAAAATCACGTGGTACGACAGCTTTGCTCGGTGACATGTTTTCAACAAAAAATGCGCAACAACGCAAAAATGCGATCTGTACCCGTCCTGGTGTTCCGACTAGAATGTGTGCTTCGCATTTTCCCTTTTCGATTCTGTCTCCCTGAGGCAGCACCTTGAGGACCTTAATGCCCATGAATTTCCCGAGCTTCATGACGACCTCCTCTGTCTGGTTCGCGAGTTCTCGTGTTGGTGCCATCACCATGGCCTGCGGATAGGTGAGCTTGGGATCTATGTTCGCAAGCATTCCCAGTGAGAAGGTTGCCGTCTTACCGCTTCCATTTGCAGCCTGCCCGATCATGTTCTTCGATTTTGGCGGGCAGATGAGTGGCAGTGCGGCGGCTTGGATCCGTGAAGGTCGAACGTAGTTCATGCCGTGGATGCCCTCCATTAATTCCCTAGAGTAGTAGAGTTGTCCAGAGTTGTTGAATTCTTTTCCTTTTTTTTCGGTAGCTTGCTGCGTAGCAGCACGGCGTGAGAGGTTGCACTACGAGGCCATGACGCTCGATCTGCGCAGTTTTCACGTAAGGAGAACCGCCAAAATATTTCATCTAATGGAAAAAATGACAATAAGTGTGTCTTTTTACGATGAAGTAAGAAAGTACTTTGTGAGGTTTAGCGAGTCCCAGGATTCCGCAGCGAGCAAGGCCTCGCGATAATCAGCGTCAGCCCATTCTACTTGCACTTCGGCAGCCTTTTCGGAGATCAGCCCGCCACGGATGATAGGCGGTCGACCGTCCTCGTCCAGTTGGACTGGCGGCGCTGGTGCTGGTACTCCGTTCCCGTTGGCTGCAGACGAGGAGGCGCCTTTCTGGCCCACCGGTATTACCTGCACCGGAGGTGCTGCAGCGGGTGCGGCTGCTGGTGCCACGGCGGGGGCGACGGCTCCCGGAATTGCTGGTGCCCCGGGCGGTCCGGCCATGACAAGTCCCTGCTGCTTCATCCACTCGGCCCACTCCGCAGCGGTGTAGCTCTGACCCTCGGTGGCAGCGGCCGCGTTACCCGTGTTCATGGCGGCAAGCAGCAGGGAGGGATCCACATCCTCTTCCAGGCCCGGCGGCAAAGGCTGCTCGGCGTCGGTCATGGTTTTCAATTATAATATCTTCCTCCACTAAATGACAAGCGCTGGCTGCTCACTAAAAAATTCTTCAAGTTCTTGTTTACGTGTCTGTGCTCTAATAAAGTGATTATGATAGAGCGTCAATGCTAGGTTACACAGTTGTCGCAAAGGAATGAAGTCGCAAAGCTGCGAATAATTGAAGGCTGCGTGTAACCTTGAAGAAAGTCAACATCTAAGGCCCTAAAAACTTGCCTGTTTGGATTCCAATTTTGACGGTGTACTTACAACAAGAAGGGGGCATACAGTATAGAAAACTTGTCCTATGATCTTTCGTTAAGCATGCAGGTAGTCATGGATATTGATATGATCTTCGTCTTTCATCTCTTACTTAATTCAACAAAAAATGCGATCGCTTCCACTTTTCTCACCCAACTTTCTTCGACTTGGCTTTGTGCATTTTTGGATCATTTGCACGGCAACACAAATGAGATGACCGACGATCTTCGACGAAAATCAATATTAATATTTCGTAAAATTCTTCTAATCGAGTCGAATCTTCCATACGGATACACTATGACAGCGACTCAGATCGAGACAACATTGAGATTGAGATCTCCATTTGGATGTGTACGACGCCAATTCTTTGAACTCGGTTTTGATCTTGATGCGCAACGAATGGGCCTCAGGACCAATTTGCATTTTATGATCTTCCATCAGAGTTATGTCGTTTCTGTCCCCACCCGCTTTTGCACATTATCCTTGCAGCAGCAGGAGCTGCGGTTTCTCTTAGGTATTACTAGGAAACGCAAACACAAAGCCACGTATGCAAGAATCCGTGGCGCAAAGGCGTTCTGAAGGTAGTGAGCTCCCTACCTTGAGGAGCACAGACAAAGAACGCAGTGCATCATGCGTTAATATATCCATCAACTCGCAGTTGCGTGAGTAGAGGTCTCGCCTACAAACACTTCGAGGTGTTCAGTCTTCTACAGGAGCCCACTTAAGGTCCTATGGTGCTGACATCAGTGTAGAAAGAGGTCAGGTGATGTAACTCCAGCTGCTGCACAAAAGTACTACTATTCAACACTTTACACTTCCGCGATGCGCTTGATATGCTGTATCAATATTTTTGTGGTTCGTCGCTTTACTAGTCAGCAAGCGCTGGTAGAATTTAATTTTGGAGCGCCGAACAGCGTATAAATCTTCGCAGCTTTCGAAAAAGCTGATCTGCATGATCAATCGCCACGTTCCCTTGACCAAATGTCTTCACCTGTGGGAAATGTGCCTTGATCCAGCACCTGCTGGATGGCTTCCATGTGGTCGGCTGCGAGGAAAATCTTCTTTCCCGTGTTGTCGCGCTGCTTGCCCCCACTTTGGATGATTTTGGTTTCATCGAGGTGTTTCGCGTCGCGCACACCGATGATAACCGCACCGCCAAACCCGTCGGTCTCCAGTTTTTGCAGAACCCACCACGTTGCGACAACGGCAATTTTCGTCTGGGTCGCGTTCGCGATCTTCTCCAGCGTGCGCAGCAACCGCTGGAACAGGTCCCAGTCCCCGCGGCACCACGACATCAGGCTGGAGTAGTACATTCGCAAGGAAACCGTGGAGGACTCCTGGAACTTTCGGGAACTACGCATCGGATCGGACTCCATGCCCAAAAACTTCTCGCTCAACCACCCCCCGGCCACCGAGCCAAAGCAAGTCAACTTGAACTGGTGCTTCTTCGCGAGCTGCAAGACCCCGTTCTCCGGACGCCGGTCCAGCAGGGAGAACTGCACCTGGTTCACCCGGACGGGGAACTGAGCCTTTTCGATCAGTTCCCTCAAGTGGACAGTGTCAAAATTTGTGACCGCCAAGTGCTCAATTTTCCCCTCGGCCTGCAGCGACATCAGGTCCCGCGCGCCCTGGATGTGCCCGCGGTCGGCGAAATTCCACCAGTGGAACTGCACGAGTTCCAGCGGGTAGTCATTGTCTTGCTCTTTCTTCCGAAAGTCCTCCTGGAAAAGCGCTTTGCGGGATAGCTGGTTGATCCGCAGGGCGGACTCCTGGGGCCCGGAGGGCACGTACTTCGTGAACACGTGGAAATCGAGATCAGTCTTGTTACCCGTGTTCTTTGCATTTTGCAGCAACTCCAGCCGGATTGCTTGCCGGGCGAACCCGAGGAGTGTCTCGCTGGGGCCGTAGATGTCGGCGGTGTCAAAGTGGTGAAAACCATTTCTGTAGTACTCCTGCAGAAGTTCCACCGCTTTCTCATTGTTCTTCAATCGCTCCGTCAACTGCCAGCACCCAATCACGACCGTGGGAAAACTGTCGTAAAAAGTTTTCACCTTGGCTGCGTCAGCACTTTGTTCCGACATGCTATCGAGCGCGGAGTCGGCTGTCGCTGACAAGGTTCCCCGGGGTTCCGTTGCTACGGTCGTTTCTGCGGTCGCTTCTGCTTCAAGCTCTATGAAAGTGTCAGAATCGAAATCGACAAAATCGAAAAATTTGTGATGCATAAAATCGATACCAGTTGGGCCCTCAGTTTCCGAGTGGCGCATGACAAATTTCGGGAGCACCCAAATCCAGTCTGTCATGCTGTTTGGACAAAGAAGACTGCTCCTGTCATGCTACTCTGGCAGCACATTGCATACCCCTAAACAGGCTCACAATCGGCCTGATTTGCCTGCTCCCCAATACAGGCCTTCAGTGCCCTACATTTTATGCATCACAAGACCACCGATTTTGTCGATTTCGATCCTGACACATCCATAAGCTCCCCGCCTGCGGTATAGCTAAAGACCTGGGAGGCCTCGTCTACGTGATGGGATTTGTTACTTGCAGCCTGTTCTAGTACTTGGGTGTTTCCATCAATGCGTGATCGTGAGTCATCGGGTCCTGCTGTGTGGCATGAAGATCCATGATCGTCTTTCAAACACTTGGCAGAAGTGGTTTCTTCAGCAATAGGAACTGGGTTCTTGCGTTTCGAGGCATGAGTAGTGAGAAGGTAGCAAAAACTGGTGCCGCGCAACAGGCGTGCTAGGACTTCTAGAACCGATCGCATAACTTTATTATTTTTCCTGGTGGTCTACTCGTCGAACGCAATAACAGCTAGCTCTTTCGATCTACTTGAACATATTCTTGACGGGCAGTAAAACTACTTCGGGGGCCTCCGCTTTCAGGAGCTACAGACGCGTGGATCAAGTTGCGTTGCCGTTTGCATTGCAATCAGAGAGATGCGTCGTTGGGGAGGCACAGGCAACCCAAAAATGGAGCAGAAGCAAAAAGAAAAACCTGAAAAGAATCTATCAGTATGAGTCAATGTCACTGGAAAAAAATATTTCGTAGGGTGCTCGTCACGGCAACAGACGGAGCTTGTAAATAGCTTTGGGTCCGAGCAGCTCATGTGGAAAAGCACGAACACAAATCTGAATTGTCAACGATATTATGCGGTCACGGTCCTCGCTGTAGTTGTTAATGATAATGTTATTCATTTGTATGTTCGGTATGATGCTCTTGTCGCGCTGTGGTTTTTCGCACCGCCTGCAGCGTTGTAGTCAACAGGCACGCTCATCTAGTCTACGTCGTGGTGTGTTAACATCAAAAATGATTTCTTGCCTCGCAGTGGCGATGCAAACTCCTATGGTCGCAAGAGTCCCACCGCCTTGTCGTGGCCCCACACGGCAAGATAGCCGGATCTCAGTGGGTGTACGTCGACGCCCACGATATCCTTGTCTGCGAGCTCGGGCACGATGTGGACGAGCTTGGTCTCCACGCTGTCGAAGATGTAGAGACAGTGGTCTTTTGAGATGCCATACAAGTACTTCCCGCTCTTCGACACCTGAATGCACGTGAAATCGGCGCGGGAATCCAGCTTGCCACTTGTGAATGTTTTCAGCACCTGGCCCTGGAGGTTCATTTTGAAGATCTGGTTGCACTCCGTAGACACGTAAATTGTTGGGTTGCTCTTGTCCATGGCGTCGGGACTGAGCACCACTTGGTTGATGGAAAGCAGGTTTCCGTGCGCGCCGAGGTAGGACGGTGTTGGGGGGTGGAAACTTTGCAAGACCTGAGCAGCAAGTAAGGTGGCGATTCTTCTGTTTTATTTCCAGATCTTGTTTGCATTTGCAACAAGCAGTCGGCAGAAATAATACGCCCCACTTTTACGTTGGGTGAAGTAAGCCATCAAAACGTACTAGAACTCCGACAATATAGATGCCATGGTGACAGCGGGAGATACTTAAACCTAGTAGAAAAGAAGGAGCATATTTTACGTGCAACAAAAATCGAGATGGGCGCAGCATTTGTACCTGGCAGGTTTTTGCATCAAACACCTTCACATATGCGTCTGCGGAGCCTGTGATAACCTTGCTTTGGTCGTAGGAGTAGAGTACCGTCTGCACATAACTGGTATGTCCTCGGTACTCCTTCAGCGTCTTGCCCGTATTGAGGCCGTGCAGCCTGTATCAGAAGGAAAAATCCCCCGTCCCCATATCGAAAACGAAATTTGTGTTGCTGTATTTGAGTACACAAATCAGGTTTGTATTGCAGAGAAGCACTGCGGCCAGATGCTCAGCCAGGTAGGGGCCTATGGGTCTAGTTGTTTAGCATGGCAAACGGCTCCCCTTTAGGCCCAACAGCATGACAAATCGCTTCCATAGTGGGGCGCAAGCTTCTGCCCTTGTCTCCTTGCAAGACAGATGTGATTTGTGACCTCAAATCAGCAACACAAATTTTCGGAAACATGCCTTTTCGATATGGGGAGGGGGGATTTTTCCTTTTGATAGCCTGGCGGTGGAATCCGCGGAGCCGGTGACCACCTGGGAATCCTGATAGTTCCTATCAAATGTAAAAATGTCTGGGTCTGGAACATTCCGACACTTGTCATGCACGTTTTGCATGAGCCCTGATGTCTGTGATGCATGCCCTAGCATCACAGATTTTTTCGGAGCTTCTTGATGCCTATTCCGCATGACAAATGCCCTCTCCGCGTAGCAAAAATCGCGTTCCTTTTGGTACTCATGCAATACAGATTTTTCTGGAATCCAAATGCAGCATGACAAGTTGCATTCTTCCAGACCCAGACATTTTTACATTTGATAGTTCCAGCACAGCGTCAAAATCGGGCCTTCGTGACCCTGGATCTTCTGCTTCAGTTGACCGCTTTCCACGGCGAACACGTACAGTGCGCCCTTGGTGTCACCCACGGCGAGCAGGGTGTTGCTGTTGGAGAAGCCGAGGGCTTGGATCGGGTGCTGGGTGGCGATGTAGTGCGGGTCTTGCGGGTTCTGGTACGGTAGGTCTTGCCGTGACTTTCCACTTCGACTGTCGTACAGCTCCACCATCCCGTCCTCCGCCCCGACGGCGAGGAATTGCCCGTCGTGCGAGTACGCGCAGATGGAAGGAATCTCGGCTAGTTTGATCTGCTTGGCGCGATGTCTTGGGTAGGTGTCGGTCTCCACCACGCTGCCGGCTGGGATAAAATTGCAATTTCTTTTTCAGTGAACTGCATAATTTCTGAAATGATCGAAAAATCCATGCGTACTGGAAGTTAGTATGAGCCTCGGCTTTATATATACTTATATTGCTGTCAGGACCAGGAGCTTGACCTCGACCTCCGCAGAAAAATTACAATGTGGTTCATTTTTTTTCTTACCGCGCAAAAACAAACGAGCTTGTATAGTACCTTGCCCCATTTTCATCAGGTTTTTGTCGATCCCTCGAAAGAGGTCGATATCTTCACCGTCTTTCAGCACGCCAACGTGCTTCTGCCACCTGACGGCCTGTCCGATCAGTGCCAGAAGCCTGTTCGGCGGACACACGTGCACGTATTCCGTCAGCGCCTGCGCTAGTTCCCCCCTCCTGTCCTTTTTGCTGCGACCGTTTCCGTAGAGGATTGCGCCGGCGTTCTCCGGGACCTGCTGGCGCCGGATCATCTGCGCGAGCTTCTGAAACCGGTCGGGGTGGTCGGATTTCAGCACCTTCAGCGGTTGCGTGTGTTCCATGAGCACTTGGGCTGTGTCGAACTCCAAGTTCTCCAAAAACTCCAGGCACACGTGTTCGAACAGGTCCACCTTCACGTCCATCGGTAGGGCCAGGTAGCTGCAGGCGCGCATGACGTCGTCCCACCGACCGTGGTTGACGTCGTCAAGCAGGGATTCGAGGGAGTCCACGGTGTTCAGGGGCACCTTGGCTTCCTCCTGCAGCGTCATCAGCGTGCGTGGCAGGTCGTTGTCGCGGCAAAACTGCAGCATCAATCGTATCACGTCCTCGGACTCGATGTTCAATTTTCCCTTGTCTGCAGTCGCTTTATTCAGATTCGCCGTGGAGGAGCTACTGGCGTGGTGGGAAGTTGTAGTCCCCGCGCCATTTTTACTCCTACTTGATGACGCGGCGGCCATGATTACGTCGTCGCCGGCCATTTATTAGTTCTTTCGCTAGTTATACTGTGGATGTGGAAACGTGAAGATACCGCTGCGACTATCAATTCCCCTCCAAGCGTGAAATACTTATCTCGCTTCTATTTCTTTGTGGTGTATTAACATGTTCGTGTTGTGTCTTTGTATCCTCTTAGTTGCTATATCTGCATCAAGGTAGAAGTACAAGAACAGCTTTCACACATTTGGTCGTACAGACAGAACCAGAGCTGGCTGAAGGACATGAACAAAGGTAGGGGTCAAAAAATGAAAAAGTCACATGAAAAGCATTGAGCATGATGATGATCTGGCTTTCAATTCGATGCAAGAGGATGAGGAATCATCGCGGAAATAAGAATAACAGGATCGCTGCAACACCAGAGTGAAAGTGACGATCTCAACACTAAGGGAGAGAGCGGTGCGTAACCTATGATCACCTTCATTGTGAGACCCGAAAACCACATCGTGTTGTTGATCACGTTCATGTCGGCCTCAGGCACCACGATTGACATGGCACAGGTCTTGACGTTGACCCTCAGAGTCCGGGAGCCGACGCGTAGCCGTGCAAGCAAGAAATAATTTTCATCCTTGTCCGTTGTTTCCACGTGGTCTACAAGGAAACAACTTTTTTTTTGACTTTGCCCGAAAGCAGAACGAGTGATATTAGCTACTTATTCATTTTCATCTTCGCTTCATCCTACACGAAAGAAAATTCTTTGCAGTCGGCCGGAACGGGACCCTTGCGGGCAAACACAAATTGATTCGCTTATACCCAACGAGGGAGTCATCATGTGTGTCATCATGTTTGGATTTTCGGAACGAATCGAAACAAGAATGTGAGTGGGCCAAGCGACTCGTCGTAGAAATTCTCTATTAGTTATGGTTTTGCGTGGAGCAGCTCGCCTTTGTTTTTTGAAAAACTAGTGTATGATTAGTTTAGAAGCTTTCCGCGAAGTAGTGGAAGCGCACTGGGCCTTGAGAGCACTTTTGGCACTGCGCCTTGAGTTCCACACCGACCGCCGGGCTTCCGCACAGAAAAACGCCAACGTCGCCGGCGCGCTGGGACTTGCGGGCCGTGTTCTGCGCGTTGAGGGTCGTCCCCAGGCCGAAACTGGGCCGCGTTCCGGAGCCGGATCCACCGCCTCCACCGAGCGTCGCACCACCCGCTGCTTGTTTCACCGCCTCTGCCTGCTCCGTGCTGAGTTTCTGAAAGATGCGGCGCCAGTCGGGTCGGCCCGCGAACTCGTGAAACTCGCAGTTGATCGGGACGCGCTCCGAGAGACTGATTTCCCCGGTTTGAAACAGGTTAATCACCACGTGGTCCTTCGCCGGACCATTCACCGACTCCACCAACACGTCGTAGAACCACTGGAACTCGTCCTGCGAGCGGACGCTCCACACGAGGTGCAGTTTGCTCGGGCACTTGGTAGCTTCGCGGATCGTGGTCCAGAGCATATCGTCGTCGTCGTCGGTTCCCGAGTTGATGTTTTCCGGCTCGGACGCAGCTCCTTCCGCGTTCATCTTGTTCAGGTGTGTGGTCGCACCCTTCTGCATTCGCTCATTTTTTGCCGCCAGCAATTTCCTCTGCGTCGAGGGCTTGATTAGCGAGGATGAGGACGTTCCCGCTTTCGCAAGCGCAACATCGCGGCCCGAAAGGTTTTGCATCATCTTGGCGCGCTGTTGCAGACGGATGTTTACGCTTCGCAACATCGCGGCAAACGGCGTTATCCCGATGCCGGTGCCCACCATGAGCACGGTGTCGAAGTGCCACATGTTCTGCGCGGGCGCGCCAAAGGGGCCGCCGAGCTGCAGCACGATCGCCTCCGGTGGTACCAGAGTCGCGGCCTCGATTTCCCGCTGCAAATCTGCGTCGCCCTCGGTAAAAGTGCGTTGCCGCACCGCGGGGCCAGCTTGGTGACCGCTTGGCTTCTGCACCCCCGCACAGCAAGAGGTGGTGGGCCCGAGAGCTTCCTTTTTGCTGGTGCCGTCCCCCCCGTATCGTTCTTTTGCATCATCATCAAGGTCACCTTGAGCAACTACAGCGCCGGTGGACTCTTGCAATTCAACTTCAACTTGCGCCAGGCCGTTCAGGGCAACATCCGGCGTGTTACCAATGTCGTGCTGGTGCTTCGCGAAGTTCTTTTCGTTTATTGCGTCAACGGCTGCGGCCCAATGAACACCCTCCACAGACTGCAGGAAATCGTAGTGGTTGCGACCGAAAATGTTTTTGATTTGTCTGTCGCGATCATTCTCCGATGAGCTAGCTCCCGGGTCGGCGTCTACATTCTCGAGCTGCACATCTTCCAGGTATTTCCTTTTGTCTTCTTGTTGTCCCAACATAGCGTCAACATGATGATCGCCCAAATCTTTAACCTGCGTCGTTACATCTTCGGACTCAGTTAACGCTTGGTACAAAACATGATCTGTGCCTCTCGACAACAACTCTGACGATGGCGATTTGATTTGCCAAGGTGACATTGAGCTTCCGCGAGGTGCTGGCGCGACCGGAAAAACTGCCTTGTGCGCGCCCTCGCGATAGACGTTCTTGCTTGAAGGCGAGGCCTTGCCGCTGGGGGGATCTATCATCTCGGAAGAAAACTCCGGGTCACACAGCTTCTGATCGCGACGGTAGGCGCTGCCGGAGCCTCCAGCTGCCACTGGCATGGAATACAGTACACCCTTGGAGGTGACGCCCGGCGCGAACTTCCTTTGCGTACCACAGGGCGGGCCGCGCCACTTGTCCGGCTTTTTCTCCTTTGCACCTTCGCCAGAGAAGTGCTCCAATTCGTAGGAGTAATTGATGAGCCGACGCCGCAACGCGGAACACCAGTCGAGATCGTCCTTGGCGCGGATAGCGAACGACAGAACATTCTCCTCCGGCGCACTGCAGATTGTGAAGGGGTGCCGCTCCCCCCGCCACCAGATTTCTGCGTACTGTCCCGCTTCGTACACAAAGCCCGGGGGGCGCGCGAAGTGCAGCTTCAACGTGTCCCCTTTGGCCAGGGTTGCGGAGTGCAGCACCGCGTAGGGGGACTGCGACTCTTTTCCGAGAATGTGATCGGCGACGATGAGCATCACGGGGGCAAACATCCAGATCAGAAACCGGTGGGGGGCGTGCACAACGATGAACCCGTACCAAATGGCGATGGAGTAGGGACTGTGCCAAATCCAGAACATACGGTACCCGTCTACAACCTTCCACACCCAAGGTATCCCGCAACAGTTGCAAAGTGGTTTGACATCCTTGTCACTTGTCCCTGGCTGATGTGTGGCTGCCTCGGTAGAAGTTGCTGCTCCGGCCTTCTGCCCTGGGCCGACCGTGGGCTTTTGATGAGAGGCATTTCTGCGGACAACGCAGCAGCGGCAGCAGGGGCAGTGCCAGCTGCGGCGACGGGTGTAGTCCAGCGCGAAAATGACGATGGCGAACAGGTGAAGCAGTAAGATCACGCCCGTCCAGCCCACTCCGCGGTGACCGAAGAAGAGAAAATATTCTGCCCAGTGCAGTCCGGAATACTCGTGCCAGATGGAGGGGGGTTCGATAAACAGGTCCCGGTCGTACCAGTACGATTCGCCACTGGTCACCTCAATGGTGTGCATCACGTGTCCCAGCACGTGCAGGATGACGCCGCAGCCGATTCCGTACTTCGCTATGAACTTGTGGTAGCCCACGGGATCTTCGAGCACGAACATGCGCAACGGCGATTGGCGCATGGCCGAAGCGAGAAAGCGGAGCATCGGAAGGGTCAGCAAGCTGCAGGAGAGGTTTAGCACGTACCCGCCAGCCTTCGCGCAGCAGTACCACTGCGACCCGTGGTAGCCCATCTCCAGGTGCAGCAGCCACCCCGCCACGGCGGACCCGAAGAAGCAAACGGCGAGCAGGATCTGTCCCTTGATGTGCAGCGTTCCCAGCGAGCGCCCGTCCTCGCCCTCCCCGGTGGCGCGCCACGCCGTCGTCGTGGCGGCCGGAGTGGCCTTGCCATCTTCGGTTACCGGCTCCACCTTGGTCGTCGGGGTGGAGGACGGCGGCTTGTTCGGCTTTGCAGCATCCCCGCTACCCGCTGCGGCAGCGGCCTTCTTGCGGCGACAACACCCGCAAAGAGCGTTGCCCACGAACGCAGACAAACTGGGGTCCGACCGCTTCCTGCCCGGGTGCGGGGGTACCACGCTGCTCACAGCCTCTTTGGCCAGGACGGACTTGCTTCGCTGGAACCGCTCGTGACGCCCGACCAATATCGCGCGGCGCTCCTCCAGCCACTTTGTAAACTCGCTTTCGTCTCCGCCCAGCGCGCGACGGAGACAGCAGTTGACCCGAAACCGATTTGCGCTCCACTCACTTCCCGGGTGCCGTTTTTGAAACCGCACCAGGCAGATCAGAAAGAGCGGAACCGCCAAGAGCACGAGGCTGCCCAGGATGATGAAGAACCATTCCAAGGGGGACAAAAAGGGCCGCACCGTGATGCGCGCCTTCTGGCTGCGGTTCGAGAAGTCGTCGTTCCGCGTGCTTTTCACGAAGAACGTCCCCGTCTCGGTCATCGCCAGCGGCCGTCCGTAATTGAAGTACGGGCCGGCGGAGTTCAGCTGCGCACAGTTCCGGCCCGCCTGGTCATTGTTGCGGTCCGTGCAAACCGTTTGCCCCAGGTAAGCAAAGCGGATGATCTTTGCCTCGCACTCGGCCCTCTCCTCTTCGTCCGTGTCCTCGTAGTCGCAAAACAAAGTGTGCGCCTCCTTGTCCGACAGTTTCGTGGCGCCGCCGCGGTGCTCCGCGGCGGAAAAAAGTAAACTGCCCCGCGACCCGGCGTCGGCCACGTTGATGGTACCCACCTGGACAAGGTTGGCGCGGTCCGTACCCGCGCGCCCGTTTCCCGCGTTGCCGCGGTTGTTTGCGTCGCTCATCGCCCACTGAAAGTGCAGGTAGTCCCCGGACGTAATCTCCAGGTCGGGAGGCACAAAGTCGTACTCAACGGCCGGATACACTTGCACGATGTTCCCGCGCCGACCCCGCACGTTGTAGTTCACGATGCGCGCGGAGCTGGACACGTCGCTGGGCCGCTCGCGAATGACGAACGCGTGGGAGCGGTCCTGGAAGGTCCGCGCCATCTGATTTTCGTTCGCGTTCACGGTGAGCAGGCGGGCCACGTTGGTCTGGCAGCACCGAAGTGTGACGGGGGAGGACCCGAACCTGGTCCCGGACGGGGTTTTCTGCAGCTGCAGCCGGTAGTCGCTCAGAATGGTTTGCTCCACGTTCGTGATCGGATCGCACCCGTAGTACTTCTCATAGCCTTCCGCCCCGCCAGGCGAGAGCCGCACCACATTTTGGTTATCGGCCGTGAAAACCACGTCTTTGCAGGTGCTCGCGTCGCTCTGCACACGCGGCAGACGCAACGCGTCGCTGCGCTCGTTGTTTTTCACAACGGCTTTCGCCCCGTTCCAGGAGGCATCCACTTGGTCGTAGTAATCCTCGCCCACTTGGTCCTTATTCGCGGGATCCACGCCCACAAAGTCCAGGGTGGTGATGTTGTAACGAATGCGAAACACGCATTTCTCGTTCGCGGGCAGGTAGTCCGGGACTTTCCACACGTAGTGACTGGCCTGTCCGTTGATCTTGCTCTGGAACCCCCCGCCCGCCCCTGCGCTGCCGTAGTTTCCGTTGTGGTTGTCGCGCGTCTTGTAGGCACCGTAGCACTCGGGTGCGCCTTCCTCGCCGCTGCTGTAGTGGCTCTCGACCTCGTCCCAGGACGAAAATTCGGTCCACGCACAACCCAGCGGCTGTCCCCCCGCGCTCGTGAGCGCCATGCACGCGAACTCGTTGTTCGCTTTCGCGCACTCGGAAACGCCGGTCCCCGCGTCGTCCGTCGCGGAGGTAGACCGGCAGTAGTGCTTCCCAACCACGTTCTGGCTGTGCTCCCGGAAGTAGTTGCACCGCTTCTCAGAAGTAAAAATGGCGATGTCGTGCCACGGGGAGGGGTGCCAATACGGGTAGTAGTCGCGCTCCTCGGGGCACTCCAGCCCGTGCCGCTCCCCGTTGTTGTTCTGCCGTGTGGCGGTTGCGCCGCGATCGTTGCGCACGTTGCGGTTCGCCGTGTACAAGCCTCGGTTCCGCTCCCGGGTATAACAGTCCAGGTAGTAGTCCAGCGGCTCGTGCTGTCCGTAGGTGTACACGTCTTTCGTGGTCGTTGTCCCGCCGCCCGCGGTCGGTCGGCTGGACTGCGCGTCGCTAGCCTTGCTGGCGTCGTCGCCGGCGGCCGTGGCCATCTGCTTCGATTTCGGGTACGGATTCAAACCCTGTCCGCCCGCGTTGTTCTGGTTACCGCGCAGGTACCCGTCGCGGATGGCGCCGCGGCTCGTGTCGCCCGACCGCCCGTTGCCGTTCAGCGTCCGTCCCAGCAGCGCGTTGTCGCTGTCGCACATGTACTGCAGGATGACGGTGCACACGACGTTCGGTTGCCGCTCCGCGCCGAGGTCGGACCCGCAGCCGTGCTGCTGGGTCCACTCAATCCACAGCTCCGATCCCCGGTAGTATTGCATCATGCCCTCCATCGCCCCAGGCACCGTGGGGTCGTACTGGTGGTTCTCGTTATCCGGGTCCGCGTCGCAGGCCCTTTCGCACGCGTCACCGACTTGGTAGCCCGCCGCCGCATTGTTCTGCGAATCGAACAGCCTGTTGTCGTTCTGCACGTTGTTGCTTTCCTCGGAAAGCTTGTTGTTACTGCCCCGAGGGTTGTGCAGGTACATGTCGGCAAGCGCGATTCGCACGTAGGCGGAAAGGGAAAGCCATGAAAAGAACGCGATCATTTTCATGTTCCAGACCACGCCGGTTCGGAGCTGCTGGGGCAAGGAAGGTCGTGAAGCAGGAATTGAAAGCATCTTTGGGGGCGACATTGCGATCAGCCACCTGGCGGATGATTTTGCACGAACGACACGCGCACGACTGACTACAAATGAAATCAAAATGTGCTCGCTGCTCGCAATAATTTTGCTCGCTCATCACAAGCACAGGATAAGACAACACGCTCTGAATCGTACACATCGCTCTGCTCTATGCTCTTGTTTCACGACCTTTCACTCCGCTTTAGTTACCAGACCGGAAAACACAGGAAGCCATTGCTTCTCTCAAACAGCTTGTCAGGAGCAGCTGCTGGCGGAGTGGCATCTCCCTAGCCCAATAATCAAGTATCTGGCTGTGCCACAAAAATACCGGGCCGCCCACAAGCAAAGGCGCCCTCGGCGCCCGCGCCACAAGGAAGGGGGCGCCCCAAGTAAATGCCCAAAATGTAGTAGGCCGCGGCGCTACTTCTGCGTCGCTTTAGCGGAACATCCCAAGCGGGGAACGCAGCCACGCGCAAGCCAGCAACCGCCTACCCGGGGTCGCGGGCCCATCGATGTACCACGGGGCCGGTGGCGCGTGGACGTTTCGGGGGCGGCCCGCCGCCTGGGAGTGGCGCGGCGGCATGAAAAGGGGCGGGGGCGATGCGCCGGAAGTGGTGCGCATATTGGGATGGGGCGCAGATACAACGGAAGGCGCTCAGCTGGCAACCGCGCACAAAGCCACGGACCTGCAGCCCTGTCCCTGTTGGCGGCAGCGGCCGGAGGTGCAACGGCTGCCAAGCTTCATCTTCGTCTACGCCGCTGGTGGCCATGATCGGCGCCCAAAGTAAGGCATTGCGCCTGCGGACCATCCGGCGCCTGCGGGATACTTGCGCTGTCCTGGCCTTCGGTCCTCCACGCATCTCATGCCGCCACTGCTTCGCCATCGCAGGAAAACTCTTGTCGTGCGCATCGTCTTCATGTTCCAGACCACGATAACACGCCACTGCCGTACGAGATACACGGATCGTGATCGTGAAGCTGGGGAAAGCTCCTGCATTATTGGCGAGGTTGTCATCGCCCTGGGGGATGTCTTTGAGCGAACTACTACACGCGCACGAAATACAATTACAAATGCAGTCAGTGACTGTGTGGTCTTCTTTTGATCATATCCGGCACAACCACAAAATCCATGAGTTATGACTACATAAGTGCAATTGAATCTCTCTCGCATAATCGGGCACTGTACGTCCCCACTATCTCGCTCAATCGTATACTGACAAGCTCGCTCATTCTGAAAACGAAAAGAAGGTCGCGCTGCTCGACTCGTCCTGCTGGATGATCCCAAGGTGAATAACACCTCTCGTCCTAAGATCTGAGGTGATTGAGACTTAGGTCTGTGTCGCGGAACTGATACTCGTCCAATAGACATGCTGCGCATGATGTGGATTTTTTATACCTTATTTTCTGTCATATTGAATCGATTTGAGCCAGAGCCAGACACGGTTTTTCAGGCCAAATATTCATGTGAGCCGGAAACGAGGACGACAGAAACATGCTGTCTGGAACACAGTCATACTAACTTGTACAATTGTTGCAGACTCAGAAGGGCGGGTCTACTTCGAAACGAAACAATAACGCAGGCAACACTCGGCTATATGTATTCATCATGTTGCGGAAACAGGATTGATATAAGTTGTGGGATGGGACTTCATTTCATTTCGAAGTCGTAATTCCTTGATATTGAAATTGAATTTGCAGAGTTGTAGAGCAAACAAGTACGGGCATGACGGCAGTAGACATGATTAACAGTATGTACAGTAACAACGCTATGACAACATGTGGTATACAGTTTTCTTGTTTCGTGTATGTGTTTATGAGAAGTGAAAAGCAACATAATTATCAGTAGAAGCACAGTGCTCGATGACAAAATGTCGTAGATTGCATGACGCTAAAGACCAAGCGAGTGGATGATCGCTTTTTTTCTCTTGCCTTTTTCACGGTCATCGTCGTCCCAGCGTGTTATGCGCTGTTTCGCAGGTACTAGAGAGCCATACAGCTTTACTGTTGAATTCCCGTACGCTTCGATTTTCTCCCGGACGGTTTGTTTGCTATCGTCTGGCTCAACATCCATTCGCACCAGCTCCGTACGGGTTTTGACCGAAAGGTCGTCCCATACTTGTGACCACGGTTGTGTCCGGCGTGATGTTGCAACGGCTAGTCCAAAGACTTTTGCAACCTGTAGTGGGTACAATAACAAATGCTACAGGTGAAGCTATCACATCCATGTTGCGATCATCTCAACTTGCTTGGGACAACAATCGGTATCGCTATCGGTTTACTTATTTTTTACTTTGATGACATGCTCTGATTTACAATGCAAAATCGAAGAGAAATTCAATCAATTATATACCCTTGTTTTCAGGCCTTCATAAAGAGACATGGTCTCCTGTCGAAGCCCTTTCATGTTGTGAAAAATGGAACCTAACTGCGTGCGCTGGACTTCTTGTTCATCTTGTACCGACTTTAAAATGATTCCCATATAGGTGATGGCCCACCCCGTGGAATTATGCACTGCAAAATGATCGAGGTAGCCAGATAGACCAGGACAACATACAAAAAAAACCAATCATATCAGGAGGGTGAAAGGTATGAGTGGTGTCGTAAAATTGAACTTGAGCACGAGCATAACACTTCACGATCTGCAGATCTATACACCTCTTGTGTTACCTAGGTATCTAAGTCCAATTATACTAGAAATTTGCATACGCATGCTTATCATCAGCTCATGTTGACACCAGATCAGCCCTAATTCAAGGTACTGGAATATTGACGCAAATAGAAATAGGCATTGCAATATGGCACACACTAGAGCGAAGTATATGAATATCCAGCCAACATTGCAAAATAATTCATTTTGCCATATTGGCTGGATATTCTTTGATGTATTCTCAGCATTAGTATTTCATTAAAATACTATATAATACTGAGAATACATCAAAGAATGCAGCACGCTCAAAAGTTTTGAACACCATCAAGATGCATACCTATCAACTATGCCCCGATCTTCATTCATAAAGGACTAGTCCTAGTGGCACAGCATTCTGACGCACGAAAGCGTAAATGGCGTTAGTGTAGTCGGGCACGAAAGCGTAAATGTCGTACAGGAGGTGTTGCAGCGACATGATTGTAATGAAGCGATCTCGAGTGAGTCGCGTCTGCGTCTACACTGTTCAAAAAATACCTGTATATATTTACAGTCCGCTATTTTTATCATTGTTTTCGTGAAGTGAGCGTGCAGTTGTGGGTAAGCTTCGAAATCAAACTTGGCCCCAGAGCTTTTAGGCCAGCAAGTTTATTGACGAGAAAGGCGCAAACAAATAAACCACGACTTCATCAAGGCTGATACGACAACGTTGCAGAATGAAAATGTGTTTATTTTGATTTTGACGAGGCTTTTGTAATGATCCAGTCGGACTCGTATGTATGAAGCCATTGAGTTTAAGTCTCAAAGACGCACGTCAAGGAAAACGCTACCCACGACCCGAGTGACAGTGTGTCCTCTGAAGCTAGCCTGTGTGTCCCCGGCAGCGCGTGGACGAAATAAAGCACGATTTACCAACGCTTGACTTACGAGTAAAAATTGCGGACCATATTTATTTTTCGACTCCGACGGATGTGTAGATCTCGTAGTTGGTCCGTAGTACTATTTGTGGTCCAGCATTATCACAACCACGTACCGGAGCGCACTGGACGCCAAGAACGGAACCTCTAAAGTTTGCCAACTACTTCTGAGATTTACAGCTAAGCTACTATCCACGCGCTGACCCCAGAAGAGCAAAGGCCATTTGAACAAATTCAGAATTTTGCGTGGTATTCCGGAAAGACGAAAAGAAAAACCCCCTACAAACATCAACATATTTGACCGAGGATTTTCGTGCCTTCATGATAGAGTTGGACCTCCGGTAACAGGAACAACAGGAACCCCCCCCCCGACCTGTTTGGTTCCTTCCCAACCACAAGGAAAAATGTAGATGAAGGAACTTATCTGCCTACTGGGCTGATGAAACCCCCCATTTTCTATAAAGAATATGCTCCACGACCATTATATTGGCTTCGAGATTATACATTTTCATTTTGGCTTTCTGCCAGCTGTTGTATTTGCACAAAGAAACAGACATATTGGAGCTGAAGCCTAAACTCATGTAGGCATTTATGAAGGAGGAGAACACCCAGTGTATGAGTTTCGCACCTAAATACATCATTCCAAAACTGAGAATGGACAGCACCAAAGATTGCTGACGCGGACGCGAAAAATTGTACACTCTCCCATTTGATTCACAACATGCAAAAATCAAAACGTTCTAGTACAATGTTGTAATTGTCAAAGATGATTCGTGAGTGAACAAAAAAAAATACATTGCTTGGTCGTGGTACGCATGTATGTTCGAGGTTTTAGCTTTGAAATGTTCGAATATAATGTTCAAAATATAAATATCTGAGCTAGTCTTTCATGTTGGTCAGAGCCAGTATATTAGGTATACGCGAGGAAAGGAACAAATCTAGAAAAATGTAAATGTAAATGTCACAAAAGTCGATTTCAAATTGTTCAAAACGCAGAAAAGATCCAGATTATAGCACAAGCAACACGCTAGAGGAACAAAAGGTGACTAAACGTAAACGCGTCCCCACCGTCACCTTGACGCATAAAAAAATAAGAAGTAGATAAGCACAAATAAATCGGTTATCGGTTATCGGTTAACGCATTATCCTGTTTCTCAGTAAAGTAGTTCTTGTCTGGGAATTTCGATTAAATCGTGGATGTGCGTGCACTATTATTATTGATCTCTTCCTTCGCATGGGATTTGAGGCCTTAGCGCAGAATAAAAGTTCCATCTGCTTCTCTTTGGAACCAAACCCCGCCTACATTCATCTCCTCCTTGCCCTTATTTTCGCAAAAGAAGGTCTCGCTCACTTCGAATCTGACTTCCGGAGCATCTTCGAGTTCCCATGCCAGCGGCTGGCTGGTGAAGCACAAAGAAATGGAAATGCATCATAAGGTCATGTATGTTGATTACCAATACCACTCAAACATTTCATGGCAAACAGTTGCGAATGTAAATCAATGTATATCAACAAGTCAAATTAGTAAAAACATAGTAACTTAAAAAGAAAGCTTGATGCTCGTGTAGCTGCAGGTCGTGATTTGAATCGCTTGGTTTCTTTCGAAATACTTGAAACTGAATCGTGAAAAAAGAATTCAAACCATTTTACAGCGAGCCGGCGTCATTTTTATGCCACATCAACTAGGTGTTCTTCCTTCTTCACTACCCCAGTGGCACTGCTCGTGATTTCCACACCGGACCCGGACTGGGACTGCGCAGACTCTTCTTGCTTCACGGTGAACCACGGACGTATGCTGCTAATGAAGTAGTTGTACCCGATCCAAAAAGCGCCTGCAGGTTCCCACGACGCGGAGTTGTTCGCTACCACTCCTGCTCCGCCTTCTGGTGCTTCTGGTTCTTTCATCTGTGCAACCACTTGTCCATCGCGTAAAAATGGTAATTCACATTCCTCCTCTGCACCAGACCCGTGTCCGTCTGCAAACGGAATGTTGTGCGTGCGTAGGGAAGCAGGGATAACTGGTAAAGACAAAAGGACGCAAACTGTTTCTGGTACCAGCGATTCAAGAAATTGCTCATCGTGATCGCCGTGCCACTGCCAGCAATAGTTTGTGTCTCGGAGATAGCAGCTCATTTGCATCCAGGTCTGCGGGCGCACCGCCTCTGGGCACCGGCGGGAGGTCTTGGAACCTTCTTCATTCAGCCAATTTTCAAAAGGGTCGTCGGCGTAGCTCATGGCCGGGAGGTGGAGCCGCTCTTTTTCGGCAGCTGACAGAGAGAGGCTCTCCTCGTCCTCCAGCAGCTCCTTCAGTCGCCTGGTGTGCCGGACGTAGAAGCCCATGTTGCCTTCCCTCAGCGCAAGCACGGCAGTGCTGCGCCACAGCTCGAGCCTGTATGCGTGGATCCTGCGCTTCCGATCCCGACTTAGCTGCTGTCGCGCCGTTGTCGAGTTCTTGCCCGGGCTGCGATCCGTCAAGATCGGCCCTCGCGGGGCGCATTCATCATCCACAAACGCATCTGACTGGGGACCCGATGAAGACGAAGAAGGCAGTGCTGCGCTAGAGTTTCTCCTCCTTTGTTCGTACTGCTCTCGCTGCACGTCCCGAAACAACTCCTCGCACTCTCTGGAAAGCAAACCCAAACCGCCGCCGACTTCATCCTCGTCGTTCATCTCTTTCGCGTCTTCATCGAATACTGCGCTTCGTTCACGACGACCAAAGGCTGCACTGGTTTCTGAAAAAGCTTCATCCACCACCAACGACGTGCTGACATTGCTGCTAATATGATCAACCACGTTTCCGAGACCCGGCGCAGAGCCGCGAGGCTCCGGCCCCACAAAAAGTTCAGCATTCATCTCGTCACCACCAAAACTCCACTCTTCCTGCTCCTGCGGAACACGATCTGCTTCAGCATCTGGGTTTCTAGTACTAGCGTGTCGACTTGATTGCTGGATTTGCGAAGCTACCCCGGCAAATTGTTCTGTTCCATATTGTTCTTCCTCGCGTCCAACTACGACCGCGTGATCAGGATCATTTTCATCCGCTTTGTCGTCTGCTTCTTGACGATGCCGCACATCGTCATGTCCATTTGTGCCGGTGCAATTTCGACCGGGGATCGCGGAACCGATCTGGCGTTCTTCTCCACCTGCAATCCGAATCATCAACCCGGATTCTTCTACCTCGTCGCGTGTACTTGCATCTTGTACGGTAAAGCTAGACAAGGCATTTCGTGCCTGTGCGTCGGTGCCGCCCCCCTCAAAAATGTAGGAGGCAACGTCTGCGTTTCCGCGTTTTTCTTCGAGGACGCCAAATCGCACTCCCGTGCCAGCAGCTCCTGTTGGACGGAGTTCTGGACGATTCACCTCGCAGCCGCGACCATCTTCGTCCTCTGCAGTAACAGCAACAGCATCTTCATCACGATTCTCTACTTCAAGCTGCAGCACGACGACAGCAGCCATTGCGAACACCGTAGCACAGATGTGGAAGAAAGTGAGCACTTGTTCGCTTTTATCTTCATCCTCGAGATGAAAACGCCACTGATCGTCATGGGACCTTTTGCTGAACACGGGGATGGTCATGCCAAGTCCGGAGGCACGAGCTGGCGCTGCAAGACTCAGTGGCCGTGGAAAATTCAATGCATCACTGCCGTCCTGTGTCTGCCTGCACGTGGTCGGCGGCCAGGGTGCCTCGAGCTGCTGCATGCGGGTACCGCGCATCTTGTTCAGAACAATCAACATCTGAGCGTATTGAAAACTCTGTGACGACGATATCAGGTCGCCAGATCGGAATGGTTTCGGCCGTCCCCCGTAAAAAAATGATCGTGAGCGAACAGATTCAACTAAACGCGAGGTTCCCGGCGGTATCGAGCCGTTGTCTTCGCCCGTGATCGCACCACGAGTGGAAAGAACACAATCAGCACAACAGCTATTCGCACATGCCACTGCGCAGTTGTTGTTGGAGCAGCTCTGCTTTTTGGTATGTGCCCCCACTCCCGTTTCCGTTTGTTCACCGTGGTCTCGCAGCGCCAGGCTTGTCTGCAGCTCGATGTCTACTGGCAGCTCGCTAGCACACCCAAAACTCGAGAAGAGATCAAAACATTCCAACATCATTTCGTCAACGCTCACTATCTCAACTTGTTGACCCTGCAGGTTGACCCTTTTCTTGAACTCGTCGAGTTCGAAGTCCAACGGCGCCTGCACATGCTTGTCGGAAAAAGAAGTTACTTCTTCTCGGGCCCCTGATTGTTGTGCTTCTGTGACGTGATGATCATGTGCTGCTGTACTAGCCACTGCAGCTCGCCGGCTGTATCCTTGTCTTTCAGCATGTGGCCCGTAGCCGATGGCCACGATTTCAATTTCGCCTCGTGGACGTCCTGGTCGTGAATTCGGAGCCGCCCTTGTAGCTGCTGCGGTAGTTGTTGGCCAGAAAATCTTTGCGCTGCACGTTCTGGCCGAGAATCCCTGCTGCGTACGCCACTGCCCTTCACGATCTGCATCTGAAGGGTTCCTGTAGGAACTCAACACCACTGCAGAAGTCGCGTTTTCGATCACGTGTGCGTCCGTTTGGGTTTGATTATTGTTGTGTGGTCCAACCGCCAAATTTGTTGTTAGAGGATCTTTATGGTTGTCGTCTTTCTCATCATCTTTCACCATCGCCAGCCACCCGAGGCTGCTAATGAAACATCCTCCTGCGATGAGAAAAACTGCCATTTTTACTTTCACCTTCTTCTATTTGTTAATTTACTTGAAAACTCGACGTAAAATTCGTTTTTTGGTAGAAAGATGATTCGAAGAATACTACAAGCGTAAAAAAATATGGTACCGAAAAAAATCATGGATATGAAATCCTGTCGCCTTTACCTTTTGATGTTGCGTTGTTGCTTCAATTAAATTTAAATCTGACTCTGAGGTATAAATAATCATGAATAACTATCCATGAGCGATATGAAAGTATGGCATCTTCTTCTTCACGAATATGTGCGTTCGCTCCTCAAGGCGAGGAGCGAGTGACTGTGGTACTTACGTGCTAACTGGTGAGTCCCGAGCTTCCTCCGACCACGCAATCCAAACGATGACACGATCAAATCACGACATGACTAGACAGATGAAGAAGATGAAGATCGAAGACTACTAGAAGATGAAGATAGACAAGATATTTGCCGATCGTCTTTGTCCACTGATTTACCTAGCCTTTGCAACGATGACGATTTTCACGAGGACGACCCTGATGACGATTCTTTCCATGGAGGATGACGCGCTCCTGCTTTTTGTGACTAGTAGGAGCCCACTCGAAATAACCGAATGCTCTGTGGTGTTGTGCTGACTGCAGAACCGCACATTTCTCAGGCGCTGGTATACGAAGACCCCCACGATGCTTTACTTCGTTCTTGCGCGCCTCAGGCTCACGACTACATCAAGAAGAGTAACTTGCTAAATCTAAGCGCTGATCTGGAATTGTGCCTCACCTCACAGGTCCAACCTGCTAGTACAATCTTCAGAAATCCGAACGACACCGACGCGCTGGGCTGGCAAGCGCATCAAGATTGATGCTGCACAGGACCTGTGACAGTGTGAGGGGTAGAGCACAGCGACAGAATCAGGATTTCCGCAAAAATCTATGATAGATCTGGCAGCGGAATTGTCACAAAGCAGGAATCCGAACGAGGCACAAGCTCAGACGAAGCGCACAGAAAAACACAAAACCCTGCGTAGGACCTGTGACAGCGTGCGGAATACAGCACAGATTTTCCGGAAAAATTCACAATAATTCCCGTAGCTGAACTCGGCCCAAAACAGGAATCCGCACGACACACAAGGTCAGGGCAAGCGCAGAGAAAAACCCAAAATCTTGCCTAGGACCTGTGACAACGTGGGGAATACAGCACAAATTTTCTGGAAAATCCAGTAAAACTGTGGCAACGCAAGTTTTCATAGAACAGGAATCCGCACGGGACAAGAGCGCAAGGAAAGCGCAAAAAGAATAGCAAAATCCTGTCCAGGACCTATCACACCATTGGGAATAGAGCACAGATTTTCCAGAAAAGTCCATGATAACTGAAACTGTTGTAGCTCAACTTGGCACAAGACAGGAATCCGCACGCTACACAAGCTCAGGGCAAGCGCACAGAAACGCACAAAATCCTACCCAGGACCTGTGATAACGTGGGCAATCGAGCACAGATTTTCTGGAAAAATCCAGTAAACGTGTGGCAGTGCAAGTTTTCCTAGAACAGGAATCCGCACGGGACAAGGGCGCAAGGCAAGCGTAAAAAGAATAGCCAAATCCTGCCCAGGACCTATCACACCATTGGGAATAGAGCACAGATTTTCCAGAAAAGTCCATCATAACTATTGTAGCTCAAGTTGGCACAAAACAGGAATCCGCACGGTCCACAAGCTCAGGGCAAGCGCACAGAAACGCGCAAAATCCTACCCAGGACCTGTGATAACGTGGGGAATCGAGCACAGATTTTCTGGAAAAATCCAGTAAAAGTGTGGCAGAGCAAGTTTTCCTAGAACAGGAATCCGCACGGGACAAGGGCGCAAGGCAAGCGCAAAAAGAATAGCAAAATCCTGCCCAGGACCTATCACACCATTGGGAATAGAGCACAGATTTTCCAGAAAAGTCCATCATAACTATTGTAGCTCAAGTTGGCACAAAACAGGAATCCGCACGGTCCACAAGCTCAGGGCAAGCGCACAGAGACGCGCAAAATCCTACCCAGGACCTGTGATAACGTGGGGAATCGAGCACAGATTTTCTGGAAAAATCCAGTAAAAGTGTGGCAGAGCAAGTTTTCCTCGAACAGGAATCCGCACGGGACAAGGGCGCAAGGCAAGCGCAAAAAGAATAGCAAAATCCTGCCCAGGACCTATCATACCATTGGGAATAGAGCACAGATTTTCCAGAAAAGTCCATGATAACTATTGTAGCTCAACTTGGCACAGAAAAGGAATCCGCACGCTACACAAGCTTCGGGCAAGCGCACAGAAACGCACAAAATCCTATCCAGGACCTGCGATAACGTGGGGAATCGAGCACAGATTTTCTGGAAAAATCCAGTAAAAGTGTGGCAGTGCAAGTTTTCCTAGAACAGGAATCCGCACGGGACAAGGGCGCAAGGCAAGCGCAAAAAGAATAGCAAAATCCTGCCCAGGACCTATCACACCATTGGGAATAGAGCACAGATTTTCCAGAAAAGTCCATGATAACTATTGTAGCTCAACTTGGCACAGAAAAGGAATCCGCACGCTACACAAGCTTCGGGCAAGCGCACAGAAACGCACAAAATCCTATCCAGGACCTGCGATAACGTGGGGAATCGAGCACAGATTTTCTGGAAAAATCCAGTAAAAGTGTGGCAGTGCAAGTTTTCCTAGAACAGGAATCCGCACGGGACAAGGGCGCAAGGCAAGCGCAAAAAGAATAGCAAAATCCTGCCCAGGACCTATCACACCATTGGGAATAGAGCACAGATTTTCCAGAAAAGTCCATGATAACTATTGTAGCTCAACTTGGCACAGAAAAGGAATCCGCACGCTACACAAGCTTCGGGCAAGCGCACAGAAACGCACAAAATCCTATCCAGGACCTGCGATAACGTGGGGAATCGAGCACAGATTTTCTGGAAAAATCCAGTAAAAGTGTGGCAGTGCAAGTTTTCCTAGAACAGGAATCCGCACGGGACAAGGGCGCAAGGCAAGCGCAAAAAGAATAGCAAAATCCTGCCCAGGACCTATCACACCATTGGGAATAGAGCACAGATTTTCCAGAAAAGTCCATGATAACTATTGTAGCTCAACTTGGCACAGAAAAGGAATCCGCACGCTACACAAGCTTCGGGCAAGCGCACAGAAACGCACAAAATCCTATCCAGGACCTGCGATAACGTGGGGAATCGAGCACAGATTTTCTGGAAAAATCCAGTAAAAGTGTGGCAGTGCAAGTTTTCCTAGAACAGGAATCCGCACGGGACAAGGGCGCAAGGCAAGCGCAAAAAGAATAGCAAAATCCTACCCAGGACCTATCACACCATTGGGAATAGAGCACAGATTTTCCAGAAAAGTCCATGATAACTATTGTAGCTCAACTTGGCACAAAACAGGAATCCGCACGCTACACAAGCTTCGGGCAAGCGCACAGAAACGCACAAAATCCTATCCAGGACCTGCGATAACGTGGGGAATCGAGCACAGATTTTCTGGAAAAATCCAGTAAAAGTGTGGCAGTGCAAGTTTTCCTAGAACAGGAATCCGCACGGGACAAGGGCGCAAGGTAAGCGCAAAAAGAATAGAAAAATCCTGCCCAGGACCTGTCACACCATGGGGAATAGAGCACAGATTTTCCAGAAAAGTCCATGATAACTATTGTAGCTCAAGCTGGCACAAAACAGGAATCCGCACGAGGCACAAGTTCGGGGCAACGGCAAGCGCACATGGAAGTATAAAATTATGCGTAGGACCTGCGACACCGTGGGAATAGAGCACACACAGCTGCTCTTCATTCTATTTATTATTTTTATTCCGAAAGATATTTGCTTAAGTAAAGCCGTGAAGGCCGAACAGGCGTTCAGACTGAGACTTCTCATATGACACCAGTTTTGCGCACGTCTAGGTGCGAGGGGGCAAACACAAAAAATAAAAAAAGCAACAAAATCCTTCCCAGGACCCGCGACAGCGTGTGGCACACTTGGGCTTGGTCTTAGACGCTCCTTTGCATGAGTTGCTATAGTTTTCGAAAGTCGTGCACAGAGAAGTACAATCGTCACGATTTCACTTTTCTGGTTTCGTGCAACAGGTCCTATTCGTTGTAGCGTAGCGTACCAAACGAGTAAAAGAAGAATTTTCTAATTTCTATTTCTACTCGGCTCTCGAATCGCGAAAATGAAGAAAAGTTCAAGTTGTACCCTCCCAAGTCAAAATAAATATTAGCTCCTTACACTTTCACTTGTTGATGGCATCTACGATAAAGTCAGTGAGTAAGAAAGCAGCTTCGTGAGAAACCAGACATGAAAATTGAGCTCGCAAGATTTCTAGCCCCCTGGGACGAGAACGGAGCGTAGCTTGAGCCTACTTCAGCGATGTAAAACCTAGTTCGTTGACATTATGAGCCTCAGCCTGTAGTTCTATTCTCACGAATTTTACGATACTTTGCCTTTCAGCGTGCCTCTGCCTACTGCGTGATGTTACAACCATCTTCAACAACCAGTAGGGGTAGGTACGTAACAGCATTTTTTCATTTCGCTATATTGTACAAGTGTTTTTATAATCTGTGCTTGCAATTATTATAATAGAAATTTTTGTATTTCTATTTTTCTTTTGGAAACAGTTTCATTAATTTCTGTGACACGGTTTCTCTTGTCGCTTTTTGCGCAACATCTTTCACAATGTCAATCGCAATGCGTTTCTTTGGCTCCGTGCATTTCGTGTACTTAGTTCTACAATTGTAGCACGTCACATCTCGCGCTCGCGAAAATGCCCATCGACAACTCAACATTTCGGCATTGGCAGCTTTATTGCACAGAGTATGAATTTTTCGGCTTCTTGACATTTTATTTGCCTGCTTCTAGCGAAAGGCGACCGCGCCCCGTTTCTTCTTTTGCGTTGGACTTCGACTGCGTGAGGGGCTCTGATGCAACCGGCTGTAAATGTTGCTGTTGCCGTAGTTGTTGTTCAGTGTGGCGCTTTCCTCGCTGCCCCGCCGCGCGATGATGCGTGCGGGTGAAACCGATTGCTGACGACTGCTGGAGCCAACCGCATTATAGCTGTTCAGCATCGCGATGCGCCGCTTCAACGACGTCGACGGCTTCTTGATCTGTCCTCTCGATGTGCTGGAACCGCCCGACACAAGCGAGAGGCCGGACGCACCGCTTTCGAGCATCGAGCGCGACGGCGGTTCGAACACATACGCGTTGCCAAACTCATCGCGAACGCGCGGATGCTCGTGAAGTTCTTCGTTCTGGTGCGCTCCAGCTGCGCCCGCATCGGTCGGACTTTTCCAATACAGCAAGCGATTGCCCTGTTGCGTCGGGGGGTTCGGAATCGAAGAAACTTGGTCTTGTGCAAATGAGGACGGTGTTGACACGAACCGACCTTCAGCACTGGAGCCGGTTGCGTCAGCTCCTCTATGCGGTAGAAGGTCAGCGCGGTGCGGGAACGGTAAGTTCAGGTTTCGCTGCTGCGCCACTGGCTGCTGTTGCGTTGCTGTAGTGGACGCGTGAGCTTGCTGCTGTACTCCACCGACAGCTGGCGACTGCTGTATCACCAACGACGGTTGATAAGAGCCTGTTCGCACGACGGGATTCGGTTGCGAAGCGAGCAACGCAGCGTTGTATCGCGCGACGTCAAGCGGGGTCTGCAGGATTGGAACCCCAGCGGCATTGTAGACAATGCTCGGGTGCTGCTGGTGCTGGTGCGGCAGCGTCGTGTACAGTTGCTCCGGGGCGACGGCACCGTGCAGTGCCGTCTGGACTTTTGATCCGACTTTCTGTGTTGGCGGGGGCCTGCGCTTCAATGGCGAAGATGCGGTGCGGCTGACGCTGCGCGAAGTTGAGCCCAAGCCGCCCCCACGACTTGCAGTGCTGGTTGCTCGCGAAGACCTTGTGGCGGAGTTGTTTCGTCTTGCTGAGGTTGGAGCTGCGACTGAGCGCTTCGATTTATTCGCTGCACTTGCGGCAGCGGTCCGGGGTGTTCGCTTCTTCGACGCTTTTGCGCTGCTCTTCCGACTAGATGTTGAGGGTTGGGGCGCGGCTTGCTCCCCGGGATTGTAGAGGGCACGCAAGTAATCCTCGTAGGTGCGCGACTGGATCTGCTGCATCTGTACCCTCGGATCCAAAACTGGCGTGGACGACGTTACCGGGGGAGGCACCACGCGGGCCTGGACCCATTGACCGCTGTTTGGGTCTTGGAACACCACTACTTCTTGGGAAGCCATTTGCGGCCCTGCTGCTCCTGCAGCAGTAGTACTGAAACCTGCTTGAGTTGGTGGCACGACCGACGCTGTGGCAGAGACAACACGCGATGGCGGCACAAAAGACGATGTAGCTTGTGGCAACGCTACGTGCGGCTGTTGCTGGTTGTACAAATGCGCAGCAGCGGAAGCTCCCGCACTAGAAGAAGTCGCATGCTGCAGCTCGTCCTGGAATATTATCGGCTGTACTTGATGCGGACCGTCAATTTGATGGCCATCGTCCGTTGACACGATCACGTGGCCAGCGGCCGCAAACGCCGAGGGTGTGGCGTCAAACGTCTGACTGTCTTCGGCGCGACTGCGCTCGGCGATGGCGTCCTCTTCGATCTTTTTAACTCTTTCCTCCTGCGCCTCCATCATTGTACGGTGCAAGTCTTTCTCCCGCTCCGAAGCTTCCAACAACCGCTGCAGGTCCAGGTCAGCCAAGCGACGGCGCTCCTGCTCTTCCTTGAGCAAATTCTGCATCTCGACCAACTCCTTTTCCAACCGCGTGTTGTCGTGCTTGTAGATGTCCTTCTGTTCCTTCGCTATCTGGTTGGTCTCGGCAAACACGTTCTCGTCGATTTTCTTCTGCGACTGCAGCGTGGAAATCTTTTCGACGCTCTCTTCCCGGAGGGAGTCGATCTGCTTCTGAAACTCGCTCTGCTGCCGGTCAAACTCCTGTTTCAGCTCGGAAAGCGAGAGCGCTTTTTCGTTTGTGCTGCTCCTCCCCACACCGGCGTTCAGCATCACGAGCGACTCGGATTTCGTCGGCTGCAGTGATTTCAGGATGAACGCGCCGGTCGCGTCCTCATTGAGCGAGACGCCGTATCGAGGCCTGATGGGGGACAAGTCTTGGGAATCCAGGACGTTCGCGCCAGGATAGGCAGCGACACTCGCGCCGGTGAGAACTTTTTTCTGCTGTGTCTGTGCGGTGCGATTTTTCGGTTTCAGGTCTTGGTTCTCGTCTAGCAGAAGAACGCTCGGCTCGTTGTCCTCGATCACGATCGTTGTCGATGACCGGCCCTTCGCCTGAGGCTCCAAATGCACCGCAAACGGCTCTTCCTCGCTAGCGCTGCCGATGCCCGCCTCCGCAAGCCTCTTGCGCATTTCCGCGGCCCAAGCCGGGCTTGTGTCCCGTTTGATCTTTACAGCGGGAGAAGATCGGTCGCTCGGCGAGAGATCCTTCTGTTCATCTTCGATGCCCATCGGCACCTCTTCGAGCTCCTCTTGCTCAGCATCTTCGTCCACCTGACCTGGATAGTCTTGATTTTCGTCGTCGTCGTTCATGAACAAAAAGTTCCGTTTTTCCTGCCTTGTTGACGTAGTACTGCCACGTCCGCCTCGATGAATCTTGCCGTGGATGGACCGTGCCGTGATTTTGCGGTTTGATGTCACCAGCTTCGACGGTGAGGTTTCCGTGCCGGACGACAGTGTCCTTGTCGTGGTATTCAATCGCCGCTCCGCGGAGTTTGTGCGACTGCGCAACTTCTCGTTGTGCTGCCGGCGCAACTTGTCTAGCGTCCGAGAGGCCTCGAGCAGCGACGCTTTTTGGAACTCGTGCTTTTCCGGACTGGCGGACCGCGAGCGCTGGCCTTTCCTTCTGTTTGTCCCATGGGGCTGCTCTTGTTTCTGCTGCTTCGCCAGGGTCTTTTGGTACAGCGCGGAACTGGCGTGAGTGATGCGGAAGGACGGTAGGTTTTGTACACCCCCTGTGGTTCCAGTTCCAGAGGCGATGGAGTGTTGTTGTTCTGGCTCCTGCTCTGTGGTGTCAAAGACCCTTCGAGCGATTTTTCCTGCTTGGTTCAACCCAAATTCGGCGGTCAAGCTCTTCGCTTCAACCGGCGACCCCTCCGTGAACACGGGACTCGGCTTGGATATGTTGTTCACTTTATTTCTTGCACCAACATCTGCTGGCGGATAGACAGCAGCAGTGCAGGTGTCTACTTGACCTTGCAATCCATTCGACGAGGGAATGAATTTTATCACGCCGGACTTCGTGACGTAGGACGTGGACGGTGGCGTCGTTTCCTCCTGGCCCTCTACATCCAATCCGCGAATGGCGTCTTTGATTTCGCTGGGCAGCACGTCCAGGTCCTCCGCTTTGAGTTCCCGGAACAAAGAGCGAATGCTCTGTCGATCCAGGCTTTTCAGAAACGGCGGCGTGATCATTTCGGAAGAATTTACTCTAGAAACGGACGATCCGCCGGATCTACTGAGGCCTTGTCGGAGCTTGCTCGTCGTTACCGGGGGACTCGACATAGGGACCAGCTTCATCTTGCTGGACTGCGGGTCTCCCTGTGAGGAATGGACTTCTGTTCCGTCGCCAAACATCGGTGTGTCGGTTGTTACCTGCTGCTCGCTGTTGGTCGGCGGGGATTCGGCTTTTTTCTGTGCTGCAGCTTCTGTCCCATGATCTGCCACCGTTGCGTGATTCTTCGCAGCCTGCGCTGCTTCCTGTTCTCTCTCAGCACGTAGCCTTTCGATTTCTTGCAGTAGTGCTTGTTTTTCCTGTTCCCGTTGCGCTTCCATTTCCTTCGCCAGCTTCTGCTTTTCCGCTTCCAATTTTGCTCTTACCAGTTCCAGCTCCTGGTCCTTCTCCTTTTTCACCTTTGCTATTTCACTTTCCGCCTCCTTGCTCCGTTGCTGCGCAATCAGCTCGACATCCTCCTGGTGCGCCTTGGATTGCGATTCCAAGCGGCTGGTGGTCTCTAGTACGTGAGACTTTGCACTTTGCAACTCTTCCTGCAATACATGGATCTTCTCCTCCGCCTGTTGCGCCTCGTCGCGCCGCTGTTGCATTTGCTTCGCCAAGTCCTCTTCCAGTCCACTCTTCTCCCGTGTGACGCCAGAGTAGCTGCAAGTAGAAAAGTGTTTTGAGGTTGTACGAAACAGGAACAATGCCTGGAAGTAGAAGTAGAAGCAGAAAAAAGATGATATGATCGTCAACGTCAGCTTCAACGACGTGGGCAGAAATACTAACTCGTACTCCGTAGAGCTTAGTAAAACTAAAATCAGAATCATAATTTATACTTGGACTCAATTTCCTGCATGGCTTCTTTGTACATCGCTTCCAGATTTTTCAATTCTTCCAGGTACTGCTGCTTCAATGCTTCTTGCTCCATTTTCGTTTTTTCCTTTTCCTTGTCCTTTTCTGCCCTTTCCTGGGCCAGGAGTTCTGCCTGCCGGTTCTCCATGCTCTCTAGCAATGCCTGCTTCTCCGCGTTCACTTCGTTCAACAAATTCTGCTCCACGCTGTTCCGTTCGGCTTGCACCCGCGCCTGCCACTCCAGCTCCATATTCGCGACGGTTTTCTTGAACATTTCCTCCTGGTCCTTCAGGATCCGCTCCGTCTCTCTCTGTTGGCACTCAGCAATTTGGAGTCGCGCTTCGCAAACCTTCTTCACCTTCTCAGCACTGTCGCGTTCCTTTTCCAGGGCGTGCATCTTGTCCAGCAGCTGGGCGCGCTCGGTTTCCTGTGTACAGTCGGTACTAGATATGGCATCTCTACGCTGTTTGAGTTGTCTTTGTGTTGTAGTCGCACGACTCTTCTAGTAGTAAAACTTTTTCTGCAATAAATCTAAAATCAGAAAGCCAAAACGAGTATGCTTATTTACCATGAACTTCTCCGCTGCCTCCTTCTCTGCCACCAATTTCCTTTGCAAGGCTTCTACAGCCTGCTGCTCCCTGGCACGCGCTTCCGAAATCTCGTTGCGCTCACTGTCGACGGCGGCAAGTTTCTGTTCGAGTGCCAAAATTTCCGTCGTTTTCTCCCTGTCCACGTCTAAAGTTCGTTGCTGTAACTTCACCGATTCCACGGCGGCCTGCAGAGAAATGTAAAAAAGCTTTAGTGTACTTTACTTATCTTTACTGTCATCAGATCAACAAGATCTACCTCTGCGTTCTTAGAGAAGGTTGGTCTGAAAGCGTAATAATCCAAGATATTCGCGGTCATCAAGTTTTGGGCATCATCTAGTATGATGTACCTGTTCCTTCATCCTCGCCAGTTCGGCTGTCATTTCGTCGAGTTTTTGTTCTAAAGCTGTCTTTTCGCTTTGCAAGCGCACGACAACGTGATTGTTTATGTTCCTGGCAGCTTCGCTTTGCAGCCGCTCTTCCTCTGTGATGACATGTATCTTCGGTGGAATGACTGGGTTGCAGCTCTGGTGGCTGGTCGTTCCCCCAAACGTGACTTCCATTTCGTTCTCCACATCCACGCGAAACTCTAGCGAATTACTCGCCTCCGGAACTGCTCGATCCTCCTTCGCCTCTCGCTCCACGGGAGTGGACAGGCTACCGTACGGTCCGGACGTGCTCATAGCGCTTCCTGGTGGCCCAGCAGCTACACCTGAGTTACCTGCGTGTTCTTCGGGTTGTTCGCTCAACACAACTATTTGATTGCTTTTTTCCGCTGCTTCAACTGTCGCACCTCCGTCAACACTTTGGTGTTCCCGGGGTGGCGGTTTGGTGCTGTTCTGCAGATGTTTGACCCAACTCGAAGTCAAGTGCAGCACTCTGCCGAGAAAGATCCGGACGAACTGCAACGCCGCAGAGTTGCTATGCAGCACGAGTTCGCCGCCCGGGTCGGCCTCGCGAAACAGCTGGTACCACAGTACGTCGGGGCAGTCAGTCGGTTCGGGGAATCCGCACATCGCCATCGCGTCGTGGATAAACCGAATCGCCTTCTCGCCCCACGGGATGGAAACCAGGTCAGGGGAACTCAGCTCGTCCAAGTTTATCAGTACCTGGTCCACCGCCCGGGCCAACTGCTCCCGATCCGCTCGCACGGACTTCAGTGCGTCAATGACGTCCTTGGACGTCGTGTAGACCATGTACCAGGTAGTCACCTGCTTGTTGTTCGCCACCGGGGGTGGCGTCGTGCCGCTAGAGGGAAGCATCAAAACAGGCGGTTGCGAGCTCAGGACCGCGGTTGGCATTCCCGGCAAATACACCGTGCGACTGATAGCGATTTCCGGTGCCACTTTGCTGCTGAGCAGCCACAGGTTGCGCAGGAAGAAATACAGGAATTGCACGGCTGTCGTTTCCACTGAAGTAACCACGCCGGCTGTCGTCGTAGCCGGATGGTGGCGCGTGGCTGTTGTAAAAGTGTTGTCATCACATTTGAGTTTTTGCGTAGCAAAAAGGTGGCTTTTGCTTTGATTAGCATCCGCGAGCCCACACAACAGTCTTGATTTTCGTCCCCCTAAATTGCGCAAGAAAAATCGCAAGCCAAAAAGCCTTGCGCGACCTAATTCTCGTGCGCAAAAACACACGCCGGGAATTGGCGCAGGCTCTTTTTGCTTTGATTAGCATCCGCGAGTCCCCACAACAGTCTTGATTTTTTTTCGTGCCCCTGAATTGCGCAAGAAAAGTCGCAAGCCAAAAACCCTTGCTCGACCTAATTCTCGTGCGGAAGAACACACGCCGGGAATTGGCGCAGGTTGGTTTTGCTTTGATTGGCATCCTCGAGCCCCCCCAACAGTCTTGATTTTCGCCCCCCGAAATTGCGCTAGAAAAGTCGCAAGCCAAAAACCCTTGCTCGACCTAATTCTCGTGCGGAAGAACACACGCCGGGAATTGGCGCAGGTTGGTTTTGCTTTGATTAGCATCCTCGAGCCCCCCCAACAGTCTTGATTTTCGCCCCCCGAAATTGCGCAAGGAAAATCACAAGCCCGGATGCCTTACGCGAGCTAATTCTTGCGCGGAAGAACACGCGCCGGAAATTGGCGCAGGTTGGTTTTGCTGTGATTAGCATCCTCGAGCCCCCCCAACAGTCTTGATTTTCGCCCCCCGGAATTGCGCAAGGAAAATCGCAAGCCCAAATGCCTTGCGCGAGCTAATTCTTGAGCGGAAGAACACGCGCCGGAAATTGGCGCAGGTTGGTTTTGCTTTGATTAGCATCCCCGAGCCCCCCCAACAGTCTTGATTTTCGCCCCCCGAAATTGCGCAAGGAAAATCGCAAGCCTAAATGCTTTGCGCGAGCTAATTCTCGCGCGGAAAAACACACGCCGGGGATTGGCGCAGGTGGTTCATGCTTTGATTTATTAGCATCCCCGAGCCCCCACATTGTGGGGGCTCGGGGATGTGGCAAGACTCTTGTGGCAAGAGTCTTGATTTTCGCCCCCCTAAATTGCGCAAGAAAAATCGCAAGCCCAAACGCCTTGCGCGACCGAGTTCTCGCGCGGAAGAACACACGCCGGGAATTGGCGCAGGTGGTTCATGCTTTGATTAGCATCTCCGACTCCCAGCAACAATCTTGATTTTCGCCCCCCCGAATTGCGCAAAAAAGATCGAGTTTCTCTTGTATCGATTAGCATCTACATCTAGAAGGCCCGCCTAGTATAATGTTGGTTGATGTTGTTAGCCGCAATACCTTTGCACACGTTGTAGAGCTTACCGCTTGCGCGTTTCTAACTTCGCAAGTCATCATACATGAAGATGAAAGCAAGATTTTCTACCTCTCTCCAACTCGTTCCAGTTTTCCAGCTGCTCTCGCATCACGGGCGACAAGCGCCGCAGGCGGCGATACGCTTTATCCTCCATGTAGGGCGATGGCATACGGGGGCTCAGGGGGCTGGAGTCGCACTTCGCGAGCAGCGACCGCACGAGAAATCTCTCGAACTCGCGACACACGGCCAACCACACCGCGCGCGACATCTGCGGCGTCGGGGTTCGGAGAATCTGGTGGAAAACCAAAATGATGTACTCCGTCAGCGATGCCCAGGAGTTTTTCTTCGCCTCGATCGGGGAACCGGACGACTTTGTCTGCGAGTTTGGCGATTTTTTTGTCGCATCCACCACTCTTGGGGAGGTTGTTGCGGTGTTAGCGTCGGTCCGTTGCACCGCTTCGCGATTCAGTCGCATCAGGTCATCTGGAAGCGAATTTAGCTTCCGCACCTGCGTCGTCGTGCGGTTCTCGGTAACGGTAAACGGCACGACTTCGCCCGCGTACTGCGATGGCGCGAGCAGACGGGAGGAATTTCCGTTTTTGTTCAAATAACTCTGAAGCGGCGCCGTACGCGTCATGGTGAAGGCTTCCACCGTGCGCGCAAAATCCTTTTCGAGTTGCGTCAGCACGTCTTCCAGGCGGGCCAGCTGCTTGGAGTCCGTGAACGACTCCCAGTAACGAACCATGGCAGTCGCATGGTCCGGGAAAAGAGGCGCGGTCGTTCGCCACGCACGACCGTCGAACCACATATCGACGAGCGAAGCAGACGCAAAGTCCCCGAGTTTGTTTTCCAGCTCAACAGATGCCTCTGCACTACTGTCGAGGCCCTGCTGCACTGCCTCGTGAGCGTCTTGTGCGGGCTCGGTTTCTCCTGAAAAAACAGCGCGCGTAGCAGCGTGTTCCTCCGGACTTGCGAGCATCACCAATGGCTCGACGTCCACTTCGGCGCTCAGGAAAGCCCGACCGCTCGAGGGCGCGGAATGGATGCTGCTGAGCATCTTGGAAGACGAGACGGTGGCGGAAGGGCCGCCGATGCCAATGTGCCCCGCTTCCACGGAGGACTTGCTGATACTCAGAGAGAAAGACGCCTCGCTCTGCTTTGACCCATCCGCAGAAGAGGAGGCACTGCGGTTCAAAACGTCTTCGGCCCGCCCGGCGTCAAGAGCCTCATCTGCTTGAGGTCCTCGATTCAGCACCTCATTGGTTGCGCCTGTTGTTCCTTCGACAGAGATCTGATCAGACGCGGGCAGATACGACACAGACACCGTCTCCACCTCGGGCGCCACCTCGTGTGTCACCAAGTGGTCACTTTCGATTTCCTTGGGCGAGTCCGCACCTGGGACCTCCACCTGCACCAAGTCTGGCGACCGCCGCGGCACGCTCTCGGGCCGTGGTGGTCGGCCCAGCGCGGGGGTGGGGAACCGACTGGTATTGGGGCTCTGCGAGGTCATCGCATTCCGTGCCGTCTGCGAAAGCAGACTGACGCTCTCCAGAACCGTCGGGTCCGTCGGCGAGGGCGCAACCTTGATCTCCTCCTGTTTTATCACTGCGTTGCTCGGGTTCCGCACGATGATGCGTGTGGGAGCGGATACCGAGGGTGCACTCTTGGGTTTAGCCACTGCCGGTTGCGTTTTCTGCATCGTTGTACCGGTTGAATTCTGTACCTCTACTTTCCGACTGTGCTTGCCGTCGCTTACATAAGCGTACTTCAGTTCTGGCACTGCGGAGGGCGTGCGACTCAGGCCCGCGCCAAGAATCTCCGTTTTGATTGTTGTTCCAGGCTGGCTGGGCTTCGTGCTGCCTACTTGAGCGGGTAGCTTAGAGACTACCCGCTGGCTCCCGCCACCTCTAGGTGCGGAAACAGACCGCAAAGGCAGCGTATCCCAGGTGCGGTTTGGAAGATCGGTCGATAACGGCTTCGGGCCCGCAATCACTCCGAAGGGAACGCGCATCGCGGATGGTGCTTTGACGGCACTCGACGGTGCAGGAACTTGAACCGATGTTGACCCACCGCCTCGCGGAGAGGGCGCAACTACCGAAGCCGGTGACTTCTGCTTCGCGACTGAGGTTGTTGTTTGAGCCGGTTTGTGGCTGGACGTCGCGGCCGGTATTTGGATCGTCGGCGTGGGAATATTGCCAAAATCTGTTTTCAAATTCAACGCCGTGCCCGGAATCATCGCAGGCACGGACGAAGACGTTTGCAGAATGGTTTTCGGGACCGTGGGCGTGTAGTAAGTCAGCTTCGTGTTCACCTGGGGCGTCGATAGGACCTTCCCACCACCCGGCACCTGCAAAAATTGCTTCGGTGGCGGGTTGATCGTACCATTCGTCGTTGAAGTTGAATTCGGAGCAGGCTTTTTTTCAGGCTCCTTCTTATTTGCACTACCCCCAGCAGCTGTAGTAGATTTCTTTCCGGAAGAAGGCGCCTCTGGCAGCGTGGTCGTGCTGTGTCTTGGCGTTGGATGCTGCACGAGCGTCGGCGTGCCGCCTGTCACACTGGGCGACCGCGCGGCAGAGACCGAACGTGAGACAGCGGGACTGACACTTGTAAACTTTCCCATCGTGCTGGGGTCGAATCGGAGGAGACGAGGTGTCGTGGACCGACTTGCCGCGTGAATCGGCGGCCCTGTCGTGAGCAGGCTTCGTGGCATGGGTGAGCTCCCGCGATCCAAAACCTTGTTCTGCGACCCTGGTGCGACAGTCGCACTACCACTGACTGCAGTCGTGGGACGAGGTCCAGTCGTGACAACGCGCGTTGAAGTCACGATCCTGCTGCTGCTGCTAGTCGCGCCACCTTGCAAGTTGATTTTGCCGCTTCCAGCTGGCTGCGTATTGAACAAAATCGGGGCTGGGACCCGTGTTGCGGGAAGCGAAAACCGACGTGCTTGCTGCGAGAGAGTCGTAGAAGAGGTGGATCCTGTGCTGGGCTGAGAAACGCCCTTTGCACCACCTCCCGTTTGACTTGCTTGCCTGGTCGAGGACATCTTCGCGTGGCGGTGTCTTTGCCTAGAGCTAGAACTGTTTCTGGATCTTGATGTTGAAAACTCTTCGTCGTCTCTGAGTTGGATTTATCATCCGTGTAGTACACGTACGAGCATGCTACTAATGCCGGTAATGCGTTTCGGTCGTTTATTTGCATGCGAATGCGCGATTTGCGATTTTCGGGCACGATCACCTGAAACGAGTCGACACACGACATGGCCGGATCTCTCTCCACCATGCCGAACTACTAACCTCATACACTCGTCAACATGCGACAAACGAAGTGCGAAGCGGTGCATTATCTCCTGCCACCAGCGAACTACGAAGCGATGTCGATTGGGATTGGAATGAAATGCGAAAAAAAAACTACCACGAAGCAACCGGAGCGAAGGTGGGTCAGCAGGAGCAGCGCCTTGGATCTATTACAAGCCAAGTGTCACCAGCACGCGGTGAAGTGGTGCGCAAAAGCCAAGGGAGAGATCTGTGCCCGTCGCCAAGAGCCAGCAATTTTGGTACAGTGTCAAAGAAGTTGGTGCATTTGTTCGTCTCAAAAGCCACAATGAATGATTCAAGTAGAACGACATCATCATCGGCAATCATGTGTTATGTGATCAAAACACAAACAACATTACATCAGAAACAGAATAGTAGTTCGAGAAATAGCCTCAAAAGTTGTGATCGGACTGACTTAAGCGTCGTTATCTCCCCCAGGTGGACGACCACGCGACCAGGTGAAGTCAACGCTTGCGTCGTAGCGCTGAAGCTGACTCAGCACCAGCTCATCAGATTTGCTGCTTTTATTTAGGTAGTTTTAGTACCAAAGCAGGGAAGCTAGAAAGAGCAGCGGAAAATGTAAAATAAATGTCACTTCGACTTCTGTATTAGTATCTATTTACTCAAGGCTTAATCTTCTGTGCGCGCGCTGCGGATTCCGCACCGGGTAGGGCTGAAGGACGGCAACTGAGCTTGCTACTCGAAGTCGCCAAAACTGCGGGCGCGGAGCCGCCTCGAGCAAACACGGAGGGTGCCTGCAGTCGCGATTTTATTGAAGAAGACACCGCGGCTGAAGACGAGGAGGGGCCACTACCTCCTGACGCCTGCACGACAGCAACATTGGACGCTGATGCACCCGTACCACTACCGGCTTTTTCATCATCTGCGCCCTTCTTTTCGATTTCCTCGCAAAGCAGCTCCAGTTCGGCCATCTGAAACTCGTCCAACAGGTCCTGTTCTTCGACGTTTTCGCAAACGGGTGCAGTGTCTTCTAGAATGGTCTCTTCATGTACCGTCGTCAACGGCTGTCTTTCTTCGGAAGTTGGTTCTTTGCCGTGGGAAACGAGCACAAGGTGATCAACTTTTTGCTCGTTTTGTTTGTGCAGTTCTTTTGATGCTTCCTCCTCACTTCGATTCATCTTCTGGTTGTTATTTTCGACGCCCTTTCCTTCAGCCTTTATTTCAGCATCTTCATCTTCATCGCCGTCTTTTGCTTTGTTTTCTCTTCGGTACTTCTCGCGCAGTTCTTTCTTTCTATCTTCCCACACATCCATGCTTTCGTGTTCCTTCAAGATACCCATCTGCACGAGCGTGTTTCGCCGTGGACGCCACGGACCCTTGGCGGGGCGGCACACCCCGCACCAGCAGTAGTTCTTCAGCTGTTCTTCTTTTTCGAGCTTCTTCCGCCGCCGGGCCAGCTCGGCGTGGATCTGCTCGATGCTGCACTTCTTGTACGCGCGGTCCAGCCGGGCGTACAGCGCGTTCATCTTTTCCTGCTTCTTCTTATCCACCACGTACCCCTGTCGCTCTTCTGGCACCACCAGGGAAACCCGCGGCTTGCCCTGCTTGTGCTGGATGCGGTCGAGCACCCCGAGACTCTGTCGCTCTTGCTCCGTCATCTCCCCCCAGGGCTTTTCGAAGGGTTTCAGCTCGAGTTCCGGCGACGCTGCGTTCGATTTGGCCTTCTTTCCCTTTCCTTTGGGGTTCGCGGCCGAAGACCGGCGTTGCCGCTTGGGTTTCGGGTTCGGCGACAGCGACGAGGCTTTGGTGCGCGAACGATCCGCGGGTTGGGGCGGCCGCTTCATGGACTGCTGGTCCTGCTCCGCGACCTGTTGAGCTTTTAGTTGCGGGGACGACTTCAACAGCAAAGATGGGCTCTCACTTTGTTTGATTCCTCCCTGCACTGCTGCGGGAGCGGAAGCAGCGATGGGCAGGAAAGGGAGTTTTGGTGCCTCGTCCTCGGAAGAAACGAGGTAGGGGGCGAGCATCAGGCCGTGATCCGATTTATCCGGGGAAGCAGGAGCACTGGCGTCGAGCTGAACTCCGGCTCCTGCACTGTTCTGGTTTGTTTCTTTCTGTTGGTCAGATGACCCTGCAGATTTGCGGATGACAACGTTATCCGCAGCAGCATGTTTTTGCGCATCGGCGTCCTCGGTAGTGGCAGGAAAAAGCGGTACGGCTAGCGGTGAGAGAGAAAGCCTTTGCTTGACCATTTCCTCGAGGCCTGAAGACAATCGGGCGAGGAACTCTTTGTGATTCAGGGACCGCAGATCTTCCTGTCGTGGTGGTCCGACGGAGGCTTTCTTCTCATCGTCGATGCCCGCCCTAGCCGGGTGTCCACCTTTTTCAGGATCATTTCTGTAACTAGCACCGGCAGACGAAGAGCCCGCGAATGCTTCCTGATCCTGCCTACCGCTAGAGATCAGCAAATCACTTGCCGTTGCCAGAATCGGCGTTGGTGCTGGTGTAGGCGGTCTCCTCCCGCCGGTGTCGGGTGAGGACAGCTTTGTCTTCTTCGACAGCTGCGAGCTCTTGGTCCCCGCACCGAGCGACGGCGACCGCAGTGTGCCATTCGTCTGCTTGGCTCTCGTGTTTCGTGGTCCAGAGGTTGTACCAGCAACCACTGCTGCTGCAACTCCGGTCCTCACTACTTTTGCAGCTCGCTGTGGCGAACTACTCCCAGGAGAACGAGAAGGATTGGAAGCTGCTTTCGCCGATTGCGATTTTGACGCGTTGGACGAACCCTTGGCCGCTTGAAAAATTGCAGACGCACTGGCGCAGAGAGACGATTTGTCGGACGAGACGCTTTTCTGCGGATTTCCTTTGCTAAGATTGCTGCTCTGTGCGCTAGATGGATGGGGAGGAAAGATGCCATTGCACGTGACTCCCGTGGTCGACGAGTTCCACGGCTTGTCGTGCTTCACAACCTTGTTGAATCTCTTCACTGATGAGGACGGGGAGGGCTTCTTCGAACCTGCTCCATGACTACCACCAGCTTGTTTTTCTGCACGGCCTGCGACTTGCTGAATCTTTCCGGGCGAACTAGATCGCTTGACCGCCTGTGGTGGCTTCTTCACAGTAGTCCGCTTCGTCGTCGGGCTGTTTAGTCGTGACATCTTGCTCGGAAAAATCAGATGATTTTCAACAAAGGCAGCGTATCCCAGGTGCGGTTTGGAAGATCGGTCGATAACGGCTTCGGGCCCGCAATCACTCCGAAGGGAACGCGCATCGCGGATGGTGCTTTGACGGCACTCGACGGTGCAGGAACTTGAACCGATGTTGACCCACCGCCTCGCGGAGAGGGCGCAACTACCGAAGCCGGTGACTTCTGCTTCGCGACTGAGGTTGTTGTTTGAGCCGGTTTGTGGCTGGACGTCGCGGCCGGTATTTGGATCGTCGGCGTGGGAATATTGCCAAAATCTGTTTTCAAATTCAACGCCGTGCCCGGAATCATCGCAGGCACGGACGAAGACGTTTGCAGAATGGTTTTCGGGACCGTGGGCGTGTAGTAAGTCAGCTTCGTGTTCACCTGGGGCGTCGATAGGACCTTCCCACCACCCGGCACCTGCAAAAATTGCTTCGGTGGCGGGTTGATCGTACCATTCGTCGTTGAAGTTGAATTCGGAGCAGGCTTTTTTTCAGGCTCCTTCTTATTTGCACTACCCCCAGCAGCTGTAGTAGATTTCTTTCCGGAAGAAGGCGCCTCTGGCAGCGTGGTCGTGCTGTGTCTTGGCGTTGGATGCTGCACGAGCGTCGGCGTGCCGCCTGTCACACTGGGCGACCGCGCGGCAGAGACCGAACGTGAGACAGCGGGACTGACACTTGTAAACTTTCCCATCGTGCTGGGGTCGAATCGGAGGAGACGAGGTGTCGTGGACCGACTTGCCGCGTGAATCGGCGGCCCTGTCGTGAGCAGGCTTCGTGGCATGGGTGAGCTCCCGCGATCCAAAACCTTGTTCTGCGACCCTGGTGCGACAGTCGCACTACCACTGACTGCAGTCGTGGGACGAGGTCCAGTCGTGACAACGCGCGTTGAAGTCACGATCCTGCTGCTGCTGCTAGTCGCGCCACCTTGCAAGTTGATTTTGCCGCTTCCAGCTGGCTGCGTATTGAACAAAATCGGGGCTGGGACCCGTGTTGCGGGAAGCGAAAACCGACGTGCTTGCTGCGAGAGAGTCGTAGAAGAGGTGGATCCTGTGCTGGGCTGAGAAACGCCCTTTGCACCACCTCCCGTTTGACTTGCTTGCCTGGTCGAGGACATCTTCGCGTGGCGGTGTCTTTGCCTAGAGCTAGAACTGTTTCTGGATCTTGATGTTGAAAACTCTTCGTCGTCTCTGAGTTGGATTTATCATCCGTGTAGTACACGTACGAGCATGCTACTAATGCCGGTAATGCGTTTCGGTCGTTTATTTGCATGCGAATGCGCGATTTGCGATTTTCGGGCACGATCACCTGAAACGAGTCGACACACGACATGGCCGGATCTCTCTCCACCATGCCGAACTACTAACCTCATACACTCGTCAACATGCGACAAACGAAGTGCGAAGCGGTGCATTATCTCCTGCCACCAGCGAACTACGAAGCGATGTCGATTGGGATTGGAATGAAATGCGAAAAAAAAACTACCACGAAGCAACCGGAGCGAAGGTGGGTCAGCAGGAGCAGCGCCTTGGATCTATTACAAGCCAAGTGTCACCAGCACGCGGTGAAGTGGTGCGCAAAAGCCAAGGGAGAGATCTGTGCCCGTCGCCAAGAGCCAGCAATTTTGGTACAGTGTCAAAGAAGTTGGTGCATTTGTTCGTCTCAAAAGCCACAATGAATGATTCAAGTAGAACGACATCATCATCGGCAATCATGTGTTATGTGATCAAAACACAAACAACATTACATCAGAAACAGAATAGTAGTTCGAGAAATAGCCTCAAAAGTTGTGATCGGACTGACTTAAGCGTCGTTATCTCCCCCAGGTGGACGACCACGCGACCAGGTGAAGTCAACGCTTGCGTCGTAGCGCTGAAGCTGACTCAGCACCAGCTCATCAGATTTGCTGCTTTTATTTAGGTAGTTTTAGTACCAAAGCAGGGAAGCTAGAAAGAGCAGCGGAAAATGTAAAATAAATGTCACTTCGACTTCTGTATTAGTATCTATTTACTCAAGGCTTAATCTTCTGTGCGCGCGCTGCGGATTCCGCACCGGGTAGGGCTGAAGGACGGCAACTGAGCTTGCTACTCGAAGTCGCCAAAACTGCGGGCGCGGAGCCGCCTCGAGCAAACACGGAGGGTGCCTGCAGTCGCGATTTTATTGAAGAAGACACCGCGGCTGAAGACGAGGAGGGGCCACTACCTCCTGACGCCTGCACGACAGCAACATTGGACGCTGATGCACCCGTACCACTACCGGCTTTTTCATCATCTGCGCCCTTCTTTTCGATTTCCTCGCAAAGCAGCTCCAGTTCGGCCATCTGAAACTCGTCCAACAGGTCCTGTTCTTCGACGTTTTCGCAAACGGGTGCAGTGTCTTCTAGAATGGTCTCTTCATGTACCGTCGTCAACGGCTGTCTTTCTTCGGAAGTTGGTTCTTTGCCGTGGGAAACGAGCACAAGGTGATCAACTTTTTGCTCGTTTTGTTTGTGCAGTTCTTTTGATGCTTCCTCCTCACTTCGATTCATCTTCTGGTTGTTATTTTCGACGCCCTTTCCTTCAGCCTTTATTTCAGCATCTTCATCTTCATCGCCGTCTTTTGCTTTGTTTTCTCTTCGGTACTTCTCGCGCAGTTCTTTCTTTCTATCTTCCCACACATCCATGCTTTCGTGTTCCTTCAAGATACCCATCTGCACGAGCGTGTTTCGCCGTGGACGCCACGGACCCTTGGCGGGGCGGCACACCCCGCACCAGCAGTAGTTCTTCAGCTGTTCTTCTTTTTCGAGCTTCTTCCGCCGCCGGGCCAGCTCGGCGTGGATCTGCTCGATGCTGCACTTCTTGTACGCGCGGTCCAGCCGGGCGTACAGCGCGTTCATCTTTTCCTGCTTCTTCTTATCCACCACGTACCCCTGTCGCTCTTCTGGCACCACCAGGGAAACCCGCGGCTTGCCCTGCTTGTGCTGGATGCGGTCGAGCACCCCGAGACTCTGTCGCTCTTGCTCCGTCATCTCCCCCCAGGGCTTTTCGAAGGGTTTCAGCTCGAGTTCCGGCGACGCTGCGTTCGATTTGGCCTTCTTTCCCTTTCCTTTGGGGTTCGCGGCCGAAGACCGGCGTTGCCGCTTGGGTTTCGGGTTCGGCGACAGCGACGAGGCTTTGGTGCGCGAACGATCCGCGGGTTGGGGCGGCCGCTTCATGGACTGCTGGTCCTGCTCCGCGACCTGTTGAGCTTTTAGTTGCGGGGACGACTTCAACAGCAAAGATGGGCTCTCACTTTGTTTGATTCCTCCCTGCACTGCTGCGGGAGCGGAAGCAGCGATGGGCAGGAAAGGGAGTTTTGGTGCCTCGTCCTCGGAAGAAACGAGGTAGGGGGCGAGCATCAGGCCGTGATCCGATTTATCCGGGGAAGCAGGAGCACTGGCGTCGAGCTGAACTCCGGCTCCTGCACTGTTCTGGTTTGTTTCTTTCTGTTGGTCAGATGACCCTGCAGATTTGCGGATGACAACGTTATCCGCAGCAGCATGTTTTTGCGCATCGGCGTCCTCGGTAGTGGCAGGAAAAAGCGGTACGGCTAGCGGTGAGAGAGAAAGCCTTTGCTTGACCATTTCCTCGAGGCCTGAAGACAATCGGGCGAGGAACTCTTTGTGATTCAGGGACCGCAGATCTTCCTGTCGTGGTGGTCCGACGGAGGCTTTCTTCTCATCGTCGATGCCCGCCCTAGCCGGGTGTCCACCTTTTTCAGGATCATTTCTGTAACTAGCACCGGCAGACGAAGAGCCCGCGAATGCTTCCTGATCCTGCCTACCGCTAGAGATCAGCAAATCACTTGCCGTTGCCAGAATCGGCGTTGGTGCTGGTGTAGGCGGTCTCCTCCCGCCGGTGTCGGGTGAGGACAGCTTTGTCTTCTTCGACAGCTGCGAGCTCTTGGTCCCCGCACCGAGCGACGGCGACCGCAGTGTGCCATTCGTCTGCTTGGCTCTCGTGTTTCGTGGTCCAGAGGTTGTACCAGCAACCACTGCTGCTGCAACTCCGGTCCTCACTACTTTTGCAGCTCGCTGTGGCGAACTACTCCCAGGAGAACGAGAAGGATTGGAAGCTGCTTTCGCCGATTGCGATTTTGACGCGTTGGACGAACCCTTGGCCGCTTGAAAAATTGCAGACGCACTGGCGCAGAGAGACGATTTGTCGGACGAGACGCTTTTCTGCGGATTTCCTTTGCTAAGATTGCTGCTCTGTGCGCTAGATGGATGGGGAGGAAAGATGCCATTGCACGTGACTCCCGTGGTCGACGAGTTCCACGGCTTGTCGTGCTTCACAACCTTGTTGAATCTCTTCACTGATGAGGACGGGGAGGGCTTCTTCGAACCTGCTCCATGACTACCACCAGCTTGTTTTTCTGCACGGCCTGCGACTTGCTGAATCTTTCCGGGCGAACTAGATCGCTTGACCGCCTGTGGTGGCTTCTTCACAGTAGTCCGCTTCGTCGTCGGGCTGTTTAGTCGTGACATCTTGCTCGGAAAAATCAGATGATTTTCAACACCTTCTTGTAGCTAACAGGAACCACCACACTGGTGCGAAAGCTCTCAGGCCGGGGCTCTCGTCTTCGGTAGGTTCAATGAGCTGCAATGAAACGGCATATAATGCTTAGATGCCTTTGGGTCTCGGTAGTGATCTGTCGGTAGTCAACTCCATCCTCAATTGTGTCTCGACCGAAGGAATCGCTCGATGAATCATCTTCGGACTCTCCGGTCGGAGGTCTCTGAGACAGTACACTCACCCGTTCTTCCTATGGTTCTTGTGCGACGCAATGGTCTCAACCGCACGAAGTAAGCCGACAACTGAAAGAAAAAACCTCAAACTCAGCTCATCAATCAAACTCGACCCATGGAAATTCAACACGAAACTCCTCCAGAAAACGTAAACGACACGAAGGCGACACCATCACCAGGTGACACACATCAATCATCGATCAGAATCTACATGTCGGCCATTTTCAATGGATGTCGAGATTTTCTCGTTCATTTGAATCAATCGTCTCCATGCCAATAGAAATAGGTCTCATATGAAACGGTCGCCGCTTTTAGACTTGTCTCCAGGTACCGCTTTCCGAAAGCGGCACCCGTTATTAAATCTGTACGTGGTAGATTCGTATGTGCTATCATTCATGAATCTTACTTTCACAACGTGTCTAAGTTACTAGAAAACGAAGAAACAGGAGGAAAGGCTGCCACATTTTACGTTTTTGGCTTTATTTCGATTCGAATTTACCAACATTGTGTCATCTGTATAGACAAAATACATCGATTTTTCAATTGTGGTCTTACTGTTATCAGCTGCTTTTTTGTATTCGTAGTCAACATAACTGTAGAAGGTGTTTTCGAAAGGTATCTTATGTGGAAAGTGCTATAAATTTCTTGGTCAAAAATCGTGTGCATAATGAAGTCAGAAATTTTAGTTCCCCCGCACGTCTTCATCAAGACGGACCTGGGCACCCGATTTAACCCTGCATCGTCATCTGTCCGAAGCCCATTCCGCTGAACAAAGAGCCGCCGTCTTGGAACTTGGCCATCTCTTGCTGCATGGCCATTTGCATCTGCTGCTGCTTCTGCTCCATTTCAAACTGCTGCTTCTGCATTTCTTCCTCCGCCTTCTTCTGCTGGTACTCCATGGTCAGCTGCATGGACTGCTGCTCCAACGCAGCTTTCTGCTGGGCAGCCTGAACAAGGTGAAAAGATTTGTTTTGGTCCTATTTCGCTTTGCAGTGAATTATGAAGTCGCTCATCGTCATCCTGCACATCGTAATGATTGATATATGAATATTCTTTAATTTTTTTTTCCTACAAAACCCCCACAAACCTGCTGCTGCAAAGCCATCAGCTGCTCCATACGCTGCTGATCCAGCGCCATCTGTTGCTGAGTGACTTCCATGTCGATCTGCATGATGAACTGTTTCTTCTGCTGGTCCGCCTGCCCCAGCAGGTAGTCCTTCTGGTGCTTCACTTGGGCCTCCAGGACCTGGGTTCCCTGCTTAACCTGCTCGTCCAGCATTTTCATATACGAGTCCTTCTGCTTCGCGATGGTGGACGGGTCCGGCATACCTGAGCATCAACATTTAGATTTAGTTATAGTTTCTTTTGTCGCTTCAAAATCAAAAGTATGTAATTCGCATTCTCACGCATGACATTTCCGTAGGTATACTAATACTCATACATACATTCGCATGATCAAATTTCAAATCGCCACATTCTGCTTACCCGCGGTGAGCGGCTGCGGGGCCATCATAGAGCCTTGCATCATCATGACGGCGGACATTTTGCGGATTAGAGGTTGTGGATAAGCTGAGAAGAGTTTGTTTAGCAAAAGGGCAAGACAGGCTACGTATTTTTGTTTGCGTTTTCATTTTTTTGCCGCGCACTTGGATTTATTTTCGCCACACAAAAGAACGGCAGGGATGTTTGGTGTTTTATTTGGCAACTTTGCGTCCTTGTGCTTTCCTTGACGTTTCTCTTCAAATTCAGGCGTTCATTTTTTGTTCTTTGCATGTTCGGCGTGCCCCGCAAAAACCACTGGAAATTTGGTTGCACGCACACCACGAACCACCACGATCTGAACACGTTTGAGACTCAAAACTCAGCGGGAGCATGCGACCTTTGCGCTGGTCGCGCCAGTACTAGCACCTTTTTTTTCACTCTATTCAACTCTGTATAATTATGCGCCACTCAAGACTGAGAAATCTAAAGTTTCATTTTGTCACTCCTTCATTTGCGTGCCAACCCAGTCCGCGAAATCGCTGACGAGTTTCTTCTCGTCGCCAACGTAGCCCGCGTTATTTCCTTCTTCCACTAGCGCTTTTTTCAGCTCCTCTGCCACGTAGTTTATCTTCCCAGTCTGCGTCTTGCAATTTTTCAAAATCGCGTTCACCTTCGTGACCGCGTCGGGTAAGAGACAATCGGAAAACACGACGCCGTCCTGGATCACGCCGTTATCAACCTCCAGGTGGCACTCGAACATTCCCCACACCGCATCCGCATCTTCGCTCTTGTGCAGCCGGTGGGGTCCCATGGTGTGGGAGAATTGCGGTGTTTGGCCAAAGCGGAAGTCCCAGTCGCTCATTCTTTTCTGCACGTCCGCAAAAACAGGGTCGGCGGCCAGCATGCTTGAATCGGGGGTCAGAGTCTCTGGCTCAGTCGGAGAGTGGTTGTACCTGCGATGCAAAAAAGGCGCGGCTTCGCAAGGAGGCTGCTGCGAACACAAGAAGAAGGCAGCTAAATTTCAGTCGTTGGAAAAGAACTCGAAGATTCGATTGCTGTTAACACTAAGCCGCGAGCGGATAAAAAAATGACCACGCTATGTAAAATTCTTATGGAGTTGTAAGTACTCTTCCAGAAACACGGCTTCGAAATTCGCCATCAGCTCTTCCAGCGTCAGTGCCGGATTGATCTCCTTCAAATTGATCACCCTTGATTTCACCGACTGGATCCCCTTTGCTTGTAGTTTTTGCTTCGCGGGGGTGAGGTACCGGCCCAAAGAGGTAAAATCCGTATCGAAGAGCAACGTCCCGTGGTGCAAAAGCTTCGGTACTTGTGCTGAGTTGTTCATCGTTTTGAAGGCCGACCCGCTAATCTTGAACTCGTTCTTGTACACGATGTCGTTTCGTCCCGACCGGGCGCAATCCGGGATCCCGGACCTCTCGAGCGCCTTGATCACCAGTTTGAAGTTCTTCTCCGTAAACGCCGCAAGCGCATTCGTGGCTGGGGAATCCGCTGTGTTTTGGTAATCCGCGGTGTTGGCGATGAGCGAGAACGTAAGACAACCTAAATCCTGCAGCACCGCGCCACCGCCCGAAACCCGTCTGACCAATTCCACCCCATCCTTTTCCAGTTCCGCGAGCCGGCACTCGGTCCACGGGTTTTGGTGCCGCCCGATCGTGACGACGGTCTCGTTACGCCACTGGAACAGCACGTTTTTCAGGGGCTGGTTGCACAGCGACGTTTCTGCGGCAAAGTTGAAAAAAATGTTGTTCTTGCCGGATCGGTAAATTTTGGTGCTGTCAGTGGCGAAGTGCCTCGTCCTAGATGAGCAACTGGATGTAGTAGTGCTTGTTTGCCGCTGCCAAGCCTGCCGCGGCACAAGCTTCGCATGCTGCAGCGGCGCCGCTGCGAAGATCGGACCGCGCGTCCTGGCGACCGCCGCCCGTGGAGCGGCGGAGGGTGTCGAGAGAAGCACACTTGCCATCCCGTGCACCTTGAGGAAGAATCAAAATCGCGCGGCAAGTGCAAGCACTCTTTCTGTTTCTCTTTATAGCAAAGGATGGAGCTGTTCTTCGAAAATTGTACCGACAATCGCTTCCCTTGTACCAGTGTCAAGCTACCCATAGTGCATGGGCCTAACTCGCCGGGGGAGAACAGAGAAAAGATAGACAGTGCGGTTTTCAGATCATTACTAGACGCGCACAGATCCTCCTGTCGCCGAAGTGATAGAGAAAGTGGCGGATCATGGCTACCGAATTCAAAATGTCGCTCTAGGTCTTTTCTCGCTTTTGAAATCAAGGTGAAGTATAATTCTGCTTTAGGTTTACTGTTTTAGCGCATTGAATCGCTTCATGAGATCATCCAAATCATTTTCCTTCTGCCGTGGTGTTGTACTCTTTTCCGCACTCCCATCTAAATACTGTGGCTGGTATCCAAGCGTCGCGGGATCAATCGCCATCGACCCGCTTCCGAATCCCTCCGCTGCTGCGGCCGATGGTCCAGCAGGTGGTGGTGCTTTTTGCGTTAGCACATCGTCGACCGTAGGTGCAGGTGGACCCAACGTTGAAGACGCTTCTTGAAACGGTAGATCCACGGCACTGCCGACGCTCGGACCGGTGGCTGCGTCCTTGTTGATAATGCTGCTACAACTATGGTTCATCGGTTGTCGCTCCTCTATCAAATGTAAAAATGTCTGGGTCTGGAAGAATGCAAGATTTGTGATGCAGGTTTTCCATGACCCATGAGGTCTCGATGCGAGACCCAGCATGACAGATTCTCTCAGGCCTCTATCATGCCTTTCCTGCATGAGAAACTACCTGTCAACTTGGTCAAAAGCGGACAGCTTTTGGCATTTACGCAACACAGATTTTTGCATCATTTAGATTTAGCATGACAAGTTCCATTCTTCCAGACCCAGACATTTTTACATTTGATATCCTCCACGTTGGTGTGATTCGGCTCGTAGGGGATTTGAATCGTTTGTCCCGGTTGTGTATCAAATGTAAAAATGTCTGGGTCTGGTGGAAGGATGCAACTTGTAATGCGTATTTCAGAACACAGAAAAGTCTCTCATGCAAACGTAGCAAAAGCTGCCCACTTTCTGTCAGCAAAGTAGGGGACTTGTCATGCGGATTCGGCATTGCGGAAGCTTCTCGAAACCTGTGATGCTAGAGCTTCCATGCCAGACCCTCTGTGTCATGCAAAAACAGCATGACTCTTTCAGACCCAGACATTTTTACACTTGATATTGTGCGTTTTCCGGCAACACTACAGCGAGCTGCTTGCCACAAGCGGTGTGCACCTGCAAAACCATACCAGCACTGTACCCCTATCAAAAGGAAAAATCCCCCCTCCCCATATCAAAACGAAGTTTCTGATGCTGGATTTGCGTACACAAATCCGATTTGTATTGCAGGAAAGCACTGCGGTCAGATCCCCAAGCTAGGGAGGGGCGTATGCGTCTAGTTGTTCAGCATGGCAAGCGGCGGCCCTTTAAGCCCAACAGCATGACAAAGCGCTTCCATAATGGTGCGGAAGCTTCTGCACTTGTCTTCTTGCAAAACAAACGCGATTTGTGACCTCAAATCAGCAACACAAATTTTCGGAAATATGCCTTTTCAATATGGGGAGGGGGGATTTTTCCTCTCAATAACCCCTCGGGGATCACCGCTGTGACGAACGGCTGACTTGCCGGAACGCTTGGCGGAATGAAGTCCTGTCCCGAGGAGATATTACTGCTTTGCTTTTGCTCGTTTCCTCCTTGTTGTTGCATCTGCTCGTCGGGTGACGTGGCAGCCGTTGAAGCGACCGGCGTTAAAACCACGGTAGCACTGCTCGCAGCCGGCTTCATTTCCACGTTACCTCCTGATAGCAGGTCTGGGGCGTCAAGGGCCGAGAAATTCGTTCCAGTTGGTGGGAGAGAGTTGTTTGAGGGAACAGCCCCGTTGGCTCCGTTGATGATCAAGCTTCCAGTCGCTGCAGGTTGTAAGTTGACCGCGGCCGGTTGTCCTCCGAAATGCGGCCCAGGCGGCGCTCCTCCACCTGCTAATGGAAACATCAAGCCAGGCTGCTGCACGATTACCGGCTGCTGAAACTGCTGCGGCTGCACCTGCTGTGCGGGGGTCGTTGTATTTGCCGCTTGAGCTGCAGGAGCAGTCATCTGCGCGTCCGCAAATTCCAGCAAGTCCATCGGCTCCGCCTCTCCGCTTTCCCGTAGCAGTTCCGCGCTCGGCTCCCACGAATCTATCCTGTAGTAGGTCGCCGCGTCTTTCAAGATCGACAGCATCTCGGCGTTGGTAGGTGGGTGTACGGATAACAGCTTAATCAAACGCGGGTGAACGTTGATACCCTGCTGTTTCGCCTGCTGCACAAACTCAATCCCGTATTTCGAGTGAAATTGCTGCGTCACCTTCTCCAGTTCTTCGACCGGGGCGCGGTTGTTCGCGTAAAGGAGGGAGGAGATCCTGAGTTTGGATATAGCGAGACACCCATCACTGTGCCGCTCGCTCTGATTCTGAACAAGTTGTGATGCACAAAAATGCATACCTAACAATTCCAATTCACTACATTGTCGCTATTTGTATTGATAGTTTGCGCCTTTTCGATAAACTTTCACCGCATCATTCACAGTGTACTGTAGTCGCACTAAAATCAAATGAATGTAACCCGGAAAACAAAGCTAAAATACGGTTGCAACAAATCAGTCGGACAGGTCGGCTGCTCTTGGACAAAATTGATCCGTGTGGCCACCAGCTCTGCCATGGTGTCGATCAAATCCAGCGCGTCGCACAGATTGATGTTCTGCAGAATCTGCTCCGCTTTTATCTTCGCCCGCGACTCCTGTCCCTCTCGGAGCAAGAGCGCCACCTCTTTCTGCAGCGCTTTGGTCGCCGCCGTGATTTTGTTTCGCATGATCTTCGCACGGCCACAGGCCATCTTCAATTGGGCTTTCGTGACCGGGGGGTTCAGATTGCCAGTGTAGTTTTTGTCCGGCGGATTCTTGGAAGCCGAGGACGAAAACCCGAAGAGACCCATGATATGTGTTTGTCGTCAAAACAGGAAGAGACTACTAAAGTCGACAGCACGAAGTAACAATGACAACAATTGTGAAATGAAACACGAAGATAGCGCAAAACAACAAATGGGATTGGAAAAAACTGAAAGCTTGGGGTTGTTTTGATGAGTTTTGCTCAATGAGGTCCTGAAGTAGATTGAAATTGTTTTTTAATTGACACTAGCGGCGCTTCAAGGCGAATCCATGACAACGACAGTGTGATGAAGCAACACAGTACGGACACTTTCCTTCATTGATTTCAGTACTTCATTGCAGCTGGACTCTAGAATGCGCTTCATCTCCAATCGCAATCTCCTCGTTTCGAACAGCGGCGACACACATTAAGAAAGGGGTTTGGCATCAATAGCACGACCATGAGATTCCTGGCTCATGGTGGTTGAACATGGCAGGATACATTCATTTGTAGGCTTTGAAGCGCGAACGAGTGATAGCTTGTCCTTGTCGTCGGCAACATGTTGAAGATATGCGTATTGAGATACAGGAGATACCAGCGTCAACATTTTTCCTTCTCGTCATCAAGAACAGCCAGTGACATCTTCACATCCACCCGCGAGCTTGGCGCGGACTTCGAGAGAAATTTCAGGAAGGACAGGGTCTTCTTATCGCGGAGCACGAGCGACAAGGCGTTGTTGCTAGCTGGAATGTTGAGCAGCGGTCCGTCCTCGGCGTTGTCGAGGTAAACCTCCGCCTTCTCGTCCGTTTCGTCGTCGTCCGCTTCCACGTACGATTCAAATCCGCCAACCTCCTCGCTGTCCCAGGGGAATGAGGTGTTTTTCTGATCGTCCACGAGCATGTAGCAGACATCCAACATGTTGTGCGTTCCAATGCAGTGTTGCAGACTGGCGATGGTGTAGTCAAGGCCGGGACGAAACCTACGAATTTTAGGTGTTGCCTGCTGCGCCAATTTGTCGTTGTCCTCGACCTTTGTCCTCAACGGTAACCCAACAATCGCGCGGAGGTAAGCGTGAAAAGCCGGCTGGTTGAACAAGTGGGAGATGATCTGGGTTTGCAGCTGGTCACCCAGTGCAGCGTGGGGGGTGTTATCGTGCGGTGCTGCGGTACTATTTGCTGGAGCGTTTTTCTTTTTCCGTTTAATATTTTTCATCGACTTCATACTTGTCATCTCGTTCGATAGTGCACCAGCGTCGTCACCACATGGATTTTTCATAGCTGCAGCACTTCTATGGTCGTACTGCATGTAGCGCTGCAAGAAGCTGGGCCCAACGGTGCTCCACCCGTCTTGTTCCCCTGCGGTGTAGGAGACGGCTTTGTCGAAATTCGTCACCCCGTCCACTTCATCCGCCTTTCGCATCAAATCCAGAAACATTCCGCTGATTTCGGGCTTCAAAAAGCTCGTGAGCATCACTTCGGAATTCTCCTTGAAGTACTGCCGCAGTTGGAACATGCCTCTCTTCGTCAAATACTCCGGGTGAATAAAATTACCGAGATGCTTCCTGGTGTTTTCGATCAGTTGATCGTCGAAGTCGTCCTCGTCCACGACACTGTCTTCGGACGACGAGGAAGGCTCTTCTTCCTCCTCCTCTTCAAGGAGCTCTTCGTCAACTTCGCTTGTTCTATCGCCACTTTCGATTCGTTGCTGCGCTGCCGCGACCTCCCTTTCCTCTGCTTTTTTCTTCTTTAGATGTTCCGCCAGCATGCTATTGCTGGTCTTCCTCGTGCCAAACCCGCTAGCGGTCGTCGCGTTTTCTTTCTGCCTCTTGGCGGCAGTAGTTGCCAGTTCTACTTCGGCAACCACCGCAGCGTGCTCTGCCTCTGTCTTCTCTGCGTCCGCGCCGCCAACTAACTGCTGTAAGGTCGCCTTTTCGTTGCGCAAAGCGTAGCTGTAGGTGTGTCGGATGTCTGCCACGTGGTACCAACCCTGCAGACTAAGCCGGGTTTTCGCCTCGCTCGTGACCTCCCGGACCGCGTGGTAGCTTTTCCCCGGTTCCACTCCAAACAAGAGAAAGGTGTTGAAATCCGGGAACAGCTCGGCACACGGCTTCGGATCCGACTCCGTGTAGAACTCCATGCCACCGCCAAATTCCGCCTGCCACGGGGTGTCCGGCTCGTCTAGGTAGAGGACAAACGTGATCTTCCGCGTCGAAATCACATCGTCATGACACATCAAGTGGCATCCTTGTGTGTACGCCTGGGCGGACATGTCAACGCGTTCGGTCAGAACCTCCTCCTCGCTGAGACCCAGCATCCTTTGCAGGCGTGTGCGAAAGGCCTGCGAGTACAGAAGCTCAGAAAGCGCTTTCAGGTTCGGAAGGTGCTTGGGTGGCACTGGTCGGGAACTGTCGGGCTCTTGTTCCGCAGCGCCGGCTGTAGTTTGTTCATCGGTTGTATTAACACGACTAGGAACAGCGGCGGCCTGGGCCTTCTTTCGTCCCTTCTTTGCTTTCTTCCTCGGCGGGTCTGCGGACGTTTCTTGTAGGTCCTTTTGGGATACTTTTGCCGCATTCGATGCAGCGGCTTCTGCTTCGCGAAACAAGCTGGCCAAATCTCCCGTTTGGTGGAATTTGAACAAGTCTGTCTCCTTTGGTTTCACATCCAGATTCGTGATCAGTTCCTGTCGCAAATCTTCACAGAAGCGTTTGTTCAGGAACCCGTCAAACACCAGGTGCCGGAAGGGCTCGGCGCTGTTGAACTTGTCGCTGAGCTGACTTGCGCTCGTGTCTGCGAGCTTGCTTGCGTTTTTCTTTTGGAAGTTGTCGGTCCAATCCTGCTGGGTCACACATTTCTTCAACGTCCGTACGAGGGCGTGGTCTTCTGCAATCAGAGGCTTAGGTTGCATCTTCGCAGAGTCGTCGTAAAAATTTTTTGCTCCCGGCGTGTCTTCGACATTCGCTCGCGCAGTCCCCGCTTGTTGCGTGTCTGGCCGTACTGCCTCGGCAACAAGCTTTCTTTTCATCACTTTCTGCTTCTTCATCGTTGCAAATTTTCTACTTAACCACAATAGAAACGAAATGGAGTGAAGCGAGTCAGAATCAGAATCAGAGTCTCGTAGATCTGCATAGCACGTCGAAGTCAGAGTCTCGTCGAAATACGTTCCTGGTCGAAAAATGTAGCGTGAATATGACACAGACATGTCCATGAATTTTTGAGATCAACGAAGAGCATTTGCCTGCTCACACACGGATCTACAAAGATTGATTTTTCTTTATCCTCGTAGATCGAGATCTTTGACATTGATCCTCACCTTTAGTGTCATGAGCTATTTCAAATTGATCTTCCACCTTGACGGAGCGTTTCGCTACGGAGCAAGTGACGATTCATATTTTGCGACGATTCTTCTCTGGGTCTGGTTGTCTATGTCATCTTCGGAGCCACTAAGAAAACATGAGCGATCTTCGACTATCGTCCGTATTATGGCCGCCGACGCTACAGCGTGAGTCGTGCCACTGAAAAATTTGATGATCTGATACTGCAAAACTCAAAGCGAAACTTCTCATTTTCCACAATTTAGGTCCGTGATGAAAGTCTAATAGTGCGTCATGGAGGATGAAGAAGTTAAGCGGTAGCCCAGTTCTTTTTACAGTAACAACTAGATAAAACCTACAGCACTGACACCTGTTGACATTTCGCACAAGAAATTTGTTTCAGGTACCAGACAGCTGATTCGCCAAAAGTTGCGTAAAGAGGCACTGGTGAGTCAGAGTGTCAGAATAGAGACGTCGTTGTAGAAAGAAACAGCTATAGGTGGAGGGCAATTATTTTGTTCCCAAAAAAATGTGTATAGTTGTGCAATAAAGAAATACTCACATCTAAAATGCTGCACGCTATGGGTCGTTGTCGTGGTTGTTGAAATAAGCCGGAGTTTCTAGATAAATTTCCTGTGTCGCTTGGTCGTCATCGATCTCGCTATTAAGGTCAGAGGACTTATTCTTGGAATACTATCATGCCAGAAACTACTGCTGTGTTATTGGCTGCTAGCGTGCGCTTCCGATGATTGAGCTAGATCCCGGGTTGCTACCTGTGTACATGGAGTTCAAAAAGATGACGACGACATGCCTTGTCCATCTGAACAACACGCCGTCATCACCTCTGGAGCAGAGAACCCACCACCTAGAAGCCGCTATACATTCTGTACAAAGTGAACAATGAATCGTACAACAAGACCTGCTAAATAATTCGAAACAAGAGAAAGTGCTGAAGTTAGTGTCTGTACCGCCTTGAAAACTTCAAATCATAATCATGTCAAAGAGTAGAAAAAGCATAAAGAGTGATGTGTTAACATAAAAATGCGTCGCCGTCGTTAGAAGGTGTAGCTGTGTAGCTGCAGAATAGGAAATCATACTCGGTGTAGATCTGTTGTCTGTGCGAGAAAAGCGATCGTAATTGTTGAAAGTACAGTAGTGAGCAATTACTGATCGCTTTTACTGCTAGACTTTTGAGGTGTCGTTTTTGTCGTGCTGCGTCGCCAAGCCTAAGTCGCCGTGTTTCTTGGGAAACACAATACGTCGTGGCACAACTTGTTCTATGGGTCGTCAGTGTCACACTCAATACCTTAAGGTCTTTTAAAAAATGTTTCAAACAAATTTTGTCTCATCATGACGAAGAATCCCTTCCACATCTCGTGAAAGAAGTTGTGAAGAGTTTAATCGTACTCGAGATCGCTGTTGCGACCTCCGCCGATGAGATCCTGGTGGACCAGGTGACCCGTGTGCTGATCGACCCAAATCCAACGCACCTCCTCCGTCCTCGCGGCGTAGCGCAGCGGCAGGTGGTACTTCAGGTACCTTTGAGTTGTACGTGTTCTCATATCACTTCGGCCAGATCGAGATCTTTCTTCGTTGTTAAATGCAGCATACAATTCATGCGAACTAGAAAATCTGGTTATAAAAAAGTTGCAGAACTAGAACAGGAAAAAAAATATTAATTACCCTGTCATTGGCGGTTTCGCCATAATGTCACGCGCGATGAACTCGTATTCTTCTTCCGTCAAACGGCCCCGGCTCCGTTTTGCGCGAAACTGTTTAATTTGAGGAGACAAGTAGAGTGCAAAAGATCATCGAGTCATGTAAGTTTAGGCACATCGTCGAACAAAATCACGATTCCTAATTTCGTACACCGATGAATTTTGTAATAAATTAAATTTAAGTATTGCATTTTGTATCTATGAATTGTCAACTTCAATCGTCATGTGCTGATTTACTTCTGTGTGTTGTACATTTACCTCATTGTCGCTGGTGGAGCCTGAGCTGGGGTCCTCACTTGACTTGTTGTTAGCGCTGGTCGTTGAAGACTCCGCCGGTGCTTTTTCTGACTCCTTCTTCACTTGCGTGGTGGCCTTCTTGGCCTGCGACGTGATTGAGCGCAACATACTGGTTCCGCTACGTATCTATCTGTAGTTCAAGCAAATGAACTACGAAATTTTTGTGCCTTTCGATTTAAGTGGCACAACAGTCGTGATACTACAATACAAATACTCGTGCTTGTTCTCGTACCTCTCCGAGCAAAAAAAACTGTAGAAACACTACTGGTAGCTATAAAAACAAAGCAACAAATCAGGAAAATCCAAAAAAAGTCAAAATATACAAATTTTGTTACACAAGGAAGATACTTATTATTATTTTGGGGTTGAGATTTGAGGATTCGGAACGTGTTGCCGTAACGATTTAGGCTGCATTAGAATTTATAGGGCGAAAGGATGATTTTTGTTGCGAGCTAATTGCGATCATCTCGATGTTGCGACGTAGTGCGGCTTTATACAAGTATTTCCATCAGCACAATCGCACTGCAGGCTGGTACGGCCAAACGAAAGTGTGGATGAAACGAATGATAGAAGCCTTTCCGATGTTGTACGAATCTACTTCAGCGAAAAACGTTATTTCTAGTATCCGGGACGGAGATACAACAATGCAAGACGAATTCCGAGTCCTCTGTGGGAGAATTTTGACGAAAATGCCCGACGTTTTCAAGTCGTTCTTATTTCTTGACGAACTGCATACCGAGAAAGATGCAGCGTAGCAGCATGTCAGTTTCTGTTACCGACTTTCTGTTTTGGGAAGTTGTCACGCTTGGTACGATGAATTTCTTCTATACGTATATCGTAAATATTGGCTATTGCGTTTGACGAGTGACCTGCCATCCTTCTATCATGTGCGTACGAAATTATAGTAAGGACCGATGGTTTTCTGCTTCTTGAAAAACCGACTTCTGCATTTCTCTGTGAACCAGGACCAGAACACTCACAATCAATGTGTAGCTTGCCATGTTGTCCGGTACGGGGAGCCTGAGCTTCGTGTTCCCTTCTGATAACATAACTTTACAGCACGGACATATTTTTCAGAGGTAGAGTTCCCGATTCTAATTATCTGTCTGAGTCAATCAACTGCCGCGTAGTAGACCATAAGAAAGGAAACAGCGCATCTACCGGTCTCTTGCAACAATTGAAAAGTCCTCTCATAGCTAGGCGTAGCTCACCACAAGATTGTTCGACACGCAAGTGGCTTACAGAGTCCGTTTTCCAAAATGCTGATAGCTGCAATGGAAGCGGCGATATTTGTGCTAGTGCGTGTTTTGTTTTCTGTTTTCTTTGTGGTGGGTGTACATCCATCTCCATCATTTGAAAAAGTACTAAAAAGCATACAAACGATCCTTCAAAAAAAGTCTCGTGTCGCGCAGAGACTACTTCCACGTTTTGCTAAGTGTGACAACGTTGCCTTCATCATTATTTTGCATCTTTGGATGTTGTCACACGTGCTTGTTGAACGACAATATTTGCAGGGGTCAGTATCCTAGCTTTCATCATCATCGATCCATCTGGGGCTGCAGTGATGTGATCCCAGAAGACGATCGTCTCTAATGACAAACTATTGGATCACTTCGTGCGTGTAAATTTGAGATCATGGTTGAAAAGTCGGTAAAACAGTTTTGGTGTGCAGTTGTTTTATATCGGTCGCTACTGAATATGCAGAGGAAGTGTCTTTACTTCTTTTCAGTAGCGGTTGAGCCAGCGGCGGTCTCAACCTTCTTGTCGCTCTGTTCCACGTCCTTTGTAACTTTAGTTGTCGCTTTTTCATCATTTTTTTGAGCCTTTGCCGCTGCAGCCGGGGCTGCAGCTTTTGCTGGCTCGTCTTTCTTTTGACTCTTCTTTTTGTTGTTCTTTTTCTTAGGTGCAGCAGCTGCCTGGTCTGAAGTGGCAGAAGCGGGCTGCTCTGGCTGCTGATTGTTCTTCTTTTTACCTTGTCCCTTCTTCGTGCCCTCCTTCGGCGCGGCCGGGGCACCTTGTTCCCGGTTATTCTTCACAGAATTTCTGGCATGCTCCGCCCAGAAGCCGCTGCTTCGTCGGGGCTCTTCTTGCTGCTTGCCCTGTCCCTTCTTGGCGGAAGCACCCTTCGTTCTCTTGCCGGATTGCAGCTGCTGTTCGCCACCATTGTAGACTTGTTGCTGTTGCTGACCATTCTGGTACATCATCATCTGTTGCTGACCCGTGGCACTGGAGCAGCTCGCGGACGAGTTGCGTGCGACGCCGGAGTTTCGCGGGAGCGCGGCCCAGCACGGGTGCGTCGCTGTATTAGATTCGGCGTGCGACATGGTGAACGCGTTCTCCAAGAAAGGGTTCTGAACTCCGCAAAAGTTCCCGTAATACGTAGCGGCCATCGACATGGAGCTTGCCCTCGGGGCCGGAGTCATGTACGCAGCCGTCGAAGAACCGCAGGCAGCCGTCGGTGGCATTTGGAACGGTGCCGCATCCTTGTTAAGAGTGATAGCACTGCTTTTCGCGGTTTCTCTTTCAGCCGCGGATTTATTTGGAGGTACACCATTGGCTTCTCTAGTATCGTCGTCCGCGTTATTTGCTTCGCTTTTTTTTCCCTCCTTGGCGGCAGGAACGTCGGTACTACCAACAGCCTCCTTGCTGCTTTCCGCCGGCGCCGATGCGTTATTCGCGATAGCTCCGGAGGAAGGGGCTGACGCCTCCACGGGCTTGGTGTTGATCATGTGATTGGGGTCCACGAATTTGTTGCACTGGTTTGCGTACGCGTAGGGGTTGTCCAGGGAGAAATGCTGCAGGCTCTGCACCGCCGGCCCGCCGCCCACCCGCCAAGCGGACAGAAGCCGCTGGTTGGCTTCCTGCAACATGTAGAAGTACTGTTGCTCCGCTTCCTGAAACTGCATCACCAAAAGCTCCTCCTTCGAAACGGTTGGCGGCACAAACTCTTGCGCGTTCGGGTTGAAGGCGTCCGCGTTGCCATTGTAGAATGAAGGTCTGTGGTAGAGTAATTTGACAAAGAATTTTTCACGAGGTTTAGGTTTTTTCCCTGGCGGTGCATAGATATCTTTTTCATGGACCAATGCAGGGATGTCTGCGTGTTTACATGAAACCAAAGTGAAACTGGAACTGCTCGTACGTCGTAAAATAAAGACACTGCTGCACAAGTACCTTCTGCTCTTTCGTCCGCCGCCCCGATTGGAAATGGAATCCTGGTCGATTCTGCCCGGACTCGCGAAGGCCTTGGAGACCCGGCGGGAACTGGAGATGATACTTCTCCGCACCGACTTCCGCGCGTCAAACTCGCCCTGCAGCTTCGCGATCCGGCCGGCCAGCTGCTCCTTCCGGGCGACCTTGGCCTTCTGCAGAGCGTCCAACTTGGCTTCCCCAGACTTCTCCTTCTCCTCCAGGAGCAAGATGTTCCGCATCTCGCGCTTCAGCTTCCGCAGGTGCTTGTCCTCGGCCTTGTCGTCCAGGAACCGCTTGTCCATGGGTTTGTGGGTCTTCTTCTCCTTCTATCAAATGTAAAAATGTCTGGGTCTGGAAATTTCTGAGACTTGTCATGCACGTTTTGCATGGGCCATGATGTCTGTGATGCATGCCCTACCATCACAGACTTTTTGAGGGCTTCGCGATGCCTATTCCGCATGACAAATGCCTTCTCCGCGTAGCCAAAATTGCATTCCCTTTGCTGCTTATGCAATACAGATTTCTTTGGAATCCAAATGCAGCATCACAAGTTTGCATTCTTCCAGACCCAGACATTTTTGCATTTGATACCTTTTCCTTTTGGCCTTCCCCGGTGTGCGGCTCGGACCTGTTTCCGGTGGACTTGCGCGACACCGGCGTTTGACAATCATTATAGGCAGAGTTTGTTCGGCTCTTCTTCTTTCGTTCGCCGGTTTGCGAGTACACGGAGGTCCGGCGGGACGCGTTGCTGTACACGGACGACCGACGCCCGTCCGCCTGGCTGTAGTTCGAAAAGACACTGTTGCGCCGGCTCTTGCTGGTGTTCTGGGTATTCAGGCCGGAGAAGTCGATGTTGTGGTGGGAACCCACACTGCACACGGATTCCCGCCCCTGCACAGACGAAATCGAGTTCCGCCGGCTGCGCCAGTCACAATCACCGTCCGGAGTCTCCTCGTACGCACGACGGCTGCGACGGGAAGTCTGTTTCATGGATGTTGGTTTTGATAATACATAGATAAAATCTTCAAGCAAAGGAAAGGGATGAGCTGCATCGAGCCAGAGCAGCCTGCCAAAAGCCTAATCTCCGGTCATACATTAAAGCGTACTACAAACGTTTTTTCTACCTGACTCCACCGGGAGCTGTGACGGCTTGACTGCCGCGATTTGTTTTTCGTGATCTCCTTCCCACGACGACCGTGGTAGGTGCCGCCGACGCCCGGATAGTTCGCGTGCACAAACTGGTCGATCGATTCGCGGTAACACTCTTCTTCCAGGTACTGCTCACACAGTCGGTTGAAGTTCTGTAGAATTGGATAATTATTGAAAGTACATTATACGGGTTTCTGCTTGTCTTGTTTCAGGTTACACACGCACTGAAAGAACCTCAGTTGCCCCTTGATGTCAGTACCTGCGAAGATAACAACTGACGCGTGCAAATGCAATTCCAATTCTGCATCAAAAATTAGCTTTATATATTGTATTACTTACCTCCAAGTCCAGACCCAACTCGGGGCTGCAGTCGAAGGAAGAGCACAGCTGTTCGTAAGCTTCGTCCCACGTTTGTTCCTCCTCTTCGAATCCCGTGGTAGCGGCGAACAGGCGCAATTCGTTACGGCCCAGGTACCTGGTAAGGATACAGCAACACAGGGTGAACAAGTTCACACTTTGTTTGATTTATTCTTATGATTTGAAAACACAAAGAAGTTCAAGTCACGGGATATGCAAAAGTGGGCGCCGGCCTGAGAGAAGTTTTAGTTTAATGATTGTGGTGGTCCCAATATGGTAAAAACTTACCCGTTGGTATCGGCGTCCAAGCAGCGGAACATTTTTTCCGAAGTGGACAGCTCCGCGTCCAGATGCTGGGAGATCCGCCGGGCAATGTTAGAGCTCGTCAACATCGTTTGCAGCGCATTGTCCAGAGCATCCTGCTGCAGCTCTTCGGCCTGCGCCAAAGCTGGATTCTGACTCGGCATCTTCCGCTAATATGTTTTACCCGAAGGAAGATGACCGGAAGATGGTTTCTTGTGGATAATGATCCCGTCCAGAAATCTTTGTTTTTCGGTTTCCTGGTCCCGCAAAGAGATGATAATGCTCGTCGGCGAACTCAAATCTTCGCTTGCGCAGTAGAGAGCTCGCCACTGCAAGGCGAAAATAGAAGATGTCGACCAGATTGAAAGCGTGTTCCTTAGTATACAGCTTCAATAGAGTAGTTTTCTACCGTGTTCCACGGACAAAAAACACGGAACTGATTGAAACCAGCACGTGCTTCCAACCGTGGCTCCGATTATACTCAAAATGTGTCTATCAAGAAGCTGAAAGTGCAAGAAACAAGAAGATGCTGAAAGATAAACCTAAAACACGGCACAGCTTTGCTTCCAAAATAAACTGCTAGCAATAACGACTTCCTCCTGAAGATTAAAAGAGTTCGTAAGTTTCATGATGGAAAGTTTGTAGATCCGTTTTTGAAATTGAATTCGAGAATACGGCTCTTCGATGCAGATCTGGCTGTTCTACTTTAACTTCTGTAAGTTGTAGTGTAGTAGAGTAATAATTGCCCTTAGTGGCTACGTAGCTTGTGTTTGTGATCCACGGTGAGGATGGCTTCAGAATGCTGCGACTCAATCGACGACCAATGTAGGATCAAGAAAGACCCTGGAAGATGATGGTTGAGAAGTTTTATGTTGCGCCACGCTTGTAAGAACCAGAGCGGCAGAAAAGAGCTTATGGAAGATCAGATCTTCTTGGATTTTTCCGGTAACAAGCCAATCAACTTCAGTGTCGTACGTGCCGGGGGATCGGCTCGGCTTTTTAGATGATCTTATCAATACTGAATTTGGATCTTTCCTTTACCTTTTCCTGTCCTTCGGTCCAGAGAAAAATTAACGTTACTCATACATGTTCATCATGATCTTCGAAAGTGCAAGGCCACACACTACGTACGGTCACATTTTGTTGATCTTGTTTTCGCTGCTGCCAAGATCTCATTTTTGCAATCAGTAGTGGTTGTTTTAGTAGTTCCGTTCTTATTCTGAATCTTACGACTATAAGACAAAGACCGATCCATTTGAAACTCGATGACTCTTTATCGAACTACGTCTGCTCGTGTGGTCTTATGCTTCACAGAAAAACGCGAACAGTCGCAGGAGTGCGTCAATGCACTGACGAGCACCACGTCAAGAAGCTACAGGAGCTCGCAGAAAGTACAACTCCATTTTGTACCATTGTAATACTACAAAGCTAAACCAATGCGCGAGTTCTTCGGAAAGAATTACGCACAACAACAAAATTGTCGTTAGGGATTTTCATTAGAGACACACGTGATTTTTTTAAAAAAATTTTCGCCATGCCAGATGGCTATCTTGTTTTTTTTTTGTTTTTGCTTTTATGAGTAATGAATCGTTAGGAAAATCGTTAGGAAAATCCTTACAAGAAATCATTAGCTACAGCTGTAAATGGAACTTCAATTAATTAAAAAAAACCTTTTATGGAAAAGAGGTGCGGAAAAAACCGCGAAATAAGATCGATCCTTTCCAGCAACTCCGTCCTCTCCTCAACTTATGCTATTGGATTCGTCTCGACGGCCTCGCAATTGCTCAAGCAGTGCAGAACGAGTCGGCGCGGCTGCTTGAAACGCTGCGTACCTCCGCGCAAGGTCGCGTGAATCGATCCCCAACTCGAGAAGGTGTCTTCGCTCTACCTTGCTTTCGCCGACTAGAAGAAATTTATCTCTTAAGCCCGGCGGGAGTTCCTGTGGTGCGAAAAGGGTTGTCGGTGCATTCTTGTTGTGGTTTGCACTGTCATTCTCATTTCTGATCTTTCGGAAGACAAAAATTAGTATGAATACTCAACGTAAAAACATTCGTAAAACTAAATAAAAGTAGATCGATCATGTAGATACCTGTAGCTGCGTCTGAATGGCGATGTGTTCGGGTGTGAGGTTGTTCGCGTCGTTCGGAGCGCCTGAAGCTGTTGCTGAACTGTTTCCAAAATTCAACACGTAGGCTGCTTCCAGGTGCTGCGGGTAAAACCTGCCTGCGTTCGCGCCGTCGGCGAGGAGAGACAAGTGTCGAAGCAGCCACTTTTTCCCGTTCACTTCGTCCTGGGCCGCCTGGTGTTGTATTGCCGCCGCCTCTTTTGGACTTGTCCTGCTATTCACCGGCACGGATGGCGAGGCGCCCGCCATGTCGTAGACCTCTATGGTTTGCGGCATGATGAAATGCGAGTTGAACAGTTCGAGACTGTCCACCTTCTCCGAGTTTTCTCCGTCGATCGAGACCAGCTGCACGACCGGTTTTTTAATCCCGTCGATGCCGCCGCTGCTGCCTCGTCTACTCCGGCTAGCTGCCGCTTGCTGCGCCGCCGCGGCTCGCTTCTTGTTCTCGAACACCCTATTTTTCCAAATCGCGAGCTCGAGCCGCTGCCGCTGCAGATCCATCGAGCTCTCCATAGACCAAAGCCACAGAAACCGGAAATCCCGGATGCTAGAGTGCGAGGACCTTATGAGATGCGCGGGGCTTGATGTCGGTTGCGGCGTCAAAGAGCCACTGGCAAGCTGCTGCAAGCACGGCTGGTAGTAGTGGACGACCGCGCACTTGGTATTATTCACGATCGGAACTCCTCCCTGTCCGCCAAGCATACCCCCTCCTGAAGTTGAGGTGGACGTGCTGCTGTAGTAGGAGCTCTGACCCCCGCCGCTCAGATACCCTAAGCACGCCGACGGCCAGGCGTCGCGCGTCTGCAAAAGTCTCCGCAACGTCGTGGTCGGCAGCTTGATCAGTGGCGAACTCTGCCAGGGATCCGGGTTCCGCTCCCGCAACAACTCCTGCAGAATCTCGTCCGCGGGGGTGGATAGCAGCTGCCCGGCTACATTAGCGCCAAACGTCGGCAAACGTGGGTACCCACCCGTGACCAGTCGGGCTTCTTGCACGATCTCTCTTTCCTGAAAATACCTGCGCCAGAAGGGATTGGTTTCTTCCAAATAGTCCTGGACGGTGTCGGTGCCCATAGACACCATGGGCGGGTCGTTCTTATTCCGCCTGGTTGTAGTTCTACTACTTTTGTTCATCCCCGGGTCGGTTGCCGTGCTCTCCTCGATCAGAAAATCCTCTGCGACGACGTTCTCCCAGAAGAAACTAGAGAGAGACAGATCGGATCCGATGTCGAAACTACTGACGAGCTGTTGAAAATTTTGGTATAGCAGGCTCTGACGATTATTAGCAGCTCCCGCGCTACTGGCTCGGCTTGCTCTACTACCATTCTTGTCTCCACCGAAGTAGTCAATCATCTCTTCATCGTGTTCCAACATGGTCGGAAGCAGCCCGTTGCTTTGAAGATGATACCCCGGAACCGCACCTCCTCCTGCGGGCCCGAAACCGCGACCGCCGAAGTTTCCTCCGCCGAACGCGCTGAAGGACGACGAGTTCTGTCTTGTCAACCGAGCCCGCTCATCGAGGTCGGCAGTGTGCGAGTGCTTCAGTTGCTTCAGCTTACTGGCCGTTATTCCGCTACCGACGAGATGATTCTGGTTATTCATCATGCTAGTGTTGCTCGATGAAGAATTCGCGGAGCTGTTGCTCATGGTGTCGAAGTCGTTGGTGCTCGCGGTCGCGCTGGATGGGGAGCCGAAGTAATCGTCGCACAGGTCGACGGACTTTCGCGTTTGCGTCGTGGTCTCGAACTGCTTCACTTCCTTATTCCCGTGCTCGTCATAGACGATGCGCTTGGTCGGGATTTTGGTCTGTTGTTCCGACGTTGTGTCAGTGGCAACACCGCGATTCAGATTCAGCTTCGATTTCAGCCAGGAACTGATGCTGTTATCTTCTGTCGCTTCGTTGTTGCTATTTTTCTCGAACGGGGCGAGTGCTTCGTCGTCACTGCACGGCTCGCCGTTCCTGTTGTCCCCACTAGTCAATCCTAGCGCCTGCTTCGCTATCACGGCTCGCGGTGGCTCCGGATAGACCTGGCCTCCCGCGTCGGAGCTCTGCGGATCAAATCGCTTGATTCCGCCCTGCTGCAGGAAATTGCTGCCCTGCTTGGTGTTGTGCAGCAAAAACTCACTCTCAGTGGAGAAGAAGTCGTCGCCGAGCTGGATCGTCGTGACCAAGTGCTTCTGTTCGCGAAAAAGCTTACATGCGAGTAACCTGGGAAACAGTTCTTCCTCTATGGCCGCTTGGATTTGGTGCGGAGGGAGGTGGGTGCTACGCCGGAAACCCGTTTTATCCAAACCTGGAGCATTATTCAAGTTTGCCGCGATGTCTAGACAAAACCGGTGCAGGCAATTGTACTTCCCGCCGAACGCGTTGAAGAAAAGAATCCAGCCCCGGTCGAGGCTGCCGGTGGTTTGCAGGGTTTGGATACCGGAAAGCGGCTTCGGCTTGCTCAGTTCCAACTCGAGGTCCTTGCGCTGCTGCTGCTTCTTCCGCTCCCTTTCTCGGTTTTCCACGTCGAACAGCATGTCATCCAGTGACTGGAGCTGTGGTAAACCCCGGCCGACTGCGACCGAGTTAATATCCGCATCATTTTGCATGCGGCTCGTCACACCTCGTGTGAACCGCTCGATAGGCGAGGGAGCTTGTTGGTGATTAGTCGCAGCCGCCGGTATTCTGCTCTGCTGCTGTTCCCCGTGCTGCGCTTTGTGAATGTTTCTCAAAACTATGTTTTGAAAAAGATATTCCAGTTCCGCGATTCGTGCCTTGCTGAAGGTCGGTAGACACCAGGAAGAAATGTCGTCTTCATCTACCGATGTTGAGGTGCCATCAGTATAGCCGGCACCTATCCTCCGGTGCCCGGTGTTCGGCGAGGCTAGGGACGTTATCTTTTCCGAAGATATGCCCAGAATTCCCGACAGACTTCTGTCGTACCCAAACGTCTGGTTTGCGCGAACCGTGCGAGAATAGAGTGGCTCTTTCGGTCTTTTGCCCTTTTTGTCATTCTCCTGCTTGTTGTTCGTGGATGAATTTTTGAACTCGCGCATAAATTCCTCCTCGTCGACAGCTGCCAGATCGTCTTCCAGCTGTTGCGCCATGAGCCTCGCTTTTCTCGCATTGAAGCACAGGACGGACGACGCCAGGCCACCTTTAGTGCGCTTCATTTCTTCCTCTTGCTTCTTGATCAGTTCCTGTTTTCGCTTTTCCAGAGCCGCACGGTAAGCCGCAGTCGTGCTCATCTGCGATGCGCTTTCCGCGTTGCTCGCTTGCCCTTCGCCGCAAGAAGAATCCCCTGCATCCTCCTCGCCCGCGTCCAGGTCGCACTGAATCTTGATGCTCCGGTAGTGTTTCTTTATCGGCGGCCGTCGCGCCATTTGTTCCGAACTTTCGGAGATGTCCAGCATCGACCCAAACGCTTGCAGCGTCCATTGTAGGCCGCGCGAAATGGATGACGTTGATGCTGTACTGTCTTCTTGCGAAGTCGAGGTGCCTTGGTCTGTCCGGCGATACAACCGGGGATCATACGACTGGCTTGAATTTCTATCCGCGACGACCATCCTAGGATGCGGGCTATAGTGGTGCTGCTCAGGGTAACGATTCATGGCAAAGTATAGTGACTTGTTGTACGAGCTGGCTCTATACTAGCATCTTCAGAATCACGCTACCAATTCGTAGCTCACACTTTGCAAAAGTTGTAAAAGATTAATTTCAAATAAGGCCAATTTCATTCACAGCTGAGCTACTATACTTACAGATGCTGATGTCAATTGAGTACTTTAGTGTAAAGAAAGTTCGACGAATGAATATGAATTTCGACGATACTAGAAGATTAAGTCACCCCGGGCGAAACTGTCCGGGGTGGTCGTCGCGTAAATGAAAAGTAATAGACAAACATGGCATAGAAACTAAAAAATGATAATCAGAAAACAACAACATACAGATACACATAGATACTTAATTGAATAATACGAAATTGGGAAAACCGCTGTGTGTGGGACAAGGAAAAGCATTGATTGACCGAGGGTAAACAAGAACGAATACGAGTGACAAGGAGAGCAAGTGCTCGTGCTGCTCATCTAGTCATTATGATTATTTTCTGTGAGGACGACAGAGCCAAAATTTTTTTTTTGCACGAAACACCGTACGAAAGACATAGCTGATGGTAAGTTTGCACGACCGAGACTGATAACGCCAGCTATATCTTCTTCTTGTTTTTGGTACGAGAAAATACCGCGGACGTCGACATGTAACAAACTACGTACCGATGGAGCCGTTTGTAAGTAAAATTATACGCACCGAGCAGGAGAGTTGTGGACGAGAGAAATCACACAAACCGATTTCAAAAGCGTAACGTTTCGGTTCATCGCATGTCAGGTTCTACTAATTAGTTTCACCGAGTAGTCGAGTGGTTTTCTCTTGTTGGTCGCTACTTGTTTGAACGAGCCATCGAAACAAAATGGAAAATTTTCGGCAACACTATGAGGGTACGGACTCATGCGGCCCAAGTGCAACAGATGTTTCCTTGTTTATCACTAGCACACGGAATTTGATGCTAGTTTCAGACGTGGACGAGCATCAGGCAAGTTTTCTGCGGATTATTCAAAGTGTGAACGTGATGCACAGATGGCAAAATGGTTAGTGAGGCTCGGCAAATCCGAAACAGTGGTTGGATCAAAAAACGAATGAATCCCATCTTTCTCAAACAGAATTTTAAAAAATTTGCGTTTTCGCAGACATGTGAGTGAAACTTTACGCGGATATCCGCAAAGATAGTTGCTCAGCAAAGCCAACAAACTCCGGGCACAATGAAGTCAGTGCGACTCGTTCCTACAGCCAACATCTTCACCCGGCGCCAGCTCAGAACTCGCACCAGTGCAAGTTGACGATGTCACTAGTGACGGACGACTTCTCCACGGTTGGGAGCTTCAGCAGCCGCACCTGCTTGCACGTGTTTTCGTTAATCAGATCCGCTCCGTGCTCTTTCATCGCCTCGTGCAACGTCACAGACACCCAAAACCTTTTCTTGCTTGCCGGCATGGATGAAGCTGCACTGCCGACGGTTTGAAACTTCTGCTCCGTGGTGTCGTAGTTGTACTTGAAATCGGAGCCAGCCGGTTCCAGCACCTTGAGCGAGTTGGTAATGTTTTCATCTTGGTGCAAAATTATCGTACTGACAGAAAAGGAAAACATGGTCAGGGGAACAGCAAATAAATTATTGCGACTTTCAACATGAGAACGCCATTGCTGCAAATCAGAAAAATCACATCATACGTTTCTCATGCTCGCCAGCACCTGGTAGTACATTTCGCTCTTCTGAGCAAAGTTGTCTAGCACGCCTTTCTCAAAAACGATGTCAAAATCGTCCAGCCCCAGTTCGAGGGGCTTCGTCGCGTCGAGAACTTGGTACTTAACTTCCGGGTTGCGTTCCTGCATCAATTTGACCATGGTGTCGGAGATGTCGGTCGCCGTGACGTCGTACCCGAACTTCGCCCGGACGGCCTCGGGCAGCTTGCTGTTGCCCGAACCCAGCATCAGGATTTTCACATTGGTATTCAGTTTCTTGTTCACCTCGTCGACCGCGCTCTTCGTTTGTTCATCTTGTTCAGGCTTGTTTCCGTCAGAAGGGGTCGGCGTGGCCGTGGAATAGTGGCGCAATATCGGCCCGTCAGGCCCGAAGAAGTCTTGCATTGTCTTCAGAGGCTTCGGTAGTTCGCCGCTGTTGTTCGTCAAAAATGCGGTCGTCTCGCTTTTCGATGCCTGCGCTGCGACGATGGTGCTGGCTGCCTCCGCACCGTCAGTGTTTTTCTTCTCGGACGTAGATGGCATTTTCGCGAATAGTTTTTCCTTGCGATTGTCGTCGATCTCCCCCACTTCCTTCATCGACAGCCGATTGCCGTCTTTGTCTACCGGGAACGTGTCGTCGTTCATGTCATCTTCTTTCTGGTAGTAGAACGGCCAGGACACCGGCAGGGAGACAAAATCTGTGTCCTCGTATCCTGTGCAAAAGTATCGCACTCGTAGTAATTGCAATCATGCATTACAAATTTTTTTCTTAAGGTAAATCCGCATTACAAATTTGATTTGCAATGCTGGGCGAATCTGTAATGCAATTTATACTAGTACGATACTTTTGCATTGCATACCTCGTCGCCGTCGGCGATACTGTCAATCTCCTCTTTCTCGGCCGCGTCAGTTCCCTTGAGCACCGGGGTGGTGGCGTAGGGGAAGAGTTCTTCATCGGGCGCGAAGTACCACTCGTACACGTTTCCGTTCGTCTGTTGGTACAACTGTTCCCAGTACGCCGGCTGGTCAAACGTGAACGTGTCCGTCAAGAATTCCTTCATCAGGCCGCTCAACTCCGTTTCCGGGAGCAGAGATTCCTTCTGCACCTTCACGCGAATCACGCCCCGGAGCACGGACAGCGCGTTCTGCATCTGGGCCATCAGAGCCTCGGTTTGCTTTCCCGTACCGGAAGCCCACAAAACCTACTTCATTGATTCACGACGTCGACTTGTTTGTATTAAAGGGAAGTATAAGAGCAATAGCAAAACAGGAGTCAGTGGACGAAACAAACACAAAGCTAATCCAGGTTGCAATCTATAAACGGAAAGACGTCAAAGCAGGTGGGTCCTTTGATGTTTACGAATTCCTCCGCTCTCTTGCCGAACGCCTTCGTGTCCAGCAACAGCGTTTGCAGTTCTGCCAAAGAGTCCGAGTTCAGCTTCTCGCCGGTGGCAGCGATGACGAGCAGGTCCTCCATCATATGCATTATGAGCTTACGGATCGAGTTGTCCCGACTTCGCCGGTGGTACGCCACCGCCTCGAAGGGATCGTGCACCTCCGTGTCCACTTTGCCCGTCATCTTGTCCTCAATCCCGGGGTACATGTCGCTGACGTCTGTTTCGCCCGGCAACTCCGGCGTGTAGCCTTTGAGGCAGTCCAGGTCCTCGTCGCAGGCCCGTTTTTCGGCGCGCTTTTTCTCCTCTCGTTCGATCTTTTCCGCGAGAGCTTTTTTCTTCTCCTCCGCCGAACTCTTGGATTTTTTCTTTCCGGGCACTGTGCCATTTCCCGACGAACCTTGCGACACCAGGTCGTACACGAAACCGGAGAAAATGCAAACACCGAGGCCCAAAACAGCAAAGAGCCAGACGGGCGTTTTGGACGCTTGGGACAACTTTTTCGAGGGGTGTTTGGAGCCGACAACATCGTAACTCCCAATGTTCAAGCTGCTCCGCTTGCCTTCCGGAGTGCTCAAACTGCTGCGCTTTTCAGCGAACGCCCTGTTCGAATCGGAAACCGAAGACATGCTGCTGCGAGCGACTTGATGCGATTGCGCCGTGAAAATCTGCCTATCGTGCCTTCGCGTCGGTATAATTGGTGTTGGACTTTCTGCACAAAAGTATACTTTATTTTGTTGCCTGATGTTGGCTACATGACGGGATCTTCTTCTTTGCTCGATGGGGTCCGTTCACAAAGTGCCGACTTTTTATTTGGAACGGACCTGGGAACACACACGCAAAAGCAATCGAAAGGATGATCTTTCTGCAACTAAAAGAAGAAGAACAGAAACCTACAATACCGAACGATTTTCTGTCGAACATTGCACCCAATGTCTGACGGCTGCAGCTTCGCGAATGTGCTATTTTCCCGTGTTGTTGCGACAAGCTCTTGATCTATTCAGAGTGATCGTTCAACGCCGGAGGTACAGACGACGTTGACGCAAACGTCGAATAGCATCTTCATGTGATTCCAATACCAAAAGCAATTCTTGTACAGTGTGTCGTTTTGTTGATTTTCTTTTTCTGCTATACTTTTACAACAACAAAAAAAAACTTGTTCCGCCTCAGAGCTTCGCAAGGTTTTTCTCTAGCTGAGCTGCCTCACCGTCTCGTACGCAGGAAATCGTCTCCTGGCACTCCTGCTTGCAGCGCACTGTTATCGTGGCCCCATTCTCCGCCTGGAAGGTTTTTTCACTGCACGACGAGCTTTTCCGCGATCTCGTCGTTAGGGCAATGCTTCCATTTCCCCTGGGCATGTTTGCAAGCAGTTTCGCGTTTCTCGTCAGGAGTGCGTCGTGCTCCATGGAGGTGCGACGAGAATTCGCTTCGGCGTCGTCCGCATCTACCCGCGCCGGCTTCACCTTTCGGAGCGAGTTCCAGGTCATCGCCATCGTGATCTCCCTTGCCAAAAAAATTCCCTGTGCTAGTGCTATTCCTCACTCATGAGTCGGATTAGTTGTTTGATACCACTTTGGCGCAAGGAAGTAGGTGTGAAAGCACTGTGATCTCGTCGACGCACGCTAGAAGTGGGAGTTTCAGCCGAAATGGAAGAGGACATTCCTCGAGTTTGACGCGCTTTCTTCATTCTCTCGGAGACACGACGAATTTGCAGAGAAAAGGCAAATGTGTGGCCCGGACCCCGCCCATCCAATGTCATAGGCACTCGGAGTTGATGTAGATGTTGATGTCGCCAACGTCTTGGTCGTAATACTACGTGCTGAATGTACGAAGCGAATCCTTAGTGTACCGATTTTCACCCAGAGGACAGAAGCGGTTTTGCAAGGGAGGTTTCTTCCCTACGCGGGCTTTGTTTGGTTGCACGAGTCGGTCGGCGATAGTCAGGAACCAGCGTCGAAGACATTCTCATTGAAAGCGACGCATTTCGCATACTGGTCTCGGCAATGTCCGGAGTTAGAACATGCGGTACGGTGACGAGGTCTAGAAGTTCGAGGTCGGGAGGCTGGAGTCGGGCGGCCGAGACACGACTCACAATACTGGACAGCACGCCACGGCTTACAAAACCCTCGGTCCTTTCCGTGGGCGGGTCCTGCTCCAGCTGGTGTTCTTGTAATTGCTCGAAGATGATCAAACTTTGCCGCAGTGCCAGCATTTCCTCTTCGTCGCTTTCCACGGCGCTCTCCCGTGGCGACTCTGCGGCTGGCCGATCACTGTCCTCCTCTTCGCGCAGCCGAGCCATTGGTTTGTTCTTTATTGCCGACATCCGCGGACTACTTGCCACCGTTTTCCTCTCCTCTTCGCTGGTCCCGGGTTGCTGTTGTAACTGGTCCATCTTGCTGCGGATCTGGTCGATGCCGGAGGTTACCAGTCGCTGTTCCGTGTCTGCCGGCACGAGCGCAGAGAAACAGCACACGGCGCACACGGACACACACCCTAGGATGAAAAAGGGGAAAAAGCTTGTGACGCCGAACAAATCCGAGGTGAAGGAACACAGCAGCGTCCCCACGACCCGACCGATGTTGCCGTAAAGACACATGCGGCCAAACACGTGCCCGCGTTTTGTCACGTCCGGCGCACACATAGCAATCAACACCGGCTGGCTGCAGCTGCGAATGTTGTTGCCCACGTTCAGTGTCACGAGCATTAAAACGGCAAGCAACTTCTTCGACTGGTCGCAGGCGCAGAGAAGAAAAAAGGATAGGGCGGAACCGCTAGTCCCCCAGAGGAGGGCGGTCCGGTGCCCATATTTGCTCTGCACCACCGGAACGACAAACGTCGTACTGCAAACCAGGGCGGCGGAGACCAACGACATCAGATAGCTGATCTGCAACACCGTAAACCCGATCGCGTCGCAGAAAAACAGCGTGAAAATCGCTGTCGTGCCCGCACCGGAGAAATTTCGGAAAAAACCATCCACATACACCGCCATAAGTGTGCGGGTTTGCAGTGCCGTTGCTTGAACCGGAGCGATCTTTGCGTTCGTCAGTGGCTTCTTGTGCATAGAAGTAGATGATGCTCGCGGGGCGGCAGACGTGGCCACACTTCGAGTACTTCCTGAAGTAGTGCGACTTTGATCGTCCTGTCTTTTCCACCCGCTGTCGCCTTTCACTTTTACACTGCTCCGTAGTTCTGACTTCTTGCTTTGTTGCCTCATCGCCTCTAGCCACGCAGGACTTTCCTGCAGATACAGAAAGTCGATGAAAAACATCGCGAGGGATAACACACCGGTGAAGAAAAACCCACAGGACCAGCTCACGGCCGACAAAACGCCTCCTACCAGCGGCCCGAACAGACAGGCCAGCGGCTGACTTGTCTGCAGCCAGTTGAGCAGCTGTCGGCGGGTTGCTTCATCTTTCGCGACGTCGGTAAAGTACACCTGGGCAACCTCGAGAATCACCACGAAAATTCCCAGCCAGAAGTTGCTCACCGCCAGAAGCCAAATAGTCGGCGAGAAGCCCTGCGCGAACAGGCCGAAGGACACGCCGAGCGAGCTGAGATACAGAACCGTCGCCCTGCCGTAGCTGTCAGCAAGGGACGCAATCACCGGGGGGAAAACAGCACCGGACACGGCCTTCAGCGAAAAAATGATGCCCACGTCCAGCGGGGTGCCGTGCAGTTGTTTCGTCACGTAGAACGGCAGGGTCAAGATGTTCACGGATACCGCAACGAAGTCGATGAAATTCGTAAGCACAACCAAGAAGATGGAGCGCTTCGTGACAGAACAACTCAGGATCGTTTGTTGAGGACCGGCTGTACCAGATGAAAACATCTTTTCACATGCCCTTGAGATCAATGAGTCACAGTGTTGATCCTCTCTCGCACCGACAGTCTCAGAATGGATATTACTGAGAAGCCACCCAGAAAAATATATGCCAAAAGCACACCTTGAACTCAAAAGATCAAAGATATATAAAACGAGGATCTGTTCATCGCCGCCGGTTCCAAAGATTTAACAAGCCTGCGCGCGAAAGCAGAGTTGAAGCTTTGTTTCCGTTCATCTCAGGATGATGAAAATTAATTGGCTTTCTTCATAATTTTCAGCTGACTTTTTGCCAAAGCGGAGAAACCCCCGCTGCACCAGGAGTAGCACTTCCACTTCTGCTCTTTGCGTCTATGCTATTATTGTAAAAGCCTGCGTGCTGGTAAGCGTAGGGAGCAACTCCTGCTGACACAGTAGTTGCGGTACAGGTAGCTGCAACTCGACCAGCTGCACCATTCTCAGTCAAAGTTGCTTTCCTTCTTTCCTGCAACGCTAGATTCGCCTCCCGCTGCACCAAATGCAATTCCTTTAGCCGAATTTTCTTGTCCCGTGCGGTCGCATCGGTTCGTACCTCTTCCATCTTCGCCGCCAACTCCGCCACGCGGGCGTCCGACTGTCGCTTCTTTTCCTCGTGCTCCCGCTTTATCGCCTCCAGCTTCGTTTCTTGCAGCTCGAATTTCATCCGCCAGTCTCTGTTCAAATCCGCGATCGCAATTTCCTTCTCGTGCTTCGCCTGCGAAATTTCCTCGTCCTTCTTCGACGCAAGCAACGCGAGTTGCGACTCCTTCTCCAGAATCTGGGTTCGCGCTTCCTCCAGCTGAAGCTCGTAGTGGCTCTGGACCTGCTTGACCTGCAGGTCAAATTTCGCCACCCGCTTTTCAAAATGCTCGGTTTCCTGGCGCATCGCGAGCTCAATGTGCTGCAGCTTTGTGGTCTGTTGGAGGCACTCGTCGCTCTTCTTGTCCAGTTCGGACTCGACGAATTGCAAGCGGCGGGCCAGAAGTTCTTGGTTCGTACTGCTCTTCTGTTGAGATTGCCCAGCGGGGGCCGGTGGAGCACCAGTCGCCGTTGCTTCTTCTTTCTTCGGGACAGAAGTTGTTGTGGACTCCTGGTCTGCAGGCATCGCGACCGTCGTGGCCGGCGAAGTTCTTGCCGGAAGTGCAACATCAGTCCCAGGATGTGGAGTAGCAGCAGCAGTAGTGTTCGCAGCGCCAGCATCTGCCGTTGTATGGGACTCTGGAAGTAGTATGGTTGTATTTACCTCGTCCGGAGGTGCTGGTGGTTCCCCTGCACCAGCTGCGCCGGGCGCTCCTTGAGCTTTGCTCCGATCCTTCGGCTCGTCCGGAGCAGCAGCAGCAGCAGCAGCAGCTTCTCCCTTCGACTCAGCTGCAGGCTCTGCTCCGCTTTGCGCTTTGCTGCTCATGAACTGCTCGAATTCGGCAAACAGCTTGTCCGTTACCCGAGTTGCAGGAGCGGTGCTAATTGTGGTGGAACTTGATGAACTGGATGAGGCAGGTGCGCCTGTTGCTCGTGTGCTAGACGAGGACTGGTCCTTCACGACTTCAGGCAGGTGCAAGGGCGCCACGTGAAAGTCGATTGCAGGGGTCGGGAGATCCACGTGCGGCAAATCCAGAAATTGAGCGGCTGATGAAGAAGAAGCACGAGCAACAGTTTTCATCGAGGATGTAGTTGGAACTGCGTTCGATTGACCCGGAATTACTGCAGAAACGGCAGATGTTGAGCCGACATCTTGATTTTTTTCCTCATTTCCTATTCCCGGCACAAGTGTATCTCCCACGTCGTCTGTTTCGCAAGGCTTCTTCGTGCAAGCATCTTCCTCCCCGCCCAAAATACTGGCGGTACACGTTGACTCTCTTCTGCTCAACACCAGCTTTTCTTTCTCCAGTTGCAAGATTTTTCGTTGGTACTCCAGATTCAGCTCGTCCAGCTTGCGATTATTGATCTCGAGCATCCGCAACTTTTTCCGCGGTGAGATCCTGCTCCGACTCGTGCTCGCTTCGCTCGCGTTCGAAAACGGGAGAAGATGCTCACTCCCAAAATCCAAGTTGAGCAGGTCGTGTCCGCTGTAGCTGCGACTGTAGGCAGACAGTCGAGACTTGTTGTGCGCACCTGATATATTGGCTGCTGCGCTGAGCGCAGCTTCGTCGAGGCTGAGAAAATGATCCGACGACCCTGCCCCAGCCCCTGCTCTACTCGAGTAATGGTCGTCGAACACGTCGAGCGCGAGCAAGTCCTCGTCGTCGCTATCCTCCTCGTCATCGGGCAACAGATTCAACAAATCCTCATGCTCACCCGCCGGGATGATGACAGACGGAGACCCGGGAGGTTCGGAGCCGTCGTCCACGGCCTGATGTTCTAGCTCCTGCTTGATGTCGTAGTTGCCTTCTCGACCTCTTTGTTTACGCTTACTCTTGTTCTCGACTTCTGCTCCTCCGTGGGAAAGACCGCTTGCGCTGAGCAGGGCGTTGCTTCTCTTCGCTGTTCCAGCACTCATCCTTCTTCGATTCTTCCCGGCTTTGTTCAGCGGCACGCGGTGCTGGTGGAATGAGCTCAAATTCGTGCTCCAATTCGACGTCGACCTGGAACTGTTCGGGGTTTTCACGGCCGACTTGCTGCTCGCGTTGTAGGTACTCCGCAGGTACCCTGCGTGCGGGTTATTGGCGCCTCCTGCCCGTGTGCTGCGATTTTGCGGTCTTCCAGCTACACTAGTCCTAGCCCCCGCCACGGCGAACTGGTTGGGAAAATATTGCTCCGGATGGACGACATCTGTGTCGTGGAACGGGGCCTCTGGGTGATAATCGAAAAGATCTGACGTTTTCCGGGACGATCGAGGATCATGACCGGACGGGACACCATAGCTCTGTTCTTCTTTTCTCGTTCTCCTTCCAACTCCGGCGTAAGAGCTCGAGGTCCGCGAGTTCACCGAGCCTGTGCTCGGCACGCGCTTCAGGCCACGGGGCTGCTGCACGGTGCGCGAGGCAACAAGCAACCCGTTTTGCTCTTCTTGGCCCAGCATGAGCTGCAGGTGCTCGTCCTGCTGCTGACCACGTGCGACGACTCCGGTGCCGCCCGGCGAGCGCAATAGAGAGAGGTCCAGATTGGAAAGGTCGATCGCAGCTCCAACGCTGTGCTGCTGCGCAATATGATCCATAGAGCCAATACCGCTCGTGCCAGCTCCTCCGGGAACGATAGAGGTCGTGCTCAGATTGCTCGATGAAGCAGCAGCGGCGTGATGGCCTCGGAGATCTGATTTTGATGTGTGGCGCAAGAGTCGGCGCAGTCTTTTGCGGTCGCTTGTAGTCACGAGTAAATCAACACGAGGACGAGTAGAATGCGCTAGTAGCTCAAGAACAGTATGCATGGCGTTTCCATTTTGATTTTGGGAACATGTATACAGATTTTCGATTTGTTTTGCTTAAACGACAAGAACTGACAAAGGTCTACTCGAGTCTACCTCTCACAAGCGTTGCCACCCTGGTGGAGCTCGGTCCACCTTGCTGCATGTGTGAGGCTGGAGGATATCCCGCGGGGTAGAAGGACTTCGTTGATCTATTTCCGTGCTGCTCTACGTAGGCACCTGCACCTCCATAGTGTTGTTTGCGCTGAGATGCTGGATGGTCTACCATCACACTTCTCGACGAGGTAGACGGAAAATACTGGCTTCGCGTAGCTCCTGCGGCGCCATGCTGGAAGGACGAGACTGCTTGGTCGACGCGTTGAGCAAATTCTGGTTTGGAAAACCTTCGCAAGGCTTTCTCAAGCTGATTCTGGAACTCGGGGCTCGGCTTCAAGACACCCAGCTGTGGAACTTGTGTACGGCGATCAGCAAGCAAGGGCCGTGGATAATCCGGATCCGACGGCGAACTAGTTTTAGACTTGGACATCTTGATCTTGGGAATAAAAGGCGAGGCTTCACTTTTAGCGACTAGTGACGCAGAATCTGCATGTTCCTGTGTCTAACTGCAGCAAATTTGAAGTAGGCTTTTCTCAAAAAGGTCGCGCTCAACTCTACACAACCTGAACCTTGTCCATCGGACACCTTCGTAGCACGTGAAAACATCGCTCAAACAACCAAAAGAACAGAAGAAAGCTTACGCTTACCAAATCGACTCGACCCTCGAGCCTATTCGTGATAAATAACGGCGATGTCGAAGACAAAACGACGCGACGAGGGCCAGTTTGCTACATCATCTAAATCTCTCAACAACGACAAGGGAAAGAACATTGAGCCACTTAGTACCAGAATGGGATGAAGGACAACAACACATGAACAGACAGACGACATCAATGGCCCAGCAGAGGGATATGTCGGAAACTCGTGCCCCCTTATTGTTTTCGTGACAGCGACCTGTAAAAGAAAGCAAAAGTAAGAGATGAAAACTAAAACATCTTTCTTTATCGTGCGAACTTTTTTCGGTTCAACTCGACCCGTTGGCCGAGTCCGCGCGGCAATTCCTGCTGCACTGACCGCACTTTATGGTAGTACGAGTTCCACTTCTGAGGCGCTGGAGGGTGCCACGAGGAAGGCCGAGTAGTCGATTCCGTTCTTCACGCAGACTGCCTTCAGTTTCTCGAGGTCAATTTGTGCTTGCTGTAGCTCCTGCACCATCTCGCCCAGCTTTTCACTCGACTCGAGCTTTTCTTGTCGGAGCTTCTCGATTTCCACTTGTGCCTCCTGCAGCTGCATCAACACACTGCCGAGCTCCTCCCCGGTTGCGAGTTTCTCTTCCCGGGCCTTTTCGATTTCGACCTGTGCCAGCTGCAGCTCCTTCACGTAGAAGGCGACGTCCACCTCTGGTTCGTTCGGGCGGTCCTTGGAAGAGCTCGAGGGCGCCTTGTCCTCCGTCGTGGTCTCTACTTCCAGCAACGGCTTGAGCGAGCCCGATCGCTGCAGCTTCAGTTGCCGAAGCTTCGCGCTTGACTCTGGCGGCTCACCGGCGTCGGCCATGGTCGGTTTTTTATTGAAGCTGGCTTTGCAAGAAGGAGGTCCTCTCCGTCTACTTTTTGGAAAACGAAAATACGACTCTCCGACACAGGAAAATGATGATCATCAACATGAAAATGATGCCTCGGAATTTCTCGCGAGACGCCACCGTATGAGTTTTATTTTCCACCTCTCGATGCCGCACTGGCACTTCCTAATTGATTTATTTCTCTCAATGCAAAAAACAACGACACAAAACGCGGAAAGGCAGGGACATGGACACCGTGCACAGCTACAGCGATAGACAAGCGGCTTCCCACGATGTGGATCCGGCAGTGTTCCGAAAGAACTGTGGCAGTCGATCGGTGCCGATTTATTCTTGCTCGTGCTATTCAGTTGTAGCTCCAGTAGCAGTACTACTACAGCGCCGCCACCAGACCATCATAAGTCTGGCTCTGGTGTGAAAGTGATTCTGATTGTGATTGAAGTTTACGAACATGTGAAAGTGAGATAGATGAAGTAAGACTTTGCTGTGGGACGACTCGCATCGCCTCTGGTTGACCACCACCCTTCAGAACCGGCCCCCTCGCGTCGAGTGCCGGCTTCCTGGACGGCTTGGTGACACTACCGGCGGCTTGAAGATGTCCAACAATTGTGATCGGATGTCTTCCGACAGACCCTGCGTTTGCATCACCTGCTGGCGCAACTGCGGCAGGACCGTGTCACGTACGGACGGTGGCGCATCCTGAAAGGAGGATAGCGCAGCGCGCGGTGCCTCCAAAACGTCGTCGGACGAAGACGACCCGGATTTGGCGAATGGCCCCCTCCCGTGCAGAAACGTCAAGCCGCCCCCACCGCCACCGCCGGCGCTGCCGTAGCGCTCCATGCTGCTCACACCACCGGAGAGTTCGATGCCGCGCTGCCGATCCGGGTAGGTGACAGAGCTCCTGATGTCCGCTTGCGTTTCGAGAAATTTCGACAGCGGGCTCACGTCCGGCTGCGCCGCTGCGTTTCGTGTGCTCAGGTGGCCGCGCGAACGGGACGACAAATTATTGCTCTGGACGGCCGAAACTGCAATGAGGAATTAAGTAAGTGTGTTCAGAGTATGTCTCATTTCTGTAGCTGGCAAATGGAGGACATCATTGATCTACAAATAAAGATAAACACAAGCTGCGTACTGCATTGGAGTTCTGTTTCAAACCAGACAAGGAATTGACATCAAGTACGTTCTCGCTTCGTCTCTTTCAGTAGTTGCGAGAGCGGGCTGCCATCTTGGGACGGATCTGCGACCTCGGACACGTCATCGATTGCCAACTCGTAATTTCGCGTAAAAGACGCAAATGGATCGTCGAGTCCGTCGTTTGCAGACGCCGCACCGCGGGATATCCCACCACGACCACCGGCTATGTTTAGTACGTGGTGCGTCGCCGCCCCTGTACCACCACGGCCGGGTCTACTGGCGGCACTGGTCCCCCGGGAGCCCGCGGCTGCCGTGCCGTGGTCCTCCCGAATACTCCGCAACGCCTCGACTGCGTCCTCCAGTCGATGTAAAGACGCCACAAAGTTCTGCGGCTTCCTACCACCAGTCTCGCCGGACTGTGACGCACTGTCTTCCTGACTATATACCTCTGCGTCCTCACCTCTCGTCCTCGCCGGCTCGATCTGATCAAATGTCCCCCCACCGAGCATCTGTGGCGTCGCCGCGCGGTCCAGGGTTCGTTTGCGCGACGCTCGTCTGGCCGAAGCTCTCGCAGTACCTGGTGCGGCCTCTTCCCCTTTCTCGTCCTGGGTTTCGAGCAGGATCTCTTTCTCCGTGCCAGCGATTTCCGGCGGCAGCGAGTACCTGCCAACGATCTCGTCCAGACTGCTGCTCTTCTCGCGGAGCATGCGCTGCATGCGCTTCTGTTGCGTGTCAAAGTCCACTTCGCTGTTGGTTTCCGTCTCACTGCGGATGGTGGCGCCAAAAAGCGGCTTGCTTCCGCGATCCTCCACGACGACCGTGTTTTCGCCCGCGTCTCCGCCCGCTTCCAAGACCGAGGAGGAGTCGTCGCCGTCCATGACCACGGGCGCGACCGACTTGGAAAATGGCGGGTTCTTTAGGAACGCGCCCGCGCTCGTCCGCGAGAACGTATCTTCGGGGATGCGCAAAAAAGTGTTGGTCTTCCTGTTTTTGTAGAACACTGGCTGCGGCTGACGGGTCGGTACGTAGATTTTCGACCCCTTGTTGCCCGCCTTGTCCCCGTCTGTACTTGCCGGCGGAATCTGTTCGTAACTGTTGGTTTCTTCGTTGAGCAAAAACCGCTCGTCCGGGATCTTTGAGAACGTGCCATCGCGATTCCGCACGTAGCTGTTCGGCGGGGTCACGGTTTGCGCGAAAAACGGCCCGCGTTGCAAAAGCTCCTTCGGATCCGCGGCACTTGCATCGGAAAGTATCTGCGAGAAATCTTCGTTGTCGTTACCTGGTTGTATCTGACCCTGCCGATCGTTTTCCTCCTGCATCAAGAGGCCGCTTCTACTGTGACTTCTACTTCGTTGGCCTTGCATCGGAGGTCGGTCATCAACTTCCAGTGCGCCGGACGAGCGCCCTGGACGTAGACCTATCGTGGGCGGGATGCCTACCCACGGGGTGAAGTTTCCGTCGTCGTTTTGCAAGAAGAGATTTGGAGGCAACACCTCGAAGTACTCGGTTAGATGCGACGTCGCCGCAGGCCCCCTCGCGGATCCAGCGCCCGCCCTGCTTCGCACTTTGTAGAACAGGGGCGTTTGCTCCAGGGTGTTCTGCCGACTGAGCGGACTGGACGGCAGTGCGGTGGAGGCAGGAGGGAGAAACAGCTCCTCGAACAACTCATGGGTTCGCATTTCGGACGACTGACGGATTGACCCGGACGTGACCCTTTGCTCAGTGTCTGGCTTTTTGACGAACCTGCCACGTTGGTCGCGTCGGTACGCGCCGTCCGGGTGCAGAGAAAATCGCTCGGGCGGGATCGGCACGTACTCCCTCGCGGAGTTTTTGTAATACAACTCCTCCGGAACGGGCACATACGCGTTGCCTCGTTCGTCCCGGTAGAAAATTCGCGGTTCTGCGGAAATCGACTTCGACGGCGAGCGGCTGCTGGTCGCTGAGCCAGACGCGTGGCCATTGTTTCCAGAAAAGTCCAATCTTTCGATGGAGAGGGACGATCGGTGATCCGGATTCTTTTCGTACACCACCTCCTGGACCACCACAGGCGAAAAACTCGTGGTCGACGCCGGGTCCCAGGTCACCGAAGATGAGGCCTTGTTCTTCACCCGACGGCGGTACGTGGTTTCGGGAACCGGAACGAAGGTTGTTGTAGTTGGGGCTGCTGGATCGGCGCTGGTGGAAGAAGTTGCGGCTTTGTAATAAAGCATTTCTGGCATCTTCACATATCTGTCGCCGCTCTTCACGTATGCCCCACGCGGATCTTCAGTGTACTGCCACTCTGCGCCGGTGCCCCGCCGCTCCCGGCGAAACGTCACCTTCGGCACGCGGCTGTAGTTGCCCCTGGCGTCACGGACGTAGAGCTGTTCGGGAATCGGCTCGAACTCCGTTCCATTTTTTGCAAAAGAGTCGTACGGCGGGCGACGCTGGGCAACGGAGTCAGGATCGATTGTCAGGCCGCTAGACGACGGCGGTATCATCATGTTGCGGTGTAGTTGTTGTATTGGAGTTTGTGGTCCCGCTCCAGATTGGTCACTGAACATGGAGGCGGCACCAGCGACTCCTGGCTCCTCCGCTACTGGGAAGAGCTGCTGCGCGTCTCGCATTCGCGAGGGCATCGCGGGCGTCGCCTGCTCATCTGCAGCAGGGTAGTTGCGAAAACTCAATAGTCTCGGATCCTCCGCCACCACGAATCTGGAGTCACCGGCCAGCGAGCTCTCGAGCGCCTTGACGCGCGCACTGCGGTCGTGGGTACGAATTTGCGGCGTTTGATTCTCAGGGTGTGCTGTGGGAAACGAGGACGAGAGCGGCGGAAACGACACGTCGCCAAAAATCCTACTTCTACTAGCACTACTGGCCTGTTGTGAGTTTCTCGCTGCTTTCTCCTCCACTTCAGCCTGAAACATATAGTCCATTTGCTTCGCCAGCAGCCTTATCTTTCCCTGTTTGTCCAAAACCGGGCCTCCCTCGCGGATGAGCTTCTCGGGGGACACCAAATTTGGCTCATGTATCCCAGCGGGCGTGTCGGTGGCCGCGCCGAAGTTTGGTGGACGAACGAAGAAAGAATGTGTTCCGATGGTCTGCTTCTGGAGTTTGGAAACCGCAATAGGCGGTTCATCCGCAAGCGCGCTGGAGAACACGGCCGTGCTGTCCCAGTTTGAAGACGTGAACGGCTTTCTGTTTTTCTCGTCGACGACCGGCTTCACTGTCACGATCCGACCACTCACGTCGCGCAGTTGCTGGCCTCCCTTCTTACTGTTGCGCACCAGTTCCGTCGCGGACAGAGGCTTTCCGTCGATATCCACGAAGGCCTTGCCGTCGCGCAGGAGCGCTTTTGTTGGAACGTACTTCTGCGTTTTTACGTCGATCAGGCTCTTGACCCCCTCTTCTCGCAGGATGTTTGCGATGGCGAGCCGACGCCCCGTTGTCCGGTCGATGCCGGTCCCACCAGCGGAGGCAAGTTCTCTTAGTTGCACCGTTTTCTGGGCACTTCTTTCCTTGCCAGCGGAGGGATCCTCGCCTGCCAGGAAAACGCCCGGGACACGGCCGACGACTTGCAGCTGCTCTGGGTATACCAGTGTTTCCCCGTCGGCGGATACGAATTCGCCGTCGTAGCGTGCGGCACGCTTGACCGCGACTACGCGATTGTTGCGGTCCAAAACTTCTCCCCCAGCTTCCGCCAAATCCGCCGCGGAGACCGGACGCGCAGGGGAACTCCTGCTTTCGGGAACAAGGAAAACTTCGGCCCCGTCGACGTTTCTTCGCTGCAGGTTGGTCTTCGGGATTTTCCCGCCGTCCGTGAGCACGAAGACTTCCTCGTTCTCCGCAGGCAGAACTGCAACCGGGTTTCCGTTCAGATCCAAAACCGTGCCCCCAGATCTGCGCAAGACGTGTTCTGGTATGGTCGTTGTGGGGGAGAAGGCGTCCAAAAAGTGGTTGGTCGCTGGGTCACGCTGCAGGATTCTCGCGGAGACCCGCTGGTAGCTTTTGTCGAAGAAGTCCTCGCTTACGGACGGTTGGAGCGAGACAACGGCACCCTGAAGATCGAGCACCTCGCCGCCGAGCTGCTCCAAGCGCTCGGGAGACACCGGGCGCCCCGTCGGCGACAGAATCAAATCGTCAAAGGTTCCGGTCTTTTTCAGCCGGGCCAGTGGCACTGGGGTGCCGGTGACATCTTCGAAGATAAAGCCGGTGCTTTTGGACAAGGGTAGAGAGTGTGTGCGTCGAGTACCTCGGCTCACTATTTTCGGGTGTTGATCAATCTCGGACGTAACACCGGTCTGCTTTGACGTGGAACTCTTGGTCTGCAAAACGCTCGCCGGAATTTCGGTACCGTCCACACTGGATGCAGTTATTGCTTGTCCTTTCGATCTATCGTTTGCAGGAAAGAAGGCGCCAACTGCACCCCCGGCGGCTGCGGAAACAGATGGACTGACTGTCACGGTAGCGCCACTGACGTCAAGTATACGGCCACCAGACGTTGCGAGCTCTGCCGGCGAGATTGCTTTTCCAGGATTGTCAGCGCTCACAAAATCATCACCGCGCTTCATCAAAAGCTGCGGCACAGCAGCTCCTCTGTCCGTGCTGGCAGTTGCGCTTGTCGGAGAAGCGAATTGATGTTCCGCAGCAATCTTTCCCACGTTAGCGCCCACAAACGCCGGCCTGATATCCACAACGTGGCCGTCGACGTCAAGCACCTTGCCGCCAGTGTGCGACATGGCAATTGGGCTGATTCGAGTCCCGTCGACGCCAACGAAATCGGCGCCGAGTCGCTGCAGTTGCGAAGCTGGGACAAGGCGCAGGATAGCACCTTCGCCGTTGCGTATTAAACCCTGGTCTTCAGGAAGTGGAGTAGCAGTTCGCAGATTCTCAGCGAATGTCAATGGTTTCGCGAAGTCCGGAAACGGCTGCACCGTCCTTCGCCGCCCGTGCAGGTCGACCACCTCTCCCCCGAAGCGAAACAGCGCGCCAGGAGAAACCACTGTCCCATCCGCCGCGACGAAACTGGCTCCGCTTCTCTTGAGTTCTGCAACAGGCACGGTCTCGAACAGCACCGCGGGATTTTTCGTGCTGGCATCCAGCGAGGCGGCCGTCAGGACCCTGGTCGCCTTCACAGTTGTCGTTGGCAGGAAGGCAACACTAGCTTTTCCATCTGCCCCGGAAGGTAAGAGCGTAACCGCCTCTCCCTGCTTGCTCAACACGGTTCCTCCGTATTCCGCGATAAGGGCGGCGTCCACGGGTGTTGCGCCGTCCAAATCGACAAAATCGGCCCCGAGGCGCTGCAACTGTCCGACGGGCACCCGAGACTGCACCTCTCGTGCAGCCCCTGTGGAAGAAGTTGCTTTAACGGTGGCAGTAGTTGTCGTCTTCGCTTCTTGAAAAACTTCCGGCAGCACACTACTTTTGACATCAACGCCGATGCTGGAGGCGTTTGCCGCTGACATGGGGGCGACGGACACTGCACGACCGTCAATGTCCAGCACCTCGCCACCGAAGACGATTAATTTCTTCGCCGGCACCTGACTGCCGTCCACCGCAACGAAATCCGTTCCGTTGCGCTGCAGCCGCGTGGCCTCGATCTTCTTCAGTTTCGCCGGCAAATATCGCACGCCAGCTTCGGTTCTTTCCTGGCCCGGTAGTGTTTTTTTCTCCTCATCGTCCAAAATGTCAAAGACAAAATTTGAATTCGCCTTCGCCGGTGCACCTCCCGCTGGGTTGGAGAAGTGGTGCGCCGGCTGCAGCAAAACCCGGGCTCCGCTCAGGTCCAAAACTTCCCCGCCGTAAGTCTCTAGATCCTTTGGCGAAACCGCAGACCGCCCGTCGGCGGCAACGAAGCTGACTCCTTTTCTGCGAAGCGCCGTGATGGACACCGGGTCACGAGTGGAGGTGTCCAAAAGTCTTGTTGACAGGGAGGAAACAGACGTAGCTGTGGTCCCTTCCACTGGCAGAACCGTCACCGGGACTGCTTCTTGCTGTGAACTCCTATGATCGACGATTGTTTTGTCCTTGACCATCAAAACTTCACCCCCGTACCGATACAAGTCCCGCGGATGAATCTCGGTGACGCCGTCCCCAGCCACAAAGTTCGCGCCTTTTCTGACGAAGTCCGTAGCGGAGTGCTTGGCCGTCAGCGGCCTAGCGCGACTTGCTGTTGGTGTAGAGATCGTGCCGGCCTGCGTTCGTGCGGACTGGCTTCTGTCAACCACCTCGAGGTATTGAGCGCCGCCAGGCGGTGTTGTAGCCGTAGAGCTGCCGTCCCGGTGCTGCTTTGTCATTGCTCCTCCGCTGATCATCACCGGATCTACCCGCACGGTCTTCGCGCTCTGCCCGTCTGGTTTTACTAGCCGCACCTCACCGCCGTATGCGAGAAGATCTTTCGCTGGCACCCGCGTCACACCGTCTCCGGCGACAAAATCTGCACCGAAGCGCTGCAGCTGATCGAGTTTAACTTCCTTCTGGGTGTCTGCGTCTCGAAAGGTACTGAGGTGTGGCGGCGGTATGGTGACTTGCAGCTCGGCAGGTGTAGAAGCTGCGAGGGCTTGATCTGAAAGTTTAGTTGCGTCGACGAAAACCTTCCCTCCATACCGCATCAGATCTTCAGCTTTCACGCGACGGTATTTGCTGCCGGTGCCGTCCGGTTCAGCCGTGTCTTCAGCCGTCACAAAATCGGCTCCGAGTCGCTTCAAATTCTCAACCTTGATATCGGACAGGTGTGCATCAGCTCCACCTGCGGTCGAAATTTGGAGTGGCCCACCACCGAGTTGTGACTTCACCAGTACCTTCCGTCCACCTTGATCCAAAACTTCCCCGCCGAAGCGTAGCAGCCTATCAGGGGCGACATACGACCCATCGACCGCGATGAAACCTGCGCCCGAACGCTGCAGGTTCAGCGCCTCGTAGGGGCGACCAGTCCGAGCTTCGCTGAGCTGACCTAGTTGGTTCGCGCCGTCCTTTTCTGCAACGCTCACACGGCGCCCTCGCTCATCCAACACCTCTCCGCCGAACATTGCAAGCGTTGCTGGAGCGACGAGCGACTTGTCCGCAGCCACGAAGTCACAGCCGACGCGCTGCAAATCGTCTTCGTCGGCTCCCTCTCGGTCGAACGCGGGCGCGTCAGTGCCACGAATCTTCACTACCCGGCCCTCCGTATCGAGAACCGCTCCTCCAAATCGTGCCAAATCGGCGGGCGCAACTTGCGTTCGGCCGTCCGCTGCAACGAAGTTGGCACCGCGGCGGGCGAAAGTTTCGACACGACGATTCCCCCCCACCGCATTTGCTTCTTCAGCCGGAATAACTTTGATCGCGTCTCCACCGGCAGACAACACCTCGCCGCCGAATTTGAACAGGTCGGCGGCAGGCACTCGCGCGCCGGAGCCAACTGCGACGAACTCTGCGCCGAACCGTTTCAAATCCTCTGGCTTCAGCGTTCCGCCATCGACGGTGCGCAGGAGGCGAGGCGGCGCCCTTTCCGCGTCGAGGGGTCGGACCGAAATGCTGTTGCCACGTATGTCCAGCACAGAGCCGCCATGCAGTGCAAGTTGCTCGGCGGAGCACACACTTCCATCGGGAGCGACGAAGTCCACCCCGTTTGGTGCACGGGACAAGTCAGCGAAAGAAATTCCCCGCCGCTCGTCAATGGTGTGGAAAAATTTTGGCTGCGTCGCGATCAAGGTTTCGACCTGTACGGTCTCGCCCGACTTTGTTCTCAGGGCCTGACCGCCAAACCTGGCGACAACGCTCGCCGGAACGCGCTCGTACGTTGTAGCGGAAATGAAATCGGTGCCGATTCGCTGCAGATTCTCGACCTCTCGTTGTCGAGCGGGGTCAACACCTCGATCCGTATCGGTTGCAGCGCTGGCGTGATCGAATCCTGCACTGGTGGGTACCACCGCTGCAGGAACAATGCTGACGACGTCTCCGTCGACGCGCGCGACCTCTCCGCCGTATCGCAGCAGGTCTGCCGGGGAAACTGGACTTCCGTCTATTGCAACGAAGCTGGTACCGATTCGCCTGAGACCTCGGTCGGAGATGCGCAGCCCGTCCGTCGTTTGCCACTGAGAGGATCGGTTTCCTCGCACTGGCACCAGCCGGTCGCGCGCCAAGGACCGCACTAACCCACCGTACTCCACCAGATCGGCGACATTCACGGCACTACCGTCTGCCGCAACGTAGGTCGGGATCCTCGCATCGGCTTTCAGCAATGTCGCATCGGAAATCGGCTGGCCGGAGGTGTCGTCTACGAAGTACGTCTCCTTCGGCAGTGCAAGGCTGCCGATCGCCGATCCCCCTCCGGACGCCGGACCGCTAGGCTGTTGATGTTCCGTGGCAGTCCGGGATTGACTGCGCTCATCAAGCGATACCGCGACGGGCCGCACATGGAGGGCCTGGCCCTTGACGTCAACGACCACACCTCCAGCGTCGGTAATTTCCCTCGGAGAAATTTTTGCGCCGGTCGGGGTCAGAAAGTTCGTTCCCGACCGCTGCAGGACCGCCGTTGGCACCGCTCGTCCCTCGTCGTCCGCGAGAGAAGTCTCCCTCAACCCCTTCAACTTTCTGGGCCGGCTGTGCAGATCGAGAACCTCTCCGCCCCATTTTGCTAGTTCCTTCCCACTAACGAGCGCGCCGTCCGTTGCGACGAAACTCCAATTGCTCTTCGGGGCAGCCACTGCGCCGGTGGACGAGAACGAAGCCTCTGGTGTAAGGCCCAGCGTCCCAGCAGTCTTCACGCGTTGCAAATTCTTTGCTGCAACCACGTTGTCGTTTATGTCGATGAACTGTTCTGGCTCCGCCCCAAAACCCTCAGAAAGTAAGGACTTTTCCTCCTCCTGCAGCACGGATTCCAGGACAGAATGCTGCCGTAGAGGCTCGATAGTGCCACTGCGTTGGGGGTGCACACGTGGCTGCACGGCGGCTGCGCGGCCTCGTATGGACACATGGCGGCCCTCGGTGTCCAGGACCTCGCCGCCCGCCTGCGCGAGCGCGACGGCAGAGATGTGCGTCCCGTCCTCGGCCCGAATGAAGTCGCCGAGTGCGGTCTGTTGCAGGGTTCGGGGGTCAACCGGTTCGTTATCCAAATCTACCAAACTTGCCACCGCTGCGCGGATCGTGACGCACTCGCCGTTCAAATCTTCGATGTCGCCGCCGTCTCGTGCGAGCGTTCTCGGCGTGACGCGGTGGCCGGTACGAAACGCGACGAAGCTTTGCTTGTCCGGCGCCACCTTCAACCGGTTGGCTTCCACGATTCGCCCATTGGTGTCGACGAACGTGTTTTGTCGCAACGCCGCATTTATTTCCTGTTGTCCTACCAAGGCACTCGAGGTAGATGCGCTGGAATCGTGCGAGCCCCGCAGGACGCTTTCCAACACAAATTTCCCCACCCCGTCGACCACCTCCTGCGCCAGCGAACGGTCCGGACCGATCAGCAGGGAGGCCGACAGCGTCTGGTCCGGACGAACGAACTTGGAGTCTGCGCGCATGCTCTTTTCCAAATGCGACTTCACACTTTCGTCCATGCGGGAGTGCGGTACCCGAGCCGAGGAAATCATCTGCGGCCCCCCGTCGGGGCGCGGTGTGATGAACTGCTGACTCCCCCCTCCTACGTTCGTCGCGGTGCTAGTATTCGGGCCACGGCCCGGCGGGTATCGTACCTGTGCGAGCTCCAACGAGGATGGACCAAACGAGCCACTCAGCTGCGGATCCACATTGGACAGATCGTTCTGTACGCGCGATTCGTCGAGCGGGGCAACCGAAAAGTCCGGCGTTTGTGCCGCGACACGCGTCGACGCTGGACCGGGCCCGGTGCCATCGAGATGTTGACTCTCGTGGTCCCCCGTTCTTGTTAGCTCTGCTTGTCTCTGCTTCGAGGTAGGAGACAGATGCTCGGTGAGATGCGATGAGTAGATGCGGGGCCGATCGGGACTCCGCGACCCGAGCCGGCGCGGCAACTCTTCCACTGGGATGTCTTGTATGCCCGGACGTCCAGCGACCAGCTCCAGAGGTGGCACGACCGTGTCGACCGGAAGCGGAGGTTCGCCGCGCTGCAGCCGTAATTGGTTCTCCATCAGCCGCAGCTCGCGCTCCTTCTGGTACAGCAGCTTGTCCTTCATCTCAAAAAGGTCTTTCAGTGCGTCCTCCTTTTCGTCTCGCAACCGCTCCACCTCCTTCGTCATCTGTTGCGTGAACAGCCGGGTTTGCTCGGTCAGAAGGTCGTTGGCGCACTTCTGCTGCTCCGTAAACATCTTTTCAATGAACGGTTTGTCTTGCGGGTGCTGAGGAACCCCCTCCCGCGGCGTTGTCTGGTTGACGTTGATGTTCGTGAACCGCGGGTCCGGGCCGCGATAATGATGCTCGTGGATAGTTCCACTGGCCTGCGTCCCGGGTGGAATCGCCCTCGATACGCCAGGCGGCCCTCCTGCTCCGAACATGCCGGTCCCTGCTGCTACGGCGGACGAACTCCCGATGTCTTCGTCCTGGGAAAGCGAACCGTTGTTCACGCGTGTCCTCCCGAGCGCATCGTCAAAGTCCTCCGCCTCTGCGGAACTACCGTGTACTTGCGCGCCACCGGCATACGGATTCGTTGCATTGAGATCGATACTTCGATTATTGCCCCCGCCGACAAAGCCAACCCCGCTTCCCCTTTTTTGGCGTCGCGCTTCCAGCATGGCTGCGCGATCCATCTTCCTGTCACCCTCGGCGCCGACGGATGCCGCGTTGTTGAGGCCAAAGGACGCGGAGTCCTGATCGCCGTCGAACATGTCGGCCCGTCGCCCCGGGGCTGCTCTCCTCTGCTCGTCTCCCGCAGTAGGAGAGCTGTTAAGACCGTTGTTACCGCCATCACCAAACACCAAGGCGGGCGCAATCCTAGTGTTCGCACCCCCACCCGCTTGCTCGACGCGACCGACGCTGGGTTCGTCGTCCTCCCCTGGCCTTCGTCGACCCCGACGCTCCGTTCTCGTGGCCCTGTCCTCTTCGCGCCGTTCAGACACGGAGCGGCCTCCACCACCACCCTGTTCCCACCACTCCGGCTGCCGGTTTTCCATTTCCTCCGCTGCGCGGCGCTTCTGCTTCTCTTCGATCTGTTTCTGCAGCTCGCCGTAGTAATCATTCTGGTCCCGCTGCCGCTTCTTCTTCAGATCGCTCGGCGACTGCGAGTCGCCCTGCCGCTCCCACCACTCGGGCTCTTTGCGCTCGCGCTTTTCCCGCTCCTTCTTCTGCTTCGCGTCCTGCTGCTGCTGCTCGAGCTCCTTGGCGTATTCCTCGCGGCGCCGGCGCTCCCGCTCCTTCGCGGCCGCCTTGTCGGCATCAGCCGCGCCCATGTTGGCAAAGAAGTTGTCCTCTTGGATGTCCCGTCCGCGGCCTCGGTTGTTCCGATTCTTGTCCTTCGGGCTGCGCGAGCGGCTTCGCTCCTCCCGCATCCAGTCCTGAAAATCCCGGCGCTGCTCCCGCAACGCCTGCTCGTGCCTCCGCTTCGCGCCTTCGCCGAGCCGGGTGAAAAAGCCCCCGTTATTCCCATCGTCGCCGGGACCTCCGTCCGGGTACGGCGTCCCGCGGTCGGGCGAGTGGCTCCGCTTGCGCAGCGGGGACTGCGAGTTGCGCTCTTTCATAGCCCGCCGCATCTCCCGCTGCTGCTCCCGCCGGATCTTCTCCTGCTTCTCGCGCTGCGCCTGCCCCAGCTGATCAAACATGTTCATATTGCCCCCGTTGGCGGCGGCAAGTGCTCCGGGGGCAGAGGGTCCTCCGCCACGCCCGCCCCCGGGGTTGATGTTATCTATGAAGAAGTCGTCGTTCATCAGCATCGGCGAGCCCCCGCTCGCGGCGCTGGCACTCTTCTGCACCGGGCTCCACTCTCCACGCGGTGTTCGCGTCGGGGATTCCGCGAGCCCACGTTCATCTCTGCGGTTCAGAATCGGGTGCACGCCGCGCCGCTGTTGCTCCTTCATCCGGGCACGCATCTCTTGCTGCTGCTCGCGCTTAATTCGCATTTTCTTTTCCTCGTATGTTGCGCCAAGATCCAACAGGCCCCCGCCGCCGCGCCGGCCACCGCGGGCAGAATCTACTTGTTGCTGTTGATGTTGTATTTGCTCTACTTCCTGCCTGCCATTTGCAGCAGCTCCTGTTGTGCGGGACGAGCTACTCGGTCGGTCGCCGCGCGCAGAACCGCGGCCCCGTAGGTACTCTTGATTGACAGGTGGGCGAGCAACTTCGCCAATCATTCTCTCATCATACGCGTCCTGAGCGGAAATCATGTCGCGGCCTGGGAATACGACGGGAGCAACCCGTGGCTGATCTACGACGTGCGCTTGGTGGTATGGACGCTCGACTTGCGCGGCGGCGGCACGTGGCTTCTTCGGCTTTCCGTACTTGCGGTCGCCCATTTCGTGCAAAAGCTCTAGTTCCGATTTCTGCGGCGGCGGGCTGCGGGGCTGTGGTTGCGCATTCGTCGTCCTCTCGTCCAAGTAGTTCTCGGCGAGAGGAGGATTCTCGTTGTACGGCCCAACCGCGCGCGGCTGCTCCCGATACGGCGGCCGCAGGGCCTGGGCCTGCGACGCGGGCGAGGGGGCTCGCGGGGGTGGCTCAAGTGCGACACCTCGAGCAGCACTGCCCCCGTTGTCGGGGCCGAGGTTGTGCTGCTGCAGATGCTTCTCCCTCTTTTGCCTCCAGACTTCCTCGCGCGACATTTTGCGCTTCGGCGCGATCATGTCGAATTCCGTGGTGTTGTCGAGCGAGGGGCCACTGTCGGCAGCAGTGTCCGCAGCAAAGACAAACGGAGCTGCATTGGCGACAAATCCACCCTGATGGTGCGGCGGAGGTTCCATCGGTTCTGCTCGAGGATGTGCTTGTGATGGGAGATTTCGAGGCACTGTAATTCCGTTATTCCCTTCCATCTGCAGCTCGCGCTCTCGCTGCCGTTCTGCAAGCCGCTCGGCGCGTGTTTTCTTTGCGCCCGTGACTGGCGGCTCGGCACTGACGAGATCGCGACCAGGCTTTTGTCCGTTATTCTGCTGCAGCCATGGCGGCGCTGCGTTCTCCTTCTCCTGACCGGGGAGTGCGAAGTCATAGACGGCGTTCTTTTTCGCGACGACCTCGGAATCCCCTGGTCCTGCAGTGGGTCCATCATCCTTTTTACTGAACCTGAATAAACACACAACATTCCCAATAAACTCTGGGTACTCCGGGTAGTGCACAAGCACACTAGTAAAATTAGCGTCGAATTGAATACGGAGCACATGATCCGATGCACTTGATGTTGACATCAGACTAGTCTGAGACGAGGAGCGCGTCCCATTAGAGGCCGTACAAGAGTTTTTTCAGTCCTAACACGACTGATCAAAGCCTCCATCTTCGTATCATACAACACGGATGCTTGTGCAAATAATTTGTATACGCTCTCGGCGCGCCCTGCGGATTGCTTTCCTGGGGCCCAAGCCTCGGCACCGGGACCACGACGGTCGGCTTCGACACTACCAGTCGCTGTTCGTCCCGCAGTTGCTGCTCGAGATTTGAAATATGGCGCTGTTTTTGACTAGCCAGCACTTCAGCTTCCAAGTCGCCCATGTCATACTGCTGCAGCAACACTTTGTGCACGGATTTTGCCTCCTTCAGTTCCTCTTCGAGCTTCTGAACTTTCCGCTGCTGCTATCGGGTAGAAACACACTAAGTAGTACGGTATCATATTTGGCGCGCGCCACGAGATTAGGATCATCAGATGCTGCTTACCATGAAGACTTCTATCTATTAATAGAAGCTTCCATACTTAAATGTATCCGCACAGATGAAGAGACAGCTACAAAGACGGATGACAGACTGATGTATGCGATCATAGAGTCATTCTCCAACTTGCGCGGCAAATGTGATGCAGGCTACGGAGATTTCTGTACGATAGCTGCACCTGCTCGTTCAGATGGTTGTGCAACTGGCTCTCTACGACGCGGTCCGTCGCCACACGGCGACTCGCTTGCGCACGTCGCATGATCGTTGTTTCTTGGCCCGCTAAGAATGGTACGTCGGCGAAGTCCGATTTTTCCTGCGGGACCAGACGCTGGTTGTACACTAATTTCGTATTTCAGCCGGGCATGAAACCACGTACCATGTTCTCGCTGCTGTCCAAAGCCGAAACAGCGCCGCAAAAAACACAGAAAATAAAGAACCCCTGTTGAATTATACACGATTCAATTGTAGCGGATTCGCGCAAAGCATCAAAAAAAGGACGAAAGAACTTTTGCGAAGCAGCGATGCTACTCGCGGTCTTGCGTTTTTGGTAGAAATGACGGGAACTACAAGAACTCAAAGAGAGTCATCGGCACTAAAAATTACGCAATTTGATTTTGATGTCCCTTTGTGAAAAAGATCCCTCACGACTCACACAAGTATTTTTTCTCTCGTGATGCGGCTTTTACTTTTTGAAAAACTTTCATTCGCTGAGCGCAACTCCGGAAGAAAAAAGAATCACTCATACCCAAAAATGGCTGGTTTTTGCCCTCAACGCCACGAAGAAGACAACTACGGGAACGGCTCCCGCAACGAATTCGACGCAGTAAAGAAGCGAAGAGGAAGAGGACTTTTGAGAAATCATTGCAGCTCTTAGACACGGTCATGGTCATCGTCATGTCCTTGGCTACTTCTGTGAGCGCGCCTGAAGTTGATTGTGGTTGCAGCCTCGAAGGACGTACATTCTCTTGTTTATGTTTTCGACCGTCCTTACTGGCGCTCGCAGTTCCAAATGGAAAAGCGAAGTTCGGCTCTGGTTCCACCCCACTAGTGCGCGTTTGGCTCTTTCCTGCAGCGACCTCGCTGGTGTAGTGCTCAAGATTCCCAAAGGCAGCTTTTCTAAGCCCACGCACCGACGCTCTGCGCCGACGAAAGCTTTCTTCATTCTGGACCAGTGGCGGCACGAGACTGGCGCAGGTAGGTCGAAACTTTCGGAAAGCACCCAGCACGTGCTGCACGTCCTTGACCGGCACGTCCAGCACATAACCTTGGGTCGACAGCGCAATCCTGCCCACGCGACGGATCAATGCGTTGGCTCGGTGCTCCGACGCCGTGCGCATTTCTGTGCCGTCCGACGCCGTGGTGCTGAAAATGTCGTCTCCTAATGTTGTGTCGTGACCATCATTTTTAAAATCTCCGAATGGTTGAAAATTTCTCTTCCCCCCGGCCGATCCTTCCTGCGAAGAGGGCAGGAAATACTGGTGCAGTTCCTTCTGCAGCAGCACAAGCAGGCGCTGGCGACTTGTGGACGTGCTGGTCGTGTTCCGCAACAACACCGGCACATACGACGGACGACCAGAGAGTGGGGACATCCACCTCACCTGTGTCTGTCGTGTCTCGAGTACGCACAAAGCTCGAGAAAGCAGTTCGATTCGCTTCTGTTGGCAGTCGGTCCGAAAAGGATCGTCTTCGGAAGAACGTCGTGCACGACTAGATGGTGCAGCCAAAGCCGCAGCATTGGTGTTCTTCCGAGCAACATCTTGCTCTTTCACGCTTGCTGCTTTCCCTCCGATGATTCTGGTACACGCACGCGCCGTCGTCACGACGTCGAGACCGAGGGCCTCGCGACACTGGAAAAAGAGCTGCTGAACCCGTTGCAGCCGCATCGTTTCCGGCGTCGGCAGGGCCAAGTCTTCAAAGCCGATGCCGAGCTTTCGGCCGAGGCGGTGGTGGGGTGCGAAAGTCGAAGAAGACCAAGACGTGCTCCCTTGCCAAAGAGGAAGACCGCTAGAAGTTCTTCCCGCAGCGGTGGTGGATGATCTCGGAGTCGAAGAAGAAAGCAGAACTACGCTTTTGCCTGTGTCACCTCGAATCCGCCCAACGCGGTGGACGTACGTTTCCGCAGAGGGCAACCGCTGCAGCAACATGCCTCTCCTGTGGTTCTTCCCCGCGTGCGAATACTCCATAGCAAGTTTGGGAACATGCACCACCAGTGTCACGTTGTCAAAGTCAAGTCCGCGGGCGGCCAGGTCGGTGGCAACCAGCACGGTGACGTCGCCCTCGCGAAATGCCTGCACCGTCGCGGCCCGCTCGGCGTCCGTTTGCGCGGCGTTCAATTGACACACACCCAGTGCCTGCGTCCGCGCAGAACCCTGCAGCGTGTGCGTCACAAGATCGCAATCACTGCGCGTTGCAGCGAAGATGATTGCTTTGCTCTTTCGCAGCTGCGGCTTTTCTGTGCTGTGATAGGTCGTGTGGTGTGCTGCAGCAGAGCGCTGAGATGTTTCCGGCGCCAAGTTTTCTTGCAGTAGCCAAGAGAGAACGTCCCCAATATTCTTTGTTGACGGAATGCTTTTGCCATTCTTCGTCTCGCCTACCAGTGTCAGTGTGCAGTGATGTACATTTTGCTTTTGGGCGAAAAATTGCGGAACAGAGGTACCCGCCACCGTGTCGCTGATTTCAGACAAGCGGTCCGCGCAGCAATGCTCGCGCAAAACATCCCGCAGCCAGGGGGGTGAGGTGGCCGAGAAGAACAGAAACTGCAATTTGTTATCTTGCGAATTGTTCATCTTCCGGACCGCTCTTCCATCACCAACCCCTTGCTGCACAGGTTCGAGTTTCGGGTTTTTCTGCGCTTCTTCTACACGAAGTCGTGTGTTGTTGGGCCCTATCCGCCACTTGAGGGTTTGCGCGGATTTGATGTGCGATAGCAGCTCCGTCATCTCCGAGGCAAAGCCGGACCCTGCATCAAACATTTGGTCGGCCTCGTCGAACATGTCAAAATCAAAAAGACTGCCTCCCCATAGGCAAAAACTAAAACAGCTTTGGTAGTTTTATATATAATTATACGTGCAATTCATTGCAGAGAACAACGAATGCAAACGCAAACGGCGGACGCAACCTAATAGTCGGCTCGCTTGTAAACTACCACAAAAATCCGCATCAGATATCTGCGCTATCTTGTTGCAAGGAGAGACGCGATTTTATCGTCAGGATAGACAACCAGGATTCGGCAGTTCTGCAATGCAGTATACACGTTGGCCTTTACAAGCTCCAGCAGGAATTGCGGCGTCGAGATCACCACGTCGTGTCCTTCGCGGAGAAGTCTCTTAGTGTACAAAAACTTGTCCGCGCTGGGTGGATTCTTGGGTGTATCTGCTTTTCTTCTCGTCTCACCACTATCGCCCACCTGCCCGGCGCACGAGATGGTAGAACTTCTGGTCAGCAGCAACAATCTTTGCTCGCTGTGCTTCAACTTCATGGCTTCGAACCGTGTTTGCTCGGCCAACTCAGGCGTGGGGCACAGCCACAGAACCGGCTCGTGCCCAAAGAGTGAACGACTACTCGTGTCCCCGAAGAACTGATTTTTCCCAGTCCGTCTGCCGCTCGAGCTGGTGCTGGCCTGCTCGTCTGCTGCCGGCTTGCAATCGCCTATTCTCCTCATAACTGCCGTGCGGTCCAACACGGGCGCCAAGAAGGCTACCGTCTTTCCCGTTCCTGGGGCGGCGCGGGCCAATACGTCGAATCCACGCAGGACGCATGGAAAGGCCTGCTTTTGAATGGGCGTCAGGGGATAGTAGCGATGCCTGCGCAACCGGTCCTGCATCCTCGGCGACAGTTGCGGTTCACGTGTGCGACCGTCATCTTCGGGGGATTGGGCACTCTCGGTTGTACCAGCACCGGGTGAAGTGCGCAAAAGTCCAGCATTGCGGCTGCTTTTCAAAAACATGTTCTTGTTTCCACCGTTTCGGCGGGCATCGGAAACGCGAAGGCCCGACCTGCGTGCCCGCCTTCTTCGTATCTTTTTCTCACAACGGAAGGACGAGGCAAAGAGGAGAGAACGAACAGAAATGCAGAACGGCAGTGGCCGGGTCGTGGTGGACGTTTCTGACAAATTTCGTAGAAATGCAGACGTCACTGGAAGCAGTGCTCCAGCTACGCCTGCAATCGACGGCGAGCTCGTGGATAGGGGCGGCATCACTGCGCGATTACGAGTTTGTCCTTGTTGTCGCTCTAAACTTGTTCTAAACTACTTAAAAGCGCACTATTTCAACTCCAACTGGCTTTTCTTGCCCGACAGGAGGTGGAATGCTGAACTTTCAGGCAGGTGCAGGAAGAGAGCCGTCAGGGATCAGCGGAACCCATGTTCATTCTTTTTTCGTCCGCTCGATCTCTGTCCTCCTCGCCGTCGCAGCGGTGCCGGTGGATCTAAGAGCACCATAGGCATAAATATGCGGACCAACACTAGACCTCAACGATCAATGGTGAAGATCTTGTGTGATCTCTTGGCATTTGCTCGATAATGGCAGCTATCCAATGCAACAGAGCTTGTCCGTGTAGACCTTCGAACCTTGCCTGGGGCACGTTGACGAGATGAAAACTTGAACACCTGCCCGAAAAAAATCAACTACGCATGGCAGCATCCTGCCAAAAGTGACGTCAGCGTCACCCACCGCGTGCTTCATGTTGAAGCTTTATTTTCTCAACGCAACGTCTGGGCACAGTTTGTGTTCAAGAAGCACAACTTGCATGATCAAGAATGCAGCAACATGTGTGCGGTCCCGAGTGTACTCCGTTCACCACCGACCGCGTCTTTTTGCGGGTCCTCCCCGATTCTTGGGAAATCGCTCCTTCTTAAGAAAGTTTTCCACGTCGCGGTTCCTTTCTTCGTCCACATTCGCTGCTACATCATCTTCCCGCGGCTCCTGACGGCGCCGGCCGTGCCTGTTCTTCGGGGACGACGAATATGCACTCGACATATGTCACAAGATGTCTGAATCTGGAATGAATGATGCGACACGAAAAAAACTCGCATGCACAACCAGCAGCTTGTGACATATAATTTGCAAGAATGGATAACGAAGGCTCCTCTACATCCATTTCCTCTTCCGCCGCACGTTCATCTTCCACTTCTCCCCGCTTGCTACTGCTGCTCGCCCCACCATGATGACCAGTATTGTTCCCCTGCTCTCCTCCGCCGGTCGCGGGGGTCGGAGGCGCGTCTGCTTTCCCGATGGGTATGTGGAAACGGCTCTGCTCTACGCAGAGCAATCGATTTGCGGGGTCCGACGGACGAATCCGGGTGTCGTGGAGCGCGAGCGCCTTCTCGAACGACACCTCGTCGCAGAACCGCACGACGCCCTGGCCTCGGGACCGCCCGTGGGGGTCCAGGAACAGTTTGAAGTGGCTCACGGGACCGCAGTGGCGGAGGAAAAACTCCATCAGCTCGGCCTCCGTGTACTTGAAGGGGACGTTGCTGAAGAACACGGAAGTGTGCACGCGCTTGCGCTCCGCAGCGACAAGAGGGTCCTTCAGCCGCACCCCCGTGGCGTACAGCTGGTGCCGCTCGTTGCGTGCCAACTGGCCGTAGTACACCTCGTCGCCCTCGCGAATGTCCAGCTCCGGGTCGTCCAGGTCGTGGCAGTGCACGAAAATCTGGCACCCGTGCTCGTTGTACAGCTTATCGCTCTCGATGTAGCCGTAGCCCTTCTTCTCCATCCACCGGACGACACGCGCGACGTCTCGAACCTTCCCAGAGGGACCCGGGACGAGCTTGGCCTTTTTAGGCAGCACGCCATCGGGCGGATTCGCGCTGTGACTGCTGGAGGACGAGGAGGGCGCAGCAGCTGCCGCTGCAGCCGACGTCAACGTCATGGCCGAGCGGATATCGAAAGGAAATGCGTCCCGCCCTTACAGCGAGATTTCGTATTGTTTGGGAAACAGAAATTTTTACGATAACGAGACAGCTAAGTAGGAACTCGTCTTCAAGATATGCCCGTATATGACGCACGGCATGTGTTTCTGTGTATCTGAAGCTGAGCGTCCGACTCGTTTCATGCCTTCTAGTTCTAGTTCTACATGGTGGAACATCTGCATCACAAACACTTCTCACTGCTGCAAAGCGGGTTCAGGGACGGCGCACGTTTTAACGTGGTAATTGACGGGCTTGCTGTTTCTTGCAAGGACCACTGGCTCATCTCCCGCTGCGGAAGTCGTCGCGGCCACGTTGTCTTGTTTTCGGGCAAGAAGAGAAATTCCTCCTGATGGTGCGCTCTTTTCTGGCGCCATTGATGCTGTTCCCGGCTTGCGACCGGCGGCGGTCGATGACGCACTGGCAGAATGTTGCTGCTGCCCAGGAAATTGCTTCTCCAAAGGTAAGTCCGTGAATCGGATCGGCTTGATCATCGGTTTTATCTTTGCCTTTTGCAGTTCCACCTTCGGCTGCTCGTGTGGTTCCTCATTTCTCATTTCTATTCCGTCACCACGTTCTTTGTCCTCTCGTTCGCGTGAATCTTGGCCGCGCTGTTCATCTTCATCTTGATAATGTTCGACTCTCTGCACGCCCTGCGCCTCTGGCACGCCGTTCGGAAACCATGTGACTCTTTCAAATGAAACACTATCGCCGACCGAAAAAGTTGGTTTCCCGCCATTTCTTGCGCCTTGTTCTTGGCTGGCCGGCATTTTAAAAGTCGCTTTGCGTGCGAAGTCCGGGCCCGTCACCCAACCGCGATTTTTTTCCGCGTCAAACGCAACCACGGTGGCGCGTATCGGGTCGCCCGACCGAGGCGGGGGGTGCTCAAACCAGGCTGGTTCCTCAAGACTTTTGCTTGCATTTTCGCCTACGAGAACGCCAGCATCGTCAAGTCCCCGCCCATCGACTCCACCGACAACCGCTCGCTCGCGTCTGGCCGCCGCCTCCTCATCTTCTCTTTCCAGTCGCCTTCTCTTGGCATCTTCCTGGACGAAGTCCTCTCTGAGCGGCACGCCTCCAAATTCCGACAAGACTTCGTCGTCAACATCCAACCGCTTGGAAGAAGATGACGAGGATTTGGAGTTTCCTCCTGCGCCACCGTTTCGGTCTTGTGCCTGCTTCAGCTCCTTCTGCAGCAGGGACACGTTCCACGCCTTGGTCTTGGCATTGTAAAACTGTGCCAAGTTCGCACCCTTGCTGAGCCGCTTCAGCCGGAGAAACAACTCGGAACATTCCTTCTGCGACATGTTGATACGTATTTACGCTGCTCAGTGTACTTACTACAGAGGTTCAAGTTTTGATGCTGTTAAAACGCGCACTCAAATAAAAGGAATTCTGCAACACGTCGCCAGATGGACGAATAGGAGTACCAGTACAAAGTTCCAACTGTTCTTGTCGCTGTGGCTGTGAACAAAGATGATTCGGAGCAAAGCGAAAGTGCAGTACTCCTAGATATACCTAAAAGGAAGCCAGCGTGTGGGGCGAAAATGAGTTATGTGCTAGCCCCGACGACACCACCCCACCACCGCCCACCGTCTGGTAAAAATTCAAACGTACTGGCGGACAAAGAACCCTTCTCTTTGTGCCAGATCACTCGTGTTCGCAATCGGTGTATACCATGATTCCAGATCACAATCGCAGTGCCGGGTCCCGGTCCCTCGCCCGCAAGACACATTTCTATTTGCAAACAAGGAAACAAAGGATCTACTGCCTCCACGGCTGAAGTGGACAAGATCTTTGTAGGATAGGAACAACACAGCTGAATTCTGAAGGAAGATAGGACACCTCCTTCCGTGTATAATGCTTGTAATTGCACAAGAGCCATATCCGAGAGGTTGGAAACCTGCGAACTGTCCTGCGCTCGTCGCGATTCGCGAACGCGACTGTTTTGAAGATGAATTCTTTCGAGCAGGGAATGTGAATGTCGCTGATAGATTGTCGCCTGAAATAAAGGGTGAATAGCACCACTTTCGGTGCTTCCGGTGCCGCTGTTTCACCTTTGCATCGAGTTCCTCCGAATGTCACCACTCCAGATTTAGTGACTTCAGCTGGCACTCCACCTTTTGAAGGTCGATTTTTGCCTTCGCCCGCTTGTAGAAGATGGGGCAATCGGAGTTGGCGCAGATCACCTCTTGATGCAAACTGTCCTGACACCTTTGGCACTCCGTCCAGAGCCGCTGAAACTCAATCTGCTTCTCCCGGACTTCGGTCAGCTTCTCAAAGTAGATCTCCGGACCTTTGTCCTTCATGCAGTACTTGCAGAGCGCCAAGTCCTGCTGCTCCGACCCCTCTTTCTGTGTCACCATGGCGACGGTACTTGGCTGTGGAATTTAGTTTAGTGAATGTCATGAGCTTTTTGGTTTGCAAGAGCAAGGTGAAAGAATGAGATTTGACCATAAATCCTTTGTTCTTGGCGCACATGAACTGCTCACACCACAAGCATTCAGTAATCAGTTTTTGATATAATGGTATCAGGGACAGATCAATCGAAGGAGTATTGCAGTTTGTTCTAGCTCTACGTGGTCTCTACTGCCATGGAGTTCCACGAAGTCGGACTCGGAGGCCGCATAAAGATCTTCGTTCAGGACGATAAAGACCACGGATTTGGATCCCGGACCTTGACATTAACGAGCGCAAACGCTATAGTACCTTCAGGGTAGTCTTGCAACCGAGGCACTTTTTCGCAATGGTGACCTTCGCTCCGTCGCCAAATCCGAATTGGTTTGTGTTTTGGACCGCGGACTGAACGATTTTGCGGGTGTGATCGCCAGTGAACAGCTTCTGACTCGCGTTCGGCATGATGGGGTCAAAAATGCGCAGCAACGGGTTGGCCAGCTGGTGGTCAATGTACCAGTGGGCGTCAATGGCCAATCCGTTTTCCAGCACATACATGGGATCTTCGCTCTTCTCGTAGTGGCATCACCAGAAAAAGTGTTCACGCTACCAGCTGCGTTGCGCTACTTGACGCGCTGCTTTCCTACATCAAGCCAAAAATGACAAAACTCAGCCATCAGAAACTTTGCATGCTAAGCAAATATACCACCATAAACATAATATTTCGCATTATTTGAAACAGCATTTTCCAATCTTGTAGATATCGTGAACACTTCTTGCCGTGATAAATTGGCCGTCTTTTTCATGCTTTTCACTATTACGTAGGGGACCCGGTCACCGGCGCCGGGCGCTGTTGCTGGGTTGCGCTGCCGCATGCGTTCCGCGAGCTCCACGTGGGCCTGCTTCGCGGCGTACTCGTCTCGGCCCAGGGACTTGGAAATCACGAGCAGTGCGAGGTCCACCTTGTTCTGCAGCAGGTCGGACACAGATTGCTGCACGAAACCGATGGCCTGATTATAAAGTGAGTATCACCACTTTTTTTTTGGATCGGCGAGACGAGTATGGTGCATTCTATTTCTATGTACGAGTACTACATCAATAGAAAAATTCGGCCAGAAATACCATAGTACCTTCTCCTTACTGCGGTCAATGAGCAGGCACTTCAGTGCGGTGTCGACAACGCGCTGTACGAGCCCGCAGTTGTCGCGGCGGACCGTCTCAATGCCCTTTGTGTCCATTTTGTCGTACTTATCCGGATTGGTCCAGTACAGGCCTGCGTACCGCTTTTTTGCGAGCAGCAAATACGGAAAGTAGACTTTCTCGAACTCCAGCTTAATCGGCTTGAGAAACGTGGCGGAAATTTTGTCCGCGGCCTTCAGGCCGAGGTCCATGGACTCCTTTACGGTGTCCGGGCCAAACTTCACCATCACAGAATCCGTGTCGCCATAGATTACCTCGGCATCGTGCTTGTATCCGTTCGCAATCGTGAACTCCCTGTTTTTTTCGTTTATTCTCACTTTATCCATATCTTCGTCGATCTCGGTAATCCATTATCATGACATCAAACTGCATTTTTGCAATCGGTGATTCAAACGCTTTCTTCATCAACTCCTTGATTTTTGCCATGATTTGATTTCGAAAATCCAAGTGTTGTATCATTCTAGAAGAAAAACGGCAGCTGTACTGTTGCACAAGGTCGCGGGTTTGTTCGATCATGGTCCTGCCGAAAGCGGTGACAGAGGAGGAGATTTCCAGGCAGGGCATCATGCCCACCTGCGCACCGGTGAAGCCGTACACACTGTTCGCGCTGATTTTCAGTGCCAGCTGCCGCCCGTTCAGGACCGCCTTCTTGAATGGATCCTGCTCCGCGTTCATCTCTTTTTTTGCGCGTTTCCTCGCCCCCAGAAGGTCCTCCAGGATCAGCGGCAACAGCCCCTTTCGCTTCGTAGGCTTCACGAAGTAGTTACCGCAGGGTGTCACGGTGTAGTCGTCCTCGCTCATGTTCTCCACCTTCCCCGTGCTGGGTTTTATCAGACTGTTGGGGATCAGGGTGCAGTAACACAAATTGTGCGCCATCATGATCGAGGGGTACAGCGAGGCGAAATCCAGCGTGGCGATCGGTTTGTCGTAGAAATCCGTTTTCGGGTCCAGCACCGTGGCCCCCTCGAACTGGTCCCCGGTCTGTTCAACCTTGCGCGCCGGGGCGATGTAGCCGGACTCGCGCGCGCGCCGCAGGATTTGCCCGAACACCTTGATCGCCTGCCCCCGGAACTATCCAATGTGAAAACCCAAGCAAAAACTTAACATATCTTTATCTTCTGCCGTGCAAAATTACAAATTACTTGCGGCCATGATTGCGCAAAACCGAACAAGGAGAAACTTCTAGATCTATTACGTAATGCGGCCGCACTGCGGCAGCACGTCGACGCTGGCCCCTGTGGGGCGCCACATGCATGCGTGACTTGGAAAAGTTATCGGTTGCTGCACTAATAATAACGAGTATTTTTGCGTTTTCCCACTGGATAGAAAAAGCAGGAAATTCAACGGCGTGCCGGTGACGCGGGCCATCTCAACGTAGTTGTAGAGGCAACAGAGCTTCTCGAGCAGTCGCAGGGGCAGCTTCGCGTCCTTCAGACAGTAGACCCCGAGCCGGCGGCGCGTCTCCGCCGTCCCTGTGTGCAGTGTGCCGATCATGCTGTAGTGCACGTCCTCCTTCTGGTCGCCCAGAAAGTGGGAAGACACGAAGTTCAGCGTGTAGGACCGCAGGTTGTGCTCCTTGGTGATTACGGTGTACATGTCGAAGATGATCCGCCCGTCGCACTTCACCTCCTTCTGCGGCCGCCCGTTCGGCGTGGTCCACTCGCGGATGCGGGATATTACAATGAAAAATGCCCCCTCCCCATATCAAAACGGAAATCTGTGATGCAGATTTGTGGTCACAAATTTGTGATGCTAGAAGGCAAAAGATGCGGACTGTAGTGCTGTCTAGCGTGGGAAAGCCTTGCAGCTCCAGGATGACAGGAGACAACTGGAAGTGGGAAACAGCATGACAGATTACCTGCAATTTAGGCCGCAGCTTCGTCTCTTGGCCTTCTAGCAATACAAGTTGATTTGTGTACTCAAATACAGCATCACAAATTCGCGCATCTTCCGTTTCCGATATGGGGTGGGGGCTTTTTTCACTTTGATACGGGACTGCACCTTCGCGAGGCGGCCCAGCTCGGCGAACTCCGGGATGTCGAGGGCGGCGGCCCGCTTGAGCAAGTAGGTATGGCGTTCTCAACTGTTACATTCTCAACTGTTACATGAATTTGTCATGCATACCCGACTGCACCACATCAAAAACCTTTGCACCGTCGCCGCAAGCAGCTTCGGACGCAGGAGATCTAGGGTCAGAAATACGGAAATACGGAATTTGTCATGCAAAAACAGAAATACGGAAAGGGACAAGCTTGCAAGTCTTGCATCACAAATTGGGTACAGATTTAGATGCTGTTTAGCCCTTCGATAATTTGTCATGCGAAGCAGCTTGATCTTCTTGCAGCTCATGGTCATTTTGCATGACAAATCATGTAACAGTTGAGAATGTAACATTTGAGAACGCCATAGTAGGGCAGATCGAAGTTGAGAATGTTGTACCCGGTGAGGAAATCGGCGTCGATGGCGACCACGAATTTGGAAAAGGACACGAGCAGGTCCCGCTCGTCCGTGAACGAAAGGACAATCGTGTCCGCGATGTCTCTATCCACAGAAAAAAACCCATCCACATCCATTTTTTGCATGACAAACACATGATTTGATACGTGTTTTGCATCACAAATTGGATGTGGATGGGTTTTTTTCTGTGAATAGTCTCCGCAGCTGTCCAGCGTCCAGATCACCTGCGCGAACGCGGGCCCGTCGGCCCCCACGCACTTCACTTCCGCGGCGATCTGGATCACCGGGTTGCGCTCGGCTTCGGGAAACCCTTTGCCGAACTGGTTCCAACACTCGATATCGAAACTCAAAATCCGCAGCGGGGCGAAGGCATTCTGGTCGGAGGCAGGCTCCACGGACTTGTAGAAAACATCCAGCTCGATCTGGCACGTACCTGAGCGGAAAGGATTCGAAAAACTAAAACCTCCAAGCAACACTCTTTCGTACCAGCACACAGGTATAGTTGTATACCTTCTATTTTTCTTGATCTAACTATCTATCTACTTTTGAAGGAAAAAGGCGAAGATTTATCTACTTTTCTTGCAGATCTATCGAAATCGATGCCTGAACTCTAGTAAAATAGAATCAAAAGAACGGCGCCTTTCTCGCGTACCGACGCGCTCGTCCGGGTTGGTCCGCAGTTTGTACATGCAGGGGGCGAGCGACACCCAGGACCCGCCGCCAAGCCCCTGGTCTACCAGAAACCGCAGGACGAAGGGCACGTTGGTTTCAAAGGTACCGAAGCCGGTGTACATCCCACCCCCCACGAGTTGAAAGCCCGTCTCGATGGCGGTGCGTGCGGCTTGGACCAGGCGCTGCACGCCCACGTGCACCTTGTAGTAGGACCGCAGTCCGTTCTCCGACCACTCCATGACGTTGGTCTTCTGCACGATCTCCACGGACAGGACGTTTTTGTTCAGGCCGATGGCTACCCGGGACTGCCGCAACTGCGCCTCCAGGGACTCCTGGAACACCTTCGCGTCCGGGATCGTGCCCCCACTCACTTGCTGCACGGGGCAGTAGAAGTAGGGGCAGAACCCGTGGATGTGAGCCAGCACGGAGTGGCCCTCGGGCGTCACGCCGTACATGCGCAGGATGGGTACCTCGGGGTTGGGACTGTCCTTCAGAAACACCGGGTGGGGCCGGCCCTGGTAGTCGTCCAGGTCCACCTGCATGAAGGTCAAGGGCTTGGTCGCAAAGTACGCGTCTACCGCCGCGGGGGGAGGGGGCGGCGGTGCGGAGGACGAGGACGATGCGGAGGCGCCCGTGATTGGCAGGAGCGGTCGCGCGCTGCTGGCCGCGGCTGCCGCTCCATTTGATGAAGTAGAAGACGGTCCTGCGGGTGCACCAGCTGCGGCGTTGGAGCTGGAGGAACTTGCTGCGTTACTGCTACTGCTGGTCGTAGTTCCACCACCACTAGCTGCAGTCACCATGCTGGACCCGACAAGCGGTCGCTTCCATTGCTCGTAGTCAATTTTCTTGGGCTCTTTCACGATGTTCGTGCTGTCCTTCAGTTCCACATGGACCAGGCTGCTGGACGACGATGCCGCCGCGGCGCCGCCCAAACCTTCAGACGTGCCCTCCAGCAGCTGCTCGTCATCGGTTCGAAGCCGTTTCGCTGGCGGGCCGTGGCGACTCTGCTGATCCCGGATGTCCTGCTCAATCAGAGCGTCGATGTCATCGTCAAAATCAATGTTATCCTCCATTTTTCTTTGTAATCTTAAATGAGTAAATGCAACAATACCCTTACCTGCTACAGAACTTTTACGCGCGTGATTACACGGAGCGAGAAGTGGGTGAATCGGTATCGGTCAGATTTACTACACGTCACAAAACATTACATCATATTCAATCTCCAACGAACTATGGCGTTCCCCTTTTTGAAGGGGGTATAGTATCTATCAGTAGGGTGGCGAGAACGTGAATTCAAACAGAAAAACGTCGCGTGTCGCTGATACAACAAGGTTCCGCAAGATTATTTCATGCGAACGACAGATACTTTGGTCCAGGAAGGGCGGAAAAGTAAAACCACACTTGTTTGGGGAGCAGTAGCACTGCGAACAATGAGTAAACAGATTTTTATTTCCATCCAGCACAATCGAAAGAATCATTCATCTGATTCTGCACTTTCGCTACCACGGCACCTTGTGTGCCACGAGGAACTGGCGCTGGTCCGCGTCTTTTTTGCGAAAAGAATGACGACGCGAGCGGGCTTCTTGGGATTTTTGTTTTTCCCCTAAGCCATGAACAACAATAAACCTCCAGCAGTGCGCCCTACTGTGGCGCTCTTGTTTGAATTGAATTGAATGGTGGCAGCGTGACTATCTTTTATTTGCGTCTTCCCACTCCATGTCGATTGTGCTGCACAACATGTTTTTTTCATGTGGAAATTTGGAATAGTTGGACTGACACGGAAGCAGAACGGCGTAGCTTTGTAAGCGCCTTTATTTCGACGAGTCATTAGGAATAAAAACAATCTACTAGGAAACTAGGGGCTACGGGGATGTAAAACTTGAGCCTCCGCAACAATGTGGAGATGTTTGTTCTGCAAGCACTCTATGTGTATGACTTTCTTAGATACAAGATGCGTTCTTTGGATCTGCAGTACGCCATTCTTGACTGACTCAAGGTAAGTGAGATCTATCGCGCGTCGCCGTGATCTTTACCAGTATCCTCCCTTCCCCTTCCCCTTTCCTTTTCCCTTGTACGCGTATCCACTCTCGTAGTAGCTTTGGTGGACCATCACCGGTGAATGCAGGACTATGGGCTTTGGTCCGCGCTGAGAACCCCAGCCCTCGTCGCCATAGGTACGCGCATCCCACAAACAGAGGTGGTAACAGTTAAGGACTTCCCAGAGGATGTGAAGAAATATCATGATTAACCAGCCTGTGGCAAGCACAGCAACGTTGGGGTAGGAGATACAGCAGCACCAATAGAGCCAGGTCCAGTTGTGCAGGAGGTGCAAACAGAACTCGGTTTTGCACGCTGGGGAATCCATCCCATCGAAGTTCGCCCTTATCACACTGAAAACTTCCCCTACAACCCTAAGGTGTGCTGGAAGTGCTTGGCCTGCAAAGTTTCCCTAGGCAACATTTTTGTCTACTTGATGTACAAATCTAAATTTTGATTTACGAGGACACTGAAATACAGGGCGCACAGATGATGTGTCATAACATGTTGGAGCTGCGCGAAACATACCAGCCTAGATTTAAAACAAACGCGGCTCATCCTGTTTATGCAAGATGTTTTTTTTTATGCAAGACAAAGAAACAGCATGTGAAAACGTTTTACGGATGAAAAACATCACCAACTTTCACTTTCTTGGGGCTGCGGGGAACTTTTCAGTTATGATAACTGTCAGACACACGCCCGTGCAACAAGCGCCGTTGCAATAACACGCAAGACAACGGACGATTGCATTCGGTTGCCAATACCGGTGACCACCCAAACATCCGAACTCGCCCAAATCCCGTCCGCGTCTGGGATCCGACCAGCACCGGTCGATAGCTAAAACAGCCGGCATAGTTTCTGGAATGCGAAAATGTCTTTGTCATCGATAAACTATACGAGCACCATGGAAAATGCACTTCGTTTGTATGTCACACTACTGAGGGGAACAATTACTGAGGATAACTACATGACCTAAGGCGTTTTTGTACTAGTGTGCGAAGTTGCCTATGAATGAGCATGGTGGGCAACAAATTTGGAAAGACTTTTATGAGGTTACGGCTCTCATACGTACTATGGGGTGTGTGCCAGTTGTGAATTCTAGTATTGCGCGTGCATTGGGGTCACAAAGAAGCCTGGTGACGTCGTGCATAAAATCCATCATCGAACTTCCTTTCGCTGCAGCGTTTCTCCTCGTTTCTGCGTTCCTCTATATCATTCTGTAATATGGTCTCGTTTGGACTGCTACTTTAATAAAGGACGAATGGTGCACGATAAATCCGAAGTATTTCTTTGCACGAATACCGATGTTGCGCATCATTCAAACAGAAATCAGATGAACGTCAGTATCGATCACATAGGCATAGCGTTGTTCGACTTCACACACATGAGAATGTTGTAAGAAAGGGAAGGGGCTCTGGTGTAGAAGTTCACTTCGATTTATGAGGAAGAAAGATGAAGATCGCACTCGCATAGTAGGGAAAGATATCGTTGACAACCATTACAGAACCGAACCGGAGCTGAAGAGTGCTATATTAAAGCAGTACCGACGTCTCGCGTTTTTAATCCTTTTTACTAGCTGCGGATGGGAAGTGCTCGTCTTCACCTACATCTTAAAACCCAGCGACTCACAATGGAATCGTTGGGGAAGGGCTCTTCATATCCCAACACGAAAACCGATGGCCTTACGGGAAATATAGCATAATGTTTACACAGCGCACTATACGCAATTATCGTTTGGAAGGCACGAGTCACAGAAGGAACGCCAGGGCATGCCACCGATCATCAGCAACAATGACATTGCTCTGGATGAAAAAGTTCCTTTTCGTTCGGATGCGTTCTTGTTGTAGAACGATGTTTATTACTTGGGGCAATTCTGAAAACGACAGAGGATGATCATTCTGTCAAGAAACCAAGGCAAAGATCATACAGATCGCAAGGCTAATAGCAGCGCAGAAGTCACGACTTCACTACAAACGCCATACAGAGGAATGTGCTCGTGAGATTCGTTGCTTGAGATGGGACTCCATCTTCGAAAATCCGGTGAGGATCCCCATTTGAACCAGCACCGAGTTTTGATTTTTCGTGTCTCCGGCTTCTCCCGCGACCTCCAAAGCGCGCTGGTAGTAGGTTATGCCTGAGAGATAAGTGAATTTTTTTCAATTTCAAAATGAAAATAGTTGCGATTGATGTAGTTTTTGAGTAGCAGCTGCGATAAAGATACTTGATTTGACAGCAACCAAGCGCAAAAACAACCAACTTAAAAAAAATCGAAAAAAGATCGACTTCGAAGTACTTACATATTCCGCATGCGATTGCGGTTGCGATCGCATCAACAAAGCAGAAACCAATCGTATCAAAAAAAAAGGAAACCTTTTTCATAGTCTTTTTCCGCGGAGACGCACAGAGTTCCGAGCTTCTTCAACGCGTTCGAATTGTCGTGGTGCAGCGTGTCGCAAAGCTGCACGTAGCGCTCGATCAGCGCCCTCATTTTTGTGGGATCCTGTTCATAGGAGCTGTCACTGGAACCTATCGCCAGGTTGCCAATAGCGAGGGACTGCCCCTCTACGCTGTGCAACTGCAAAGCAAATTGAAGGGCATACCTGTAAGTATTTTTGTATGTAAGTAATATGTTGAGTTTTGTATATTCTGGCATGTGCGTCGGCTTTGTGTGCTTGTTGTGCTGGCAAGGTCGCGAAAGCGAATCCCATCTCGACGAACAACCCGCAGGCACAGTAGCTCTTAATAAGGTATCGTCTTTCTATTTTTTCTAAACGAATGTGTCAAACTTTACTGATGATTCAGCGTGGCCGCTTCCTTCTCCCCGAGCAGGTCGTAGCAGAGCCCCAAGTTCGCGTGTGCGATGAATTTTCCCACTGAGTCTGCGATTTTTCGGTGCTTGTTGTGGAAGTACAGCGCGGTCTTCAGCTGGTTCGTCTTGCTCGCGCCCGCATCCGCTGGCTGCGGGTGGTCTCCGACTCCTGAGGACGATGAAGATTTCGTTCCCAGAATCTGGTGCGTCGCGGCCAGGGAGTGGTACGCGAGCGCTTGGCCTTGCTTGTCCTCGCAGTCGCGGCAAATCTTCAGGAAGTCGTTATAGTACCGCAGCCCCTTCGTGTACTCCTTCAGATTGTCATGCAGCACGGCAAGACTGAAGCAACACCGACCCTCTTCCCGCAATTTTCCGCTACGGCGGCACGCCGAAAGAAGGAGCTCCAAGTCGCTTATTTTCTTCAGAGTGAAGTATCGTTCCTCCGCTGTGGGGTCGGCCTGTTGCAGTCATAATTGCATGAGTTACGATTTCTCTAATACATTCAGCAACAGATCCACAGTTGTAGATGTAGGCTAACAAACTCAATACATACGAACATGGAGCCTTGGCTCACTACTTCTACTGTAATTTTCTTTTAGTACATCTTAGAATCTTATCTTGTCCCATCTGAAGGTCAAGCTCAAGGTTACAGCTATTAAGCATAAAGACACTTCTGGAACACTGAATAAGTACCCCGTCATCCTTTCGGTCGGGGGTGTTCAGGTACGCCGGTAGTTTCACCCGCAACACCGTCCAGTTCGTTTGCATTCTGGTTGGCGGGTCCCGATCGCGATCGAGGGACCCCAACAGCGAACCGCTGTTGTTACCGCCGCGGCTTTGCAGGCCGCCCCGAGATTTCGGCAAACTGTAGTGGTTCGGCTTCTGCTTGTCCGAGGAAAAAAGCAGGCTCCCGCCGGGAGTCGTGCCCGGGCGTAGCTGGAGCGAACTGCTGCTACTACTCGAGCGGCCCTGGCCGTGCTGCGATTCGAAGCTTCGCTCCAACGAATCCTGTTGCGACAGGTTATGCCTTGGAAAAATCGCGTTGGACTGGTTCATGTGGAAGGGGGACCGCATGCGCCCGTCGAACAGTTTCTGGTTTAGACTCAAACGGGCCGCCCGACTTCCGCCGGGCGTCGTCTGCGCCCGGGAAGCCGGGCGCTCTGCAGTACCGAGCAACGCTCTCGGAGGTGCCATTTTTCTTTTCTAGAGAAATTTTCGATGCTTTCAGGTGCTTGAATTCTTTCTACTTCACATCGATTTTTGTGCCCTTGACTTCTCCTCTCTTTATTTTCGTGCTATGCATAGGCGTGCAGCAAAGTGGTTGCACGACGAAAATTGATTGCCTACAGCTAATAGATCGTTCACTGTATGTGTATTGTCAAAAATTTGAAACGCGATCGCCCCCTGGCTCGACCCAATAGATGAAACAACAAACCGAGCTGAGCAAAACGAAGTAGACAAATGACTTCCACTGCTCATCCTTGAGACGATTGCGAAAATACGCTCGACGAGCTTCGTGCCACCGCTCGCGTTCTTCTCAACGACTATATTTTTCGTTTCGATGAGTGATGAAACAACGACCCACGAGATGTGACAGAAGGACAAGGATCGACCATTACTACGCTAGCCTAAAAAGAATTGGGATTGTATCCGGACGCGGACCAACGATTGAGAGCGCGCAGGCGTTCGAGAACACAGAAACAGAAGCACGGATCTGCCTCCATATTAGAAGCAGAACGACACCAGCTGCGGCCTCATTTTGTGACGTGGGTGTTGATGACACCAGAGAGAGGTGGTATGTTCGCGTTTGGTCTGCTGGTCAACGAACGCGTGCGCTGGCATGCGCGGTCGGGAGGATATCGGAAATCGCGACAAGCTACTAATACATGATTTAGTTCTTCCTGTCCGACACTAGAGCTCAAAGTTCCGCGCGGTCGTGGCCAGCCGCGGGCGGCGGTGCCCCACCTGCGGCGCTCCTCGGCGAGCGGCCGCTCCCCTTGCCCGGACCTGTTCGGGGCCGACCCGGACCCCCGCGCTTGTTATTGTCCTCGTCGTAGTATCCGCGAGGCTTCTTTCGGCGCTGCGCCGAGGCGCCGGGGGACTTCTTTTTGGAAGCCGCGTCGCTGAGCTCGCTGAACTCCTCGGCGACGATGTCGTCGAGCTGCTGCTGTCGCGTTACCGCGTTGGTCTCCACCCACTGGGCCAGCTCCGTCAGGTTTGCGGGCGACATTTCGTTCACATTCTTCACGAACAATCCCGCAAACAGTACTAGGAAAGTCAGGAAGAGGAACAGACAGCAGCAGGCCGAGCCACAGGAGCAGGTACCCCCCGACGTGGAAGATGCGCCGGCCTTCGCGCCCCGATCGCCAGCGCTCCCCGGACCAAGGTGCACGGTGTAGTCCCCACTGGCAGACAGAGCCGTGGCAGGCCCGCTAAAGGCCACGCACTGCACCGCGAGCTGGTGGATGGGCTTCTTCGCGCTACCGCACATCTCCAGCTTCTTGAACGGCATCAGGCCTGCGCGGTAGCCGGCAACGTCGAGGGAGTACCTGTTGTAAGTTGTTTTCTCTTTAGGTAGCGGGCGAAAGAAAAGGAGCACGCAGAGGCACCACGATAAATCAGAATCACAAAACTGATGAAGCAACAAAAGACAAAATCCAAACAAAAATGTACAAATTTTTGTGCCCCTGGACAAATCCGCACATCATCCGGTTTTTCTGGAGATTGATGCGCAGTGCGGAGCATGGCTTCGGATCGGTGTTTACTTGTATCGCGCATTTGGGTTCCTTTGCAGCCTTCCAGATACCCAGCTGTTATGCGATGATTAAAAGAGAGAATAAAAATGACAATGAGATGAAACTGCAGTAATTATTCATGGTCTCCGATTCAACTCGTTCCTTGTTCTCGATTCCTTGCAGCGACGTGAACTTTTGCTTCCTCACGTTATTTTCCGACTAAACAATAGTTTCAAAAAAACAAAGACACGACTTCTTCCTACCATCGCAGGGCCCCTGGGACCCGCGGCACTGAGGAGCACACTGTCTTCAGTCAAGAAGTGCGGGAACTTGAGAGTCATCGGGCTCGGCTGCTGCACATCAGGGTCGTTCCATACTATTTTCGACACTTGTTCGCCCGTATCGATACGCCAGACGCAACAGCTGCGGTCTTCAGAAACCGTGGCGACAAGCCTGTTGTGTGCAGTTCGTGCTCGTGGTCGTGCATAAATCCTGATAAAAATACGGAAAAAACTTTCCGTGTTTTAAATCGTCCTCATCCTCATCGACAAGATCGAAAAAAGGGTGCTAGGAAGTACACAACCAAAAAGGAAACTGAAAAGAATCATGCCGATAGTCGCATCGTACTTTTCGTCTGGGGATACGTCCATAGCTTCGATTTGCTTTGTGTGTCCCCCAAACTCCACCAGGGGTGTGTTTTTCCAGTCTGGGTAACTCCAGACCTTAGCGACGCCATCCGTTCCCGCTGTTAGAAGATAACCCTCGCAGAGACTGTGGAATTTCATTTATTCATCGTGATAAAATAAACCATGTCTCAAAAATACATACATACACGCTCCACGCGGCTCTGCGAGAGGTTTGTGGTGCTCTAAATTTGACCCTGTCTCCCGGAAAGCGATCCACCCAACGTAGTACGGGCGAGCAAGGGTGTGAAGGAACCCTCTGCGTTCGTGATGTGGACGAACGCCGCAAGAGGTGAACAAGGATCCTGGAGGTGCCTGGGCCGCCCTTTGCTGGGGGGGGCGACTTAGAGCGCACCGGCGGGCTCTATATCGATCCATGCTCCTGATGGCCGCGTCAATGCGTCTTCGCTACGAGCGTCGTGTTGATTGATTTTGCCGCGATCTTTCAATGTCGGCGGCGGGCTACAAGCCTTGTGCCGCGTTCATCGTGCATCCTGTATTCTAGCGGATGCAACTGCTCCATCTCTCCACAGATAGAGAGAGGAGGGGGGGAATCTACTACGAGCAGGCCCCCCGATGCCAGGGCAGCCTCTACGGCAGCAACCCGGAGGGCAGACGCGGACGCACGGGAAAGGCGCAGGGACCAGCCCTGCGAGGGCATTGCATGCGTCAACGCGCGTAAGTAAGAGCGATGGGGGGCGCAGCCCAATCCTTCGGACGCGGGCCCATGGCTTTCAGGTGCTTGCTAGGTGGCAGGGAGGCGCATGGCAGTCGCGGGCCTTCGTGTCTCGCACATCTTTGCGCGCTCGCTGCGTGGCCCTGTATTGGCGTCCCGTTGTCGTATGCTCCGGGGCTGCACACGCAACCGATCGGATGCGACGGGCATGCCACAGGGGAGGCTACAGGGGCGTGGGCAATGTTTTTAGACGCTGAAGGCGGCGCGCGATGGTCTAGCTGCGAGCTAGACCTGCTGCGGCGAGCGTTCCACGGACCGAACTAGGCCAGATGCTCCACAGGCCTCGCGTAGCTGAGGCGGATACATTGTCTCACTCTGAGCGCGTTGCCAGTCGGTCCTGGCATCTGCTGGGTCCTAAAGACAGACCAAGTACTTTTGTGCTCCGAGCACATGGGCTCCCTTCCCTACAAGGGCGGGAATGTCTCAAAAATGAATGTCGGAGGAGTTGTATGTAGGTAGTCCTAGTCCTCGGAAAAAGAATGTGCAACAGCCCTTGTTCACACTGCTGCCCAAAACAACATCAGCTGTCAGCAACAAGAGTTCGCACAAAGAGACGTAAGAAAGGAAGTAGTACATCATTAGCTCCTGGCAGCCCGGGTCCTCGCCGCCAGTATATCTGTTTGGCACGGGTTTAACCTCGCTTTTAAACTCGTGGACCACCTTCATTTTTTCATCTTCTGTTATCTCCAATACGTAGCCCTTGGGTCCCGCGGACACGCACCACAGGTCCTGTTTGGCCGAGTACGTGACCTTCGTGGGCAACACCGAGCCCATGTTCATTCGGTCGAGCGTGGTGAATCGCATCTTCTTGTCGGGATGAGAACCGTCGATCGCGTGCAGGTGTATTTCGTTTGGGATTTCCTTCTTCCCGGCCGCGCCGCCTCCTCCGCACGAGATCGCGTGTCGCCCGTTCTCGCAGCATTCCAGCCCCAGGAGCGGGTACGGCGCAATGTAGATGTCACGCTGCGGGTCGTAAAGGGGCTGGTTCGAAGCCGTCGACGAAGACGAGCCCCCGCCTTTGGAGGTTGCCGGCATGATGGCTGTTTATGTCTAGCACAACTTCAACTTCGCGGTTGATTTACTTCTTTCCACCGAGGACTACCTCTAGGAAAATTGTATTCTTACTTACCGTTCGGTACAGGATAAACGCAACAATTTCAGAGTCAGTGGAATCAATTAAATTGACAGACTGTTTTTTTCATTTACCGCTGTTGTTGTAATAAGGCTTACAACAGCTTGTGGCGATTGAATTTGCTGTTTCCATAGGTCGGATTCGGAATTTTACCTACACCTACTACTACTTCTACAAATTGTTATAAGTGCTACTATGGGTTAGAATATCAACAGAACGCAGCCATCGTTAGATTAGAATACCTCCAGAAGTGCGGGCAAAAATATATGTATGAGAACGAGCAGTAGTGAACTGAGACTGCGTGACACTGCGGGTCATGAATGAAATTCACATTCATTTTGCTGGTATTGTTTTGGTTCTATGCCCTCCCAGTATAGAAGCAAGAGGTCTTGCACAACTCGGTGCATGTCTACGGGCAGCTTTCCATCGCAATTTTGCTTCCTAGGCGGAAATTTCTTGAGATCGTTAGCTTCTTCAAATCGAGCTGTTTTGAAATCGCAGCTGTCTGTGTGGCTAGAACGAACTGCAGGTTTCTTGATGCGAAACACGACACGAAGAACGCAAACAGAACGAGCATGATAGATATGGACGAGACGAAACTACAATTCGACGAACAACTTTTGCCGGGCAAATAAATATGACAACACACGCAAAGTTGTACGTGATGCACCTGCAAACAGACTGATAAGGATTGACTTCACAGCGCGTTAGAAATTAGTTGGATTTTAGTCTTTTTGTTGTTGAATACGCATCTGGTGACATACGGACATGCAGATGCTCTTCATCGCATCAAACAGGCACAAATCGGAAATAGTACAGATCCCGGCTACTGCTACCTGGGCAGAATGCGGAACAGTGTGACACTAGCGATTCCGCCCGTGGCATCGAGCACTTCGAACGCCGCGCCCTCCTTTTCCCAGTAATACGTGGTCGTGGCAAACGCGGGCTGTGGTATTCTCCGCATGCAGGACCCTTTCGCGTTCTTCGCAAGCACGTCGCGCATCTTCCAGCTGGGATCGATGGTACAGGGGCGACCGAGAAACCCGCTGCCATCCAACTCGAAAAAACACCGTTCATACTTGCCAAACAGCGGATGCTCCGGTAGGTTGGTGTGCAGCCGAATTTGCGTAACCCAGTGGCTCTTACTGCAGAAAATCGCGTCCACACCACGCTGGTGGTACTGGTACGCGTAGAAGTGGTGCCCGGCCTCGTCTTCGTCGACGTCATCCGGGCAACCGAGTTCGCTCAACACGTCCTGGCACGTGGCACCGAGCCGGATCACACTCACCTTTCATTTTTTGAAGAACGACGTTACGATCAGCATCTTCAAGCTGGCCACCCGAAGAACATGAAAAGGCAAGGACATAGGCTAGACGCCTTAATGGCCCTCAATTCACTTCTTCTACAAGAATACCGAGGGGCCACAGCAGAGGCAGCTAGGAAAATATCTGCACGACCAGAAGACCCCAAAACATAGATAGTAGTGATCCATCGTGGTCCTTTGAAAAACGATGCATGAGAGAGTACCCTGGCAGGCTGCTGTATCTGCACCCCTATGCGAAGACGCGCGATGGCCTTCGGTCTTGGGGGCAGCGGCTCCAGCTGCAGTACTTTGTTTGTGTCCTGCGCAAGATCTTCGGCCTCTGGTGCCATTTGTTGATGGCCCGGCAACACCCACAAGCGCGAGGCGATGTCCGCCTCCCCTCTGATTTCGTCTTTTACAGCAGGATCTTGATCTTGTAGAGTTCGAGACAAGGGAGACGATGCACCACCACCATCCCGGGCTCCTTCGATGTGCACTGCCAATCCCTCAGGAAATCGGAGAACTTCCTCGTGCTCCTTTTCCGCCTGCCTTCCCACTGTGGTCAGCGCGCGACTTAAGAGGTCGGAGGCCGCACTTCCTAATGTCTTCGATGTAGGTCGGAAAACCGCACTGCTCCTGCCCGGGACGCCGGATGACAACTCCCAACCACATCCGAAAAGTTCCTGAATTCGTCCTTTTGTTACCAGATCGGTGCCCAGCGAAAAAAACGGCTCGTGGTTGTACGAGAAGCAGACTGCTGGCTTCTGCAATCTCCGCCCTGCAACGTTACTAGTTCCCTTTGAGGATAGCACGTCCCCTGCTGCTGCCGGTGATGCAAGACCCCCGCCCGAGAAAGCTGCCGGACCTTCGTCGCCCTCGTGATCGTGCGCGGACCCAAAACTCGGACCCTCCTCCCGGCCGAAGGCAGGGGAGTTGTCGTCTTCCTGTTGCGTCGCGCCGGAAGAACTGTTCGAGGTAGTTGAGGAGTCGTTGATAGCCGGCACGGCTTCCGCTTTCTTCTTCCGTGTGCTTTTTTTCTTGCGGCTTTTCGCGGGTAGCCACTCCCCGCCCTCGGCCTCGCCCGCGCCAAAACCCGCGAAAATGGGAGTTGTCTCGACCGTTGAAGTGGGCGTTTCGTCGGTGGTTTCATCTATACCGCTGTGAACAAGGGTATCTGCTTTCGTACTTTCGCCGTTTTTATTCACTCCCCTGTCCTCTTGTACCTTCAACCAGACTATGATGCAAAGGAGCTGTTGTCGGTAGGCATCGAAGCACAGCTGCACACCGAGCTCATTCAGCCGGATAATCATCACCAGGGGCTCTGTTCCACTACTCGACGACGATGAAATGTGCTGAGCAGTAACTGCGTCTTTGCTTGTTGTAGTCGTGCCAGCCTCTTCTTCTTTCGGTTCGCTCACGCTCTCTTCCAGCGCAGACACCACCGCGACGCCTCCCTCCGCCTCTGTTGTGCTCGTCTCTTCTGCTTGGCTGTCCGCAAGAACGAGCGCCTCTGCATTTTTTGCAAATTTACCACCAGCATCGGCAGTATTTTCCACAACTTCCTCCGCCGCAGAGCCGAACTCCTGATCCTCGTCGGGAAAGTCTTGCTTGTCTCGGTCGCCGCCGTCGTCATCCACCTCGTCGTGCTGGTAGTACATGATTTCTGCGTTCGCAGAAAGCTGCTGCAACTTCTCCAATACATCGTTCAAAGTCTCTCCCAGAGAAAAGGGTCCGACACTTCGCCCAGGAACGATTTCCCATTCTGATTTGTTCATCGCTCTATTCTAGTGATACGTTGCTTTCTTTGTACGTGCGTCCGGATGCGGTTGACGTCGTGCAAGCACACGTTCGTTGAAGGATCTCTGATCTAAGTTTTGAGTTGTATTGAAGGTTAGGAGTAAGAGTAACGGCCAACGACAATGACTCTGGCACGCATAAACCGGAAGCTGCTGTCGCCTCGTTTCCCTCGCGAGAGCTGTTCTCATTTGCTATAACTCATATTAATACAAACAAAATCCCCTGGCCACAGAAAAACGGCAAAAAATTTCAAGACGCGCGCGCGCGCGCGTTACGCGCGCGCGGGTAACGCGTGCGCGGGCGCCCGTAATGCGCGCACGCGCGTAACGCGTACAGGCGGGCGCGTAACGCGCTGCGCGTCGCGTAACGCGCGCGCGCGTAACGCGCGAGGCACGCGGGGGGCCGGGCGGGGGCC